GGGGGGGGGGGGGGGGGGGGGGGGGGGGGGGGGGGGGGGGGGAGGGGGGGGGGGGGGGGGGGGAAGGGCAATCACCCTTCAGATGAGGAGGCAGGAGGCAGTGAGGCAGGCAGAGAGAGTCAGCCGGGCATGGTAGGTACCGAGAAGCAGTGGAAAAAAAAGGGCTAGGCACTGGGCTGGCTCATTTGCTACTGTCGGGTAGCATCACAACCAGTCCGTGGATCTTGGGCGCTAAAAGGGAGAGAAGGCAGAAACCAGAAACCAGAAGCGGGAGCGAAAGTGAGAGGTGGGTGTCTGGATTTCATCATGTTTGCCTCTCCAGCGAGGCATGTTGTGTCGCAGCAGCCTCATCAGGCTGGAGAGAGCTTGAGTCTTTCTGCCCCGCCATCTGCCGAGGCATTCGATAGCCTTACAGTGACCGACTACTGGGACAACTCGATGCCCACCGGCACGTTTCATCAGGCGCTTGATCTTGCTCAGGGCTCAGATTATGGCCTACAAAACCCGGATCCCCTGCAGATTCAAACACTACAGCATGAGATGCAAATAACTCACACAATTCCGTATCTGTTTACCTTTAGGCAGTCAGATACTTAGTTAGATCAAGGACAACTCTTCGATCTTCTGGACATACCACGACTGTATTCTTCAAATTGTGGATAGTCAGTCCCTACCAAAGCTCTAATATAGACTTTAAGGCCCGTCCTGTGCCTCTTCCAAAGCCGAAATAGCAAATCCTTTAACAGTGTGTTCGTTGAAAACGCAACACGACATTCAAGACCATAATTATGAGAGAAATGTTCATCATCAAGTATCTTAGAATTGTTTTCTGTACAGGTTGGCAGCTTAGATGCGGCCTCTTTCTAGAAACATTTTAGGAATCTGGACATGCTTCGAACGCAAGTATTCGGCAACATTCTTTCCGAGGACATCGTACGTTGAGCTCGCGGCGACACCACGGTCTAGATGATCCTTCAGAAGGAAGTGTACAGCTGAAGATGGACATTAGCGACTCGAATCTCGAGACACGGAAAGGTGTACAGTGGGGCTCACCGTGAATATTAGGGAGTTCAAAGCGCTCGATTCTACCGCCGTTGTAGTCATTCTGTAGAAGCTGTTTTGAAGCTAAAAGAAAGAACTGTCCGCAGCCATGGGTACTCGTCAGCATGCCGAACGTAAAACCCGACATTGCAATCAGAACTCTTGTCTCCTGATCTTGCGTGCACGACGTATCCGAGAGGAGCCGTGCAGGTAGGGCCAAAGCTCTGGAGTGATACAGGCTCAGCAGTCTCATCGACTTCTTGCTCGTATAGGTACTCGGCCGTTGTTGTTGGGGTGGGAATCTTCTTCAATAAACTCTTTGCTGGGATATGCGCGGTGTGACTCAACAGATTCTGCGGGATAATTGTGACGAAGTACTCATTGTACGGCTTCGGCACGCCTTGCCGGGTATCGACGGCGAATGTGGCACCTGGGTATGTGCACTTAATGATGTTGAAGCAACGATCGAGGGAGTTCTTCTTCGACAATGCGTCTTCACTATCAGACTGTGCAAAGATTCGGAACTCTACAGTCGCCGCGTCCTGAGAGCTTGGGTTGGGATTAGCCGGCCCAGTAAGTGTGAATTTGAGAAGGGAGAAGGGATGGACGTCGAGATATTCTCGGAGTTGACGCTCAAGCAAAGAAGCTATCTCCTAGATGTCGAGGCCTGTCATGAAATACCTCGGCCTGGTATCCGCCATGGGCCGTGATCCCGACTTTTGTTGCTGGTGGCGGCGGCAGACAGCCGATGTTGTGCACAAAGACCTTGCCGGGCCGGCTGACTCAATCTCTATCTGGTCGATAACGGCAACGACATTAGAATTGTAGTAGCGCTTCCCTTAAAGCCCGTAGAGAAGCTGAGGTCGACATGTTTCGACCGTGACGCCACCGCTCCGTCCAGGGATGTTGTGTGCCTCGACCGTAAAAGTCCTGTTTGGATTGACTCGCATGATTGGCAAGTTGAGAACCGAGCTGGCACCGTGAGTCATTAACTTGAAGCCTGAGAAGTTACCACCGGTGACATAGTAAGAACATTCGATGAAATGACCCGCGATGAGGCTGTGTGCGAGCTCCGAAAGAGAGTCTCGCGACCATCCACGTCAATAGGCTGCGGCGGCGACCGTGGGGCAGCATCGGCTACGCGACCACAGACGACAATATCGGCCCCTTCGTTGAAAGTCTCTATGATTCCCCAGCTACCAAGATAACATTGGGCAGAGTATATGGGGCTGCAGTCCCAGTCCTTGAAAAGCTGACCGGTTGGTGATATTGCGGAACTCGTGGCCCTCCCCAGTCGACTTTTGCACTTGCTGGAGTACTTGGTCGCCGTCAACCCACGCGACTGTGAGATCTATACCGGCTTTGTCAATCGGGGATCGCAGAACATGGTGAAATTCTCTCGGTATCACTTGCTCCGGCGTTAACAGCAACTTTGATACCGCGAGATTCGATGAATGGAAGTGCGTCGACAATGGAGTGAACGAACTGCTCCTCAAAGGCATCGACCTGGTTGACCTGTGCTCGAGTGGCGACCATCTTGCCCCTGATGGCCATGTAGTACTCGGACATCCAGTCGCCAACGATGAAGTCGACATCACCAGTCTCTGCGAGTTCGACCAGGTTTTCCGGTCGATCGGTCATGGCTCCGGATGCTGAGCCAATGAACACCGGTCTTCTTAGTTTTCTTAGTTCAAGAGAGCCCATAGCTGCGGTCGAATTAGACTCAAATAGAAAGATCATATAACAGTGTTCATTCGCATCTATTGCGTTGGTGGCGAAAGCTGGGGAGAAGACTCAGACTTATACCATAGAAGATGAGTGACCGAGGCTGGACAAATTCAATTTACGTGATTCGAGTGGCGTAGTGGGCCGACGTTAGAACGAGGGCCAGCTTCCCTTTCTCCCAGAAAGAAACGACTGTTTGGCCAGCGCCACATGTCGCTCAATGTTATATCGGCAGAACATGGAGAAAGATGGGAGATCTCCGATGTGTCCATCCTCGGCTTTTCTTGGGACTAGAAGCAGAAGCCGCTAGCACCAAGAAGCTCGTCACATTTACTGAGCTACGTGGGGTGGAGGCGATCTGTAAGAGGCCGAAGATGGTGGGTGGTTTGGTTGATTCAAGAAGCCGAGTCGCCGACAGCTCCACTCCCAACTCTCACGAGTCTCCTCCCCCACCGAGCTCCATACTCATAGGGTTTCAAATCAGGCGGGGTTAGGTGCTAGATGCTTGATCTGTACGGTGAATTCGTGAGCGGTCATCTGATTGAGGGGCCGATCGCCGGGAATGCGCCTTGCAGCTGGGCCGCCTGGCCGAGAGGCCGAAGTGCTCGTTCGACAGGCTGCTTTTAGCTCAGCAGGAGTGGGCACAGCAAGTGCAGAATGACCGTCGATATAGCTGCGCCTCTTCAACCGAGCTTCTGTCTCAACGCCGCGGGGGTTTCCGGAGTCACATACCTTGAACGAGATTCGCATCCTCTCACCCCAGACATGACTTCCATGCTAGAGTACGTACAACTCGATCTCTGTCCTATAAAAGTTGAATGCTTAAAATAAGCCCTCTAGTATCAAGGGTCGTGTAGCCGCCGTCACTGGCGCATCTTCGGGCAACGGGCGAGAAATTGCTCTAACGCTAGCTACCGCAGGCGCACATCTTGTTTGCAGCGATATTAGTCCCGACTGTAAAGAAGGGTGTTAGGAGGACACCAGTACGCCTACTCACGAGCTCATTGCGAGCCGAAATTACCAGACCATCTACCAGGAAGCGAATGTCAGTTCAGAAGAGGATGTCAAACTCCTAGTCGAAGCCGCTGTACATCAATATGGTTGCCTTGACATGTATGTGAAAGTTTGCGAGAGAAAGAAGAACCTATATCTAACCTAACGACTCTCTTGTCTCTTGCAGTTTTGTCAACAATGCTGGCATCTTCTGTGGCCTGGCCAATATTGTGAACGAGCTTGTCGTGAACTTTGATAAGACCATGGTAAGTGATTCCTCATTTCCCCTTGATCCTTCACAGTTGCGTAGGCAATTTCATGCATACTGATTTTGTCCAAAAGGGCTGTGAACACTCGAGGTGTAGTCTTGAGCATGAAATATGCCATCACTCAGATGATGACCACTGCCTTCGGGGGAGCGAGGTTGGGTCGTCAATGTTGCATCTATTGGCAGTCAAGTTGGACTTCTCCAGGAACGTATGTGGCTTGACTCTTCAACGCTTGCGAGAAACACACTGATATCTAACATGATTTTCTATTTCAGCATCTTATTGTGCTAGCACAGATACAGTGGTCCAGTTAACCCGCCAAGTGGCCGTTGACTACGCAAAGGAGAAGATCCACGTGAACGCCGTCTGCCCGGGATTTCTTTCGACGGCGATGGTACGGCCATTCTTGGAAAACCCTGAAACCAGGAAGATGCTGCTTTCAAAAAGCCCCTGGCCGCATCTAGGATCAGCTCAGGATGTGGGCAAGACTGTGCTCATCCTCGCTAGTGATGCTGCCAGTTGGATGACTGGTAGTCTTCTGCAAGTCGACGGCGGTTTCATAGCTCAGTAGGGCCCTCTAAATATATGGCTGATGCAGGACCATCAACAACATGATTGCAAGCATACTCCCCTCTATCACACACCACCCTCATGATGATCATTCCTCAAGCCATGAGAGCATTTCTTGTTCCTGAGGGTTCAGTGTTGGGATGAACCATTCCTCGAATGGGAGTTGTATGGCCCCAAGATCGAAATGGGCGGTGAAGGGATCGAGCATCTCCTGACCTCCACCGTCCCAGCTCTCGAGCGGCACTATCAGGTTCGTTTCAATCTGCCCAGAACTGCAAGCGGTTGGAAGCCCTGCCGAGTCCCAGTCATAGCTGGGCTGACTCGCAATTCGTTGTCGCCTCTCTAGATATCGCATCGGCGTAGTCCCCGTTTGCCTTTTGAACAGCCTGTGAAAATGCCATTTCGACAGCCCAGCCTGGGATGCCATCTCCTCTAAGCATGGTGTTTGTGATCGACCACTATTGTTGGGGGATTCTGCCGTATTGCATGGTAATGAATCTAGCAGTTGAATGAACCTCCTGACGCTTTCGATTCCTTGCTCGGGGGGGATGGTGCCCAGCTCGTTGGGCTTGCAGCGTTTGCACGCGCGGAAGCCGGCATTCTCTGCATCGATTGATAGATTGAAAAAGGTGACATTCTTTCGGCGCGCTCGCCTCGCCTTGCATACAGGCCGGCAGTAGATCTTCGTGGAGATAACGGCATAAACAAAGAGTCCGTCCGCTCTTGCGTCGCGGGTTTGGACGGCATTCCATCGCCCAGCCTCCTCGGCGTATCGGTTGACCAAAGATGTCATTTCAGTCTTGATACCTATCAACTCTTTCCGGCGCTTCGATGATGGACCGGCTAGTTTTTGAAACTCAGGAGGCAAACGGGGATGGTGCCTTCCTCGTTTCTCGGATCATCGACGGCTGCTGGCATAGCACATACACCGTTGGACCCGTTGGTTTTGCTCTCGATGTGGCCAATCATGAATGATTTAAGCCTGCATTCCAGGCAGCACCAATTCCGCCCCACACAACTCTGACTCATCCACGCCGTTGCTTTCAATGTGGCCAGTCATATGGAACCAGACTTGTTGGCCCCCAAGAGTCTCCAGGTGCCTAGGAGATCTCGGAGGCAAGTGAAGATCAGATTAGTTGATTGTCTATCCGATAAATTGGTCTTCGATAGTGCACTAAATGACCCATGAGACTTTCAGAGAGACGATGTCCATGCCATTATTTGAGGAGACTCCAGATAAATTCCTGTTGACAGTTCTGACCCTGCACGGGCCGTGGCCGCGGAGCTACCAAGTTGAATTGAATCAGACCGTTCTCACTTGCAAGGGGTACGAAAGATCGAAAGCAACGATTTCGACTCTCGACTCCATGCCCATGTATCTCAGCTTTGCCTTGCTATGGATGCAACCAATTGGGTAACTTCGGATAGCTCAAAGTCCACCGTAGCATAGCACAGAAACAAACAGCAACGAGACAATGATACGCTACTGGCAATATTTCCAATACTGTCTGTTGGTGAAATATTTAAATGCGAGGCATTCGCACCAACACATCAGGAGACATGCGTCATCTACACATACTAAGCACCTCCGGCGAAACAGTAGATATTCCGCTGTATCTTTAACGATGTCGGGCGACAGCACCACGCATTCTATCATTTCTCCTGCTATCCTCTATTGGGGCACACCTGTAGTGCTTATCTCGTCAGAGAACGAGGATGGCACTACCAACATTGCACCTATGTCGTCGGCCTGGTGGCTCACAAATTCTTGTATGCTCGGCTTAGGATCCGAGTCCAAGACAACCGAGAACCTTTTGCGCACAGGCCAGTGTGTGCTCAATCTGCCCAACGACGCGATGGTCGGCTTCGTCAACAAGCTTGCAGACACAACAGGCTTGAAGACCTTCTCGGAAGCACGGCGTAAGCGAAATTATACATACGTTGCAGATAAGTGGGCGAGAGCAGGCCTGCACCGGCAAACTTCGGAACTTGTGCGACCTTGTCGCATACAAGAATGCCTAGTGCAGATGGAATGTGAGGTGGTCCACTCGCATCCCCTACGCAAGGACGAGCCCGACCGGGCAGGCCTCATAATGGCCATCGAAGTTAGAGTCTTGCGAGTCCATGTAAGAGATGAATTACGTATGGACGGATATCCGAATCGCGTTGATCCAGACAAGTGGCGGCCCTTGATCATGATGTTTCAGGAGTTCTATGGTCTTGGCTCGGAGAAGGTAGCTGAGAGTGTGCTGGGACGGATCAGCGAAGAAAAGTATCGATTCATGATGGCAAGCGGCGCCCGCAAGCTGCCTGGTGATGATGGTGATCACATTACAGGCAAATAGCCACCAAACATCTCCAATCACAGAGAGATATGATTTAAGCTACTAGACTCTTATATAGATACATCTCATCCATACTACTGGCTTCTCGCTTAAGACATACAGTCAATTATAAAGCCAATTCCAATCTTGTGAGACCAGACCAATGCAACTATTCCTCTCCATCAAAGACACACCGCCGCTTCTTATGATCAAACGTATCACGAACCTGATATCAATCGATATATATATATACACATCAAATGGTGTCTATAGAACACGGGTACTGTGTTCATTGTAACTCTTGCATTGTGTCTAGTTTAGAGTGTAACCCGGATTGTATCTGGGAGGTAGACCGAGGCTAACCTTAATATTGAATACACATCTCAATCAGTTATTGGGACCAATACTAACCGACATAGATGTAACCCTGGCCACCCCTGCTACGACGAGAAGGGCCCTTTCGAACTCGCCCCTGCTGGATCTGTGGCTCATAATCATCAAGGTCGACATCGCGAGGCGAGGTGACGGTTAGCGGCGCTTGTGGAGCCGCAGCTCTCGTTCTATTCGAGCATATAATGTCAAGGAATTTTCGCGCCTGGAAAGCGCATGCACCACACAGCTGAGACTTGTTCGCGAGATCTTTGAATGGAAAGACCATCTTCAGACCGGGGCAGTCCACAGCTCAAATCTGGCAGCCGGACTTCTTCTCCGGGTGTGCCAGAGCCTGCTCGCACAGCGGGGGAACTGCCAATTCGGCGTGTCAGAGATAGGTAGCGCTCTGCTGAAACGACATTCACGCTGGCTGGAGGACTGGGACCTACATTTACCCCTGATCAGATGTGTTTTGAGTCACATTTAGCTGCTTAATAGCAAGGAAAGAAGTAATTGATTCGATGATAGGGGATGTTCGCGCGGAGCTGAAGCCATCGGTGTGGTATTCCTCAAATGATTCGACGATGCCATACAACATCCGCGCTGTGATTCACAACGCAGGGCCTTCTTGGAACGGGCACCAGGGCATCACTCCACACTTGCAGAAGGCTTAGGAGAGCGCTGAGTGGTGCCTAGTCCATAAAACCTTCATTCGGCCTAGCAGATGTTCAGTGTTCTGAGATTCATAGTACATATGCTAAAGCTGGTGATGGATGGCCTTGAGGTGCAAACGATTCGTAATGCTTTATGTGAGGGCAGGGCTGACGTAATAATCGTCATCATCCTGACCACTGTCATACCTCAAGCTGGGGAAGCCCTGTTGTCGCCCGGTTTGTGTGCGCACACAGACAAGCACCTATGCATGGACACTTTACCTCAATGCACGAGCCGATCCACAGGGCCTTCATACATCTGCCAATCAGATCTTGGTGTGACCACACAAAGTTCCTTCTTCGGGGCGTATATGAGATCCATCCCCATTCAGCAGAAGGACAAATATGAATTGTCTGTCCTGCATGATCTGTAGGACGAGGGCAAGAGCCATCTTTTCTCCCTGCTTTGCACTCTGCATTCTGGATGAGTACCTCAGGCCTGCTGGCTAGATGCACTGCCCAGTGATCGAGTACCTTGAGTCATTTTCTGCCCGCGACAACTTTCTAGCCTCTTCCAAACACTGACAAAGAGCTGATAAACCCAGTTACCTACGGGCCAAGCATCTGACAAACACTCTAAACCTAGCATACACATGCGGACCCGGTTCTCCTCAACACCGCCTTCAATCGGGAAGGCGTACACATCGCATGTATGTGCATAGCGAGCGCGTTGAATAGGGCGGGGATACTACGTTGAGCAAATCAGTCAAGGCACCACTCATGCAGGAGTCGAAATCTTGGATCTGATCTGATCATCCGGCGAGGACCAGCAAAGGTCAGTGACGTAAGTATTAGAATGCAACACTCACCTGTGTATCTGAATAAGACTGCCAAGGGATGCTGAAAGTATGTCTTCTATTACTCGGGTCATCTCATTGGCTGATGCGACGGCCATCGAGGTGTTGCCCCAAACCTCGGTCTTCTCTTCACCAGTGATGTTTCTCTCTGGCCTACAAAGAAATATGGTTGCATAGCTACACCACCAAGGAAAGGTGAATAATATATTAGCCTTAGTGAAGATTTAAGAGCTTCGTCACGGACTCACTTGATGGCCATTCTCAAATTATCCGACCACATGCCGGTACCATCATTTAAAACACCCCTTTATTGAATACCTTCAGGAATGGCCGCTCGAAAATAGAGTAAGGCACTCTTAAGATCTACTCTGCTCTTATCTAGAGATACGGACGTTACTGGAGAATAACGCGAAGTGAGTATTTTGCTGACTGTCAGACTCTGTCAGTATAAGTGGGAAGTTTGTCTTTGATAGACTTTGTTTGCATACATATCTCATTTAGACGGGCCATTTGACACGAATACAGCCTTCGCTCCTCGGAGCTACTGAGAACTTCTGTCACGTCTGACTCTTCGAGTACTTCGACGTCACAGTCATTACCATTGATGTGTTGGGGTCGTCCGATGGAACCGCTCACCAAGGTGTCACGAGTCTAAAAATGTGGTTAGAGAAGCCATAGCTGGGTTTCCATTCGCCCGCCATCGAGAGCCACATGTGCAGAAGAATGTGCTTACGCGGATCGCCCACCATATCCGTTTCCATCGTCTGGTGGTCGCAGCATCCATGCCAGAGTTCCGGGTACTAGACAGTCCCGTCTGTTAGCTGTCTGGTAGAGTTCTCTTACCAGGATGCATGAAGGTTGAAAATGTGGGACTACAACGTACGAGCGATGAAGCCCAAGGGCTTGGGCAAGATTGGCGGCTACTCCCAACCAGTGAAAGGAGTCCTTGACCTCATCTGGACCTCCCCACCAGAAGCTCATGAAGAACATGCCAACGAGAGTGCTAATCTTCTCCGGCTCCAGGTCAGCGTTATGGAGAGCATGCGCCTGACTGTAGAAGATAGCACGGCCAGAGTAGCGTTGATCTTGGAACCCGGCTGCGCGCAGGGTGGCCTTGTCACAAATACTGATAGCAATAAGAAGGACGGCATTGAGGACCAGCAAAGACACTTCTCCTTTCTGGGCCTCTGGTGTAAGCTGAACGGGGCCCAGGATTGGAAACACCGGGTGAAAGCTGCTGAAGAAGGTTTCGAGGAGCTGACCTAAAACGTTGGTGGGTAGCATGAAGAGCAGGCCTTGTTTCTTGAGGTATTCACGCTGTTGGCTCGTTGAGACAGCCCTGGCCTCACCAGCAGCACGGCCCGCTCCACGGCTGTCGAGATGGAAATGCAGTCTCCGTTCGTAATTAGGCGCGGGTGCAAAAAAAGGGGCGAGGACGTCGTGCACCACGTAGGTCAGACTGAATGCTTCGCCTAGGAAGACCAGCTTTCCAGTGTCGGCAGGGCCATTTTGTTGTCTGCCCACGCCTTGGGCTATCCTGGCATGAAGTGTCTCGGGTACATCTTCTTCCTCATCGAGTGCCGTCTCTTCGTCGCTTGGCTGCTCTTGCAGCGTGTTGAGGTTGGAGGTCTCTGTTTGCGGGCATGGAACGGGTGCCTCGGTAGAGCTCCGCCGAGACTTGGCGCGGTTCTTGCGTGCATATCTGCAATTTTGTCAGTCAAGAGTCTAGATAGAACGAATCAGGGGGTCACTCACTTCCCGCGGTTGGACTTTATCAGAACGCACTGTACGTGGGCATTCGCACAGCCTACGCATGGCATTCCCTCCCCGGCTGTGCATCGCGTCTTGCGTTGGTTGCATCGTTGGCACGCAACGGCCGAGCGCTTCCCAGTTGCCGAGCTTGAACTGCACCGGCAGTTCTCCGACAGTGAGGGTGTCGATTCCCGGCTCACAACCTCCTGTTGATTGGCTTGAACAGCAGGCATATCCAAACGTCGGGCCGGGGCCGGCTCCGTAACGGAGGTAATGAGGGCTCAAAGAGCCCGAAGTTGCCGTGATTATTCGGGATCTTGATAGACGAAGTGGAAACAAAGAATTCAAACAATCAGGATCTGGCTGTGTGATAGGATGGATGAACCTCCGCAATACACTCATCTGGGCTGGGGTTGCATGCGGAGACGAACCAAGTCGTCGGCACAATGTGGGGCATGAGAGAAAAAGGATGGATTGTCGGCTTCTTCGTTGTCACCCTCATCAATCTCGCTCGCGCGTGATTATCCCACATACTAGTGATCTGCCCGGATATCGCCTTAGTTAGCTATTGGAGTGATAAGGAAGATGCCATGCATATTGACGTCCTGTCGAAGGTGATGCAATGGCTCACACAATAAGGTAACTCAAAACCCTCATTTATACCACGGACGCCTTCTTTATCAACCATTCTCTCCAATTTCTCTTATCTTTACATTTGGCCGATTATCCTCACATAAAAACAACCCATAATGCCTGCCCAAGACATCACTTTCCAGACGGCCGACAATGTCACGCTCCACGGATGGTTCTATAAGCCCTCCGCCGCAAGGCATGTCCCTACGTGCCGCTGTGGCGGTTCATGGGGTCCTATGTACCACCCTTAGCGGCGATACAGCGGTAGTAATCCCATCCAGACTGCTAAAGAACGCTCTCAAAGCTCTTAAGCCATCAGGAGGACTAATTGGCTCGATGGGCAGTCATACAGACAGATCTAGGGCTGGCCCTGACCCATAATTAGCCAGCTTTAAAAGATGGGCTAATAGTTGCTGGCTGTCTAAGACCGGCTAGTACATCTTAGATAGACCGGTTTCTTAAGTAGAATCTATCTATCCATATAATTAAAGATAAGAAGATTAATTTTAACTAGCTTAGAGGCATCAGATCTAATATCATTAAGGCCTTCTTCACTCAGCTAAGGCTTCTAGCAATCGCTAAAGTCATACCGTCAAATCGTTGGAATATAGATAAGACTGGACTTCAAGAAGGGAAGGAAAGCAATGGCCTGGTACTGGGAAGGAAGGAGGCCAAGCAGGCTGTTTAAAAGGGCTCTTAACGACGTATATGAACTACTATTATCGAATGTTCAAACGCGGTGGGCAGGTCCCTAGATCCGGCCGTGATATTTCAGGGGAGGACCGTTCAAGACCAAAGGTTTCCCGACGAGCCCAGCGAGATTGACATATTTAACGGTGATTTTGATGGCCCGGAGGGCGGTCCGGGGCGGGGGGTGGGGTGGTCCAAGTTGTGGGGCCCTGTCTTATTCATCACCGGCAGCAATGAGAATAAGCAAATGCCATCCCACGCAGCAGGCGATGGGATGTCACTGCTGATCAAGATCAAGCGAATGGCACAGGTAGAAGACACTTAAGAGGGGCATAGATACTGTAAAATTATCCAAATCAAAAGCCGAAGTGCAGAGCACCACCAAGATGCCGTATCATCACAAGATGCACTCGGCTTGCTACACTCCATTATGCCCCACAAACAATCAGTACAGCCACCAAAGGAGACTCAAATACTGCCAGCACGTAATCCGCGGGATAGCCACCATGGGTCGGAATTCACCTACCGCTTGCTCCGTGTCTATTCGTATATTTTGTAGCTTTACACACAAGTCCCCTCACCCATTTACGAGTCTGTGATCGAGGTTGTTTCTCAGCTCAAAAATTCGACAGAATCCGTAGCTAGGCACAAACTGCTCCTATAGTATCTCTCATAACTGAGTAAATGTTCTGAATCAAATATATTTGAGCGATTGGTGGTAGAGTATTGAAGCATGAATGGCCCTTTGACCATGATGTGTATACGAACATCGTCTTATTGAAGCTGAAGCCCTCATACCATCACAAACATCGACAAAACGAGTCCAAGAGTCAAGTGACAAATAGGCCCAAGAACAGTACACACCCTTTCCTCCATCGTTAAAACGAACGTGTTTCTGTTTACATAGAAGCTCGTGAAGGACGATCAAGCTTAACAGGTAGAACAATTCTTAGAGGAAACCGGTAGGTGGTAGCCTTGGCTCTCAGTAGCCTAGTCCTGATACGAGTTGACGTATGCAGCCAGCTCCTCATCAGTCAGGGGGTCCTGGCCGGCCGCGAGACGCTGGGCGTCAGTCTCAACACGAGCGCAGCCCACAGGGCATCGGCAGTCAGAACGCGCGCCGAGGCTATTGCAGCAGGATGCAAAGTTGCTGAGTCGCTCGCTGATGCCACTGGCCGGGCAATCATCGTTCGTAGGGTTGCCACCAACGCTGCGGCAGCAGGCGCGAGTGGCGTCGACGTTGCTGCCACACTTGCATGCCTCGGTAGCTGAGAAGAAGGCCGCAATGGCAGTGATGGCGGCGGATAGCTTCATTTCGGTAGCTTTTGCTTTTTTAACTCAAAAGAATCTTTTTCAGACTGTGATAAGTGCTTGGACTGGGGCTTTGAGAGTGGCAGTTTTGATTCTCATTGTCCTCACCCGAGAGCAATTGACTGCCTTCTTATACTTCTCTGCTGGCCCGCATTGTATTTAATCTAGTCCATCTGATTCTCCTGAACACCGGTAGCACTGTTGTGTTACCTAAGTCTTGCATTTTTGAGTGCCCGAATGTTACGTAGGTTTTGCACTTCTGAGTCCCCGAATGTCACCCAAATCTTGCATTTCCAAGTCCCCGAATTACTTGGAGCCTTCCCAAGCTGTAGCAAATAGGACCTCATCTACCGTCGTCAGCATCGCCGCTTATGCTCCCCAGTGGCCCAGCGAGTTCCGACCTTGGGTCAATGCGTCTCGTTTCGAGGAGCCTCGCACATAGACCCGTCGCTTAGGACAAGGATGTCAGACGCGTATATGCACAGCCTCTCAGTTCACCCGCGTCCCTGTTCTTCTTACTCAGGCCAAGTCCAATACTACCCTCATCACGGCATTTACCCGCTGCAGTCATGCCGATCAATCACACCCGAGAGGAATCAAGAGCCGGCGTGCTGACGTAGCCTTAAAACTATGATTCGAGAAGTGGGGAGGCAAATTTGATGCCTGAAGTGGAGCGGCCGGATCACTGAGGCTGCACATCGTCGGCTGCATCTCCTCGTTGAGGCATGCTATGCACTGTCCTTCTCCTATAGCGATGAGAATCGTGTCGATCTAGTATTATCCTAACCACACCGACCCGAGAGACGCAAATGCGAACTGACCTATCGGACGGCATAGAGAGATGAATGACACGTAAACTGCGTTGAGGCTGCCAATGAGGATGCCGGGCATGTGCACACGGCCGTTCTCACGGTGGATCCAGGGCCCTTGTTCTCGTACCACAGCTAGGAACTGGAACGGACCAAGGAAGTTGGCAGTGAGGCCACCGATAATGTAGCAGCCACCAAACACAGAGGAGCGAGTCTTCGAGTCTTCGAGTCTTCGGATTTATATGATTGCTGGTGGCTTTTAATTGAAACAAGCCATGACCGACTGGTTGCAACGGAACTGCAGATGACTTGGCCAGCGACAAAGGCTCGCTTGTTTCTGCATGGGTCTCAATTGTAGCTCATTAGCCAAACCCTGGTAGAGACATTCACTAGAAATCTAAGTGCTAAAAGGATGTCAGAGGAACGCGAGCAGCCCGATGCTCTGACAGATGTGTTCTATCGTGGAGACGGTCACTGCCAGCCACACTTAGCAAAGAACAGTCAAATGTTTGAGCGCCATATGCCGTGAATGTGTGACCCGGTTGATCCCGTTACGTGCGAGACAAAGGGGATGTCTGGTGATGAGAATTTTATGGGATAAGTAACCCCTTAACCTTGGACGCGACGCGTTGAAAAGCGGCCCTTTGGCATGGGGAGGAACCCATGATACTGCCGAACATAAAGGGGCTTCCCCGGTTATCTCGGCTCTCACTATGGACTTGTCTGGCGGGGATGGGAATTGTCCGCCCCACTAGTTATACCAACGAAGCTGGCCCACTATTGGCCAATCGTAGGCACAGCATTGTGTATGTGAATATCAACCTTTGGTCTCAGCTTACACGGCCCTGCAGTATGAAAATGTATATATATTGGGTTCGTTGCCTAGATGGGATCTTTATAGTTTCCAAGTTAGATAGACACAGACTACCTCTCGTCATCGAACAGAGCGTTCCCAAAGTCCGTCATCCTGCCTTGTCTCGTCTTCTTTTACGTCCGTCGACGACACTATGGCGCAGCAATGCCGGCAGCCTGAGTTAACTGGGAAATGGCCTCAAGATCTTGATTTATCCAGGTAAAATGCACTATGTCGAATTGAGGGAGAAGTCGGTGACTTAATCGTGCTCGGCTAGCTTCCTTCAGGCATTGATGGGACATTCTACTGAGTCATGTGCGATCCTTTTGTCCCGCCTCATCCCAGCCATGTCCCTATTGATGGTGATTTGAATGTTTTAACATTTCGCATCCGCAAAGGGTGTGTCGACATGAAAATCAAGTACATCGAGACCGAGAGATACAACTCGAACAGAGGGCCAACGAGTCGCTGTTCGGTCTATATCGGAACCCCTTCACGCATCACCCCTGTGTGCGGGCGGCAGGGTGATTCCACTGCGAACACGAATCTTGTGTGTACGGGGCGGATAAACTGTTGGCCCTGAAAGAAGTCGCCCTTCCCTATAGTATCGACCCGGATACTCTCGAGATATGTATTACGGTTCCATTGGAGACCAAGTCAAGGCCAAAACCTTCATAGCTCATCGAAAGATTGATCCATTCACCGATGAACTCGTAGTCTTTGGGTAGCAAAGGGATTGGCCACCAAGGAAATTGTCATCTACGCTCTGGACAGGATGGGTTACAAAAGAGCCGAGCAGTGGACTTAGGCGCCCTGGTGCGCCTTCACCCACGATTGCGCCATCACCCGCAACTGGACTATTTTGGTTCTTTGGCCGTTAGAAGCCAATCTAGCACGGATGAAAGCCAGGAAACAACATTGAGCCTGGAACTACAATCTTTTAGTAATATTCATTGTCGCCCTAAGACGCAAGGAAACTCGTCTTCCCGTGGGGTGGAAGCCGGAGGAGTATCGGACATATTCGTGGAAAAACTGCATACTTATTCACACAGCGGGCGTATGGGAAGCTGGAGATGGCGATCTCTATTTCGAGTCTTCTCGAGTCCACGATAATGCTTTCCGTTTCTTTCCGTCCGAGGACAACGGATGCCTGCTCCTGACGCCAAAGCCGACTTCGTGAGCTGGAAAATCGATCTGAATCAACCAAGTGGTACTAACGTCCCCAATCCTGTTGTTATCATTGACGTGCCGTTGGAGTTCCCGCGTATAGACGAGCGCTTTATGACGTCTGTATGCGACCGCCTCTTCTTAAATGTGTTCATACCCGAGAAGTCCGGCGGCCGCAAGAATATCTTCCACGGGCTCAACGGTCTGGCCATGCATAACCCCAAAACTGGGCTAACGCGGTGGTCCTACGGGGATGAACCCCTCGTTCAGGGCCCTGTATTTATCCTGCGCACTCCCGTCACACCCGAGGGCGATGGCTGGGTTGTTGTCACGATAAAGCGCCGTGGTCTGAACCGCAACGACTCGGTGGTGTTAGACACCCGAGAGTTCGAGAAGCCCGTCGCTATTGTCCAACTGCCACTTCATCTTAAAGCCCAGATTCATGGAAACTGGATCGAGGCATCAATCCTGCCCGAATGGGCAAGCTATGTTCGAGATATACCAGAGGTTCAAATCAATAATCAGGGAGCCTTAGAGCCACTGGCCTGAGCTACTAGCTTTAAGAATATATCGCTTATAGTCTGATAGGTACATCAGTCCGGATAATATATTGCTAACCATTCCGTCGTAATTATCTCCATTTAGCTAGCGGCTTTAATGGACTCTTAGAACCCGCTCGCCATATCCAGCCTCTCTGATAAATACGCGATACCCTCTGCTCGATAAAAGTCAGGCTCTGGGTAGGCAAGTGTGCTGACATTGGTATCAAAGACAAGGTTCTCGGGGTTGTCAAGGGTGTATTCAGGCCAAAAGACTTCTGTCGCTAAGGATGCGTTAGTTTAAAAGGCCCAAGTAATGTAGGGACTGCCATGCATATCTCTAGACTTACCTTCACACTTATTAGGGTTCAGCTCATATATGAAACTGATCCAAAACCGCGACATCATACGTGCCAATTGAGGGTAAGTAGGCGGCATATTCGCAAATGGGTTGACCGCCACTGCATTCTCATAACCTTGGCCCTTGATGTTGTAGAATACAAACGCCACTTCCTGGAAATGCGTTGCTCCAATAATGGGAGGAACACCGTTTGGGACCACATCAAAGTGATAAGACCAGGAGCTCACGTTATTCCTGGCCCATGCCTGATTCGTCACTCTCCTTGGGGCTTGCATGGTCAGGTCCCCGTTATAGGCTGCGCTCCGCTTGAACTGGTACCCAAAGAAGCCTACGAGGCTGGGAGGCGGTCGACCCTTGAGAGTAGCAGGAATACCTATCTGTGGGATATCAGGGTAGAGCGCTGCGATAGTCAAGGCCTCAGCGTCGTCAAAGCCATTGGACTTGACAGCTTCCAGGAACTGTTCTGTGGTATTGATTCCTTTCTTGCTAAATGCAGTTCCCTCGTCAAAGTTTGTTCCAATAAGGTAGGGCACTTTGACGAATGCATCTTTTCGAAGAGCATCAGTGCCGGACTGGGTGATTATATCGCCATCGATGACAGGCCAAGTCCGCACAGATGCCGTCACGCTGCTGTTGAATACGGCTGAAAGTTGCGCTGTTGGAATGGTCCGCAGACATGCCAGAGTGTCGGGTGCAGAGGTGCAATTGGTCGCATTCACAATAGCGTCATAGGCCGGCTGCCAGCTCGATGTATTGCCGCCGGACGAACCAGATGCGGCTCCAGACTCTGATATCGCAGCACGGAACAGACCATCGTCACGGCCTCCGTAGGCGTACAGATGTATGGCGACGCTCATGCCTCCCGCGCTCTCGCCCCAGATGGTAACCTTGGAGGGATCACCACCAAAAGCAGCGATATTCTCCTGGATCCAATGGAGGGCCAACCTCTGGTCCCTGATGCCGAGATTGGAAGCACCAGCGGCTTTAAGTTCTTTGCCGTACAGGAAGCCCCATTCCGCGAGACGGTAGTTCAGAGTCACGCCAACAATAGGTTGCTGAGCAGCGACCGACTCCTGGACGATGAAGGACAGGTTATATCGCGGATCCGAGCCACCGCCCATGAAAAACCCTCCGCCGTGGATCCATACAGCCACAGGCAATTTTGCGTCTGGAGAAAGCCCGCGGGGCCGAACCACATTGAGCGTTAAACAGTCCTCCGAAACATAGTTGCCAAGGACCCAGTTGTCGCTACCATAACCGATGCACTGTGGAGAGTACTGCGTCGCATTCTTGGCGTCAACCCAGGTAGAGTTGAGAGACTGCGGGACTCGGAAACGAAGATCACCGACGGGCGGCTGAGCATATGGTATACCCAGGAAAGTGTCTTGGCCGTAATTTGGGAGGGAAAGACCATAGTATGAGCCGTTCCGAACAGTGACTCTAGGTGCATTACCTTTGCCACGCTCGTTCAGCAGAGGAGTAATAGCACCAAGAACTGACGTCGCGCCGAGCAGCAGCGCTGCGGCTAACGAAACCACGATCATTGTTGTGAAGGTCTAGGTTGATCTACTTCACAGGCAGGCCAAAGTAAGAGAGAATATCATCTGCGCGAGGCAATGTTCAAGGGCCTGAAGAGACACTCGGTCGTTTTCATTCCCTGACTCTGGCAGCATTGGCTATATACATGTAGCTTCGAAGGGCAACCAACACAAAAGTCAATGCCGTAACTCCCGCTTCGAAGGCCCTTCGTTGAGATGCGTTCGAAGCGCCGAAAGAAGCGCCGAAACTTGCTGACAATCCTGGGATCTTCAAAAGCTCACGATACGAAGTTGTAGTCATGGCCAGCAGTGGTTAGGACTTCCTCCAGATTAAGGCAACTCCCGAAGCTAGCTCCGGAACCATGCGGGGTATGATGGGGCCAGCCAAGGTTGAGTGCCGACGGTCTGGTTGTTTACTCCGAAGTTTACCCTTTAGGTTGTGATTGAGAGCCAATAAGAGTCGACTCTGGCTGGATCCTGGCTTGCATGCATCATTTCCCAACCCATTGCCTCTTAGCTCGGGAATCTTGTGCCTCGGCCCTTTACACCACTTCTAGGTGCCATTGTGTGCGCTGGCTCTCGTTCCATAGCATTCTATGTGCTACTGTTTTTTCTTGCCTCGATCAAGCTTGTGGCCTGACCCCAGTTGCTGGTGCATTCATCCTCGATGTTCGCTCCACTGCCCCAATGCTCCAAGACGTCCGAGCAACTAGCTTGGCATCCACAGCGCGTATATCGTTCAAGAAATTCCTCTTAAAGGCCACTTACAAGTAGAATAGCGTAAGCCAAGCCACGCCATCCCTTTAAGAGCTGCAGGAACACTCCACAGATCTTGAAGATACAGGGATCTATTGCAGACATTCTTACTGAATAAGGTAACTTGCACGCGATGTGTTCCTACGGTTCTGAAAATAATAATCCCTGATATGCAGCTTGCAGTGTGTAGTGCAGTCTTTATGGAGTAAAAGCATTGATTGCAATTGTTACGAACGAGGTCAAGCGCGAACACGGCTGGTTGCTATTTCATGAATTCCCACCCCGAAGAAGCTTGGAAGATTGAATTTAGGGAATGCTAGTACCTGTACCACTGAAACCAGACGACCTTCTTAGCATGACTGCCCGTAGCCTCAAACGTGCAGCAAAGTTCGCATACCGTTTTCATACCTGGTCTACATTCTTCGTCGCTATCTTCAACAATCCAGCTGCCGAACGCAAACACATCAGTCAGGGTATATTCCAGAGTTGTAGTGCCACTGGAGTCTTCGTAGTTCGTGTCAGCTCCATGACACAACAGCCATGTTACAACCCTAGGAGGCGACAGGTGGGTTGGTCGGCAGGTGTGGCGCTCTACCTTGCCAAGGACAAATCGTTGGACGGGAACATGACTGGATTGGGACCCAGTTTGTACTGATGTGAGCAACAGTGATACGACTAGACACGTGTATAATTCTTCTGGCGCGAAAGTGAATAGGCAACTCCGGTGCGCTGGGGATCTTTCAGAGGTGTTGCCATAAGAATGGATTCTGGGTCCTTCAGAACCCGATACCCTGCGGTAGGAAGAAGTTTGGCGGTATCTAGAATGACCTCGTCTTGTTCGGTATTCCGGAGAGAGAAGGAATGAGCAATGAGGCATCATCTTGTACGTTGAAGCAGACGCGGGGTGACTTGAGCTGTATCTCTCGACTCGAGTACCACACCAAGGAAGAGTCTGCAGAGAAGCTGAGTTAACTCGTGAGCCACAGGTCAAATGGGAACATTGGAGCCTATGGTATGATCGAAGGGTTCTTGGAAGATTCCTTGCTATTGCTACATGAAAGGAAGGAAACCGGGCTGTACTTTCATATATTGTCTCAAGACTCGATGCATTGCGAATGCTGGGTCTTACAATACTGGCATTATGCCGAAGTGTTTGATTCTTACCAACCCTCTGAACCTAATAACTCTGATTATTGTTGCTGTTGTGCAATGGTAACAAGCCCATCCTCAGTTTTCCTCGGCGGAAAAATCTTGTTACTAGTGGGCATTATTGGTCTGAATTCAATTTTTACACCAGCCGCCATTCCCGTGACCTCTATTCTAACAGTCCGCAAAAGATACTGGCTTTGACATTGCTAACGTCATTAATATTCAATCTAGCCCTGACGGGTTCGTAGAAGTCTCAACCCCCATATACGCTAATTAATGCTAATTGCAAGTACAGATTTCCGTAGCAAACCACCAACATTATGGTGAATCCTGCCACTACCATTCCAGGGATTTTAACTTTGAACAATCCACAGTTGAGCAGAATCCAATGTCGTCCTTGCTCACGGTAGCGGAACCTGGCAGATTCTGCCTAGCCGGCCATATCTCGCGCTTCGCCTTCGCTTCTAGCTTGTGGTGCGTAACGACAGCCTCGCGCACTGACTTCTGGAAGTATAATGGGCCCTGCTCCATTCTCGGATGAAGTTCGCCGTTGACAAACACGCCTCTGTTAATGTTCTTTTGTGCGTTGAGGCACAGGTATTTGTCCTCTGACATGATGCGTTTGTAGATATCGTTGATCGCATTGAAATCCTCGTCGCTGGAGTTCTTGTTCCTGTAGACCTCATACTTCATAGCGGACCTATTAGGCCCCTTGGGTACAAAGCGTTGCATGAAGAAGAAGTGTGGTCTACATAGTCAGCACTGCTGTTCATAGATCTGGGAATACCGATCTACTTACGAGACGTTCATGGAGGCGTTAGGGAAGTAATAGGTAGCAGCGACATTGAAGCCTTTGGCAATTTGTTCCGGGGTGGGGTTGCCAAGGTGTTGGACGTAGCCCTTCTCTGTCTTGACAGCATATGCCTCCAAGTCTGCAATGGCGGGGATGTCGGGATGTGTTGTAGGGCAATGGTAGCATTCGTTGTAGTTATCGGCCAAGAGCTTCCAGTTGTACTCTCCTTCCATCTCCCATGTGTGATCAAACACGTACTCGTCCCAGTTATACGCCTTGAACCGGGCTTGTTGATCAATGCCATCGAAGTCCTTATCCCAAGGCGTTGGCTTCTCGGCACTATCCATATTGACCCAGATGAAGCCGTTTGTGTCAATGTGGACGTGGATTGGGAAGAGCCCGTTCTTAGACTTGTCGAAACCCTCTAGCTCCTGATACTGAGGAGCTTTGGTGAGCTTGCCGTTGAGAGCGTAGGTCCAGTTGTGGTATTTGCAGGCAAAAATGGAATTGTTGCCCTGCTCCTCCGTGACAACTGGGAAGGCCCGATGTCTGCAGACGTTGTGGAACGCGTTGATAGTGCCAGTACGATCCTTGGTAATGATGAACTTGAAATCGGCTACCTCGTACTGCAGCCAGTCTCCGGTGTTGGGCAGCCTAGCCTTGTGTGTCGTGAGGAGCCACTTCTTGGAGAATATGGCTCTCCTCTCAAGATCGTACATGGCTTGAGAAGTGTACCAAGATCCTGGCAAGGCCCTGACGGGGTTCTTGTCCTCGGCCGGACCCGCCAAGCCGCGGCCGAGATATTTCGACAGCAGAGTGATCATCATGGCGAATACAGAGGCTGATAAGCCAAAGAAGACAAGATTTGGGGAATAGGAAGTAGTGAGCTCCATCATCTTGGAAGGACGTATCGCTCGTGTCTTTGTTGGAGGCGTGCTCAATAGAGTCGAGAACTTTGTGCTTGACTACTAACCCAAGCGCACACACTCGAACGCACCTTCAACGTGTCTCATATACTACTGAGCTATGGTTATCTATACTTTGACAATGTACCTTTCCGGGTAGTAAAGCAACCACACGATCGATATCTGGCACGCTCTACCACACACAACACATGCTTCCGTGTCGAGCTTATCACCCAGGGCGCGATCACGTGATCGGGTACCGGACCAAGTCGCCGTGTCCGACGTAGTACACCCAGATACATTCAGCTGATCGGTGATGGCCCACGAGCCCAACAAGCCAGGAGGACTCGGCGCGTGAGCCATTCGATCCGGAACTTACCCCAATATTTGGGCAGCATTGATGCAGACTCCGGTCTTCGTCAGGCCTGATGATCTGGAATGGAGGGTTCTTCGTGAGATGCCGCTTCCGGAGCCGCTCTTGGATCCACTCACACCTGCTTTGGCTCCTTTCGCCCTGCCGACGACATCGGCACTCGACCCCGTAGCGTCCTTCTAGAACTTTTGCACCGCACCAAGGGCATAAATGCATTTTGTCTCTGGACTCCAAACGCAATCCGGAGATCAACGTTTCCATTCACTGTCATCGGTCAGAGTCACTGTGGCAAGGATCCCTTTTCGGCTTGTTGATCCTCCCCCTCCCCGTTCCCCGTCCTCACCATGGCTACTGAGGACAAGTCATCATACATTATCGTCGGCGCAGGCGTGTTCGGTGTCTCGACTGCTTACCACCTAATCAAGAAGTATCCGCATGCATCAGTCACTCTGGTTGACCGAGATGCATATGATGCGGACAACCGCGTAGCTGCTTCGTGGGATTGGAACAAGGTGGTACGCGCAGACTACGACGACATCGTCTACTGCCGGCTGGCACTGGAGGCCCAAGACATCTTCAAGTTCGATCCGCTCTGGAAACCATATTTCCATGAGACTGGTATATACTGGATGTGCCGCAGTGACTATGCGCAGGATGTCATCAACAATTACAAAAGGCTTGGCCGTACGGCCGACCTGGCGGCCTATCCTATTGAGGAGGCTCGTAAGCTTTACGGCGGTCTTTTCGAGGACGCCGACTACACGGGCGTCAAGGAGGTTCTCATCAACAAGACAAGTGGATGGGCTGCCGCTGGCGATGCATTGAGAGCGGTCACTCGTAAAGCTCTGGACTTGGGTGTCAAGTATCACGTCGGAGAAGTGGCAGGCCTGCTCTTTGACAGAGACAGCCGTTGTTCTGGAGTGAGAACAGCCGGAGGCGACGTCCTGATGGCCACGCATACCGTGCTCTGCACTGGCGCATACACGCCGAAGCTGCTGGAATACAGCGCCGCAAGCAGCGGGTTGACTGATCTGCGGGCCGGGTCGAGAATTGTGGCAGGCGGAATCACGACAGGGATGACCAAGCTGGACGACGAATCATACAAAAGGTTTGCGTCAATGCCCGTCGGCGTTCAGGGATACACAGCCGCGACAGGTGACTTGCCCTTTACTCCTTTGCGGTATTTAACGTGCCAGCTGACCTTGAATGCAAGGCCCGTTCATCGGCAGCCTGCCTCCGACTCCAGACAGGGAGCTCAAGTGGTGGGGGCAGACGATTTTCAGAAACACCCGAGAGGTACTCCCTGGTCGTTTTCTCTCAGCACCACCAGCGGAACCGGACTATGGGCAGTGGGATGTCTCTCGAAAGCTCAAGGAGGACATCGACCACGCCAACAAGGTCTTCTATGGCAAGAATGGTGCAAACTGGACGATGGAGAAACATCGCATCTGCTGGTAGCCATTTTGTTGCCCCTAATGTTCACGATGCAGATAGATTCTGACTCTTTGGCAGGGACGCTTTCACGACAAGTGCTGATTTTATCATTTCTCCACACTCCGCGGCAAAAGGCTTGTACATTGCAACCTGTGGCAATTTCCACGGCTACAAGTTCTTTCCTGTACTTGGCAAGTACATCGTGCAGATGCTGGAGGGGGAGCTGTCCCCTGAGTTGGTCCAGAAATGGGCATGGGATCGGGAAAGACCCCAGCCTTCGGTCAACCCCGACTATCCGAGATTTGAAATGGCGGACCTCCTGGATGCCAAGAGAACGTCCAAGCTGTAGACGCACAGGCAATGCCCAGTGCTTAATTATCTCTGAATAATGAGGTGTCCAAGCCGGGACACTTAGCTCCTGCGATAGTCTATTGAGTGCCGTCAACGACAAGAGAGGCGTGGTTCATTCCTTCACATCCTGCACCATTATTGCCAAGGTGCTAAGGCCATCTTCCTTCGCTTCCTGGTTTAGCTGGTTACGCTAAGTAACCCGGGAAATGTGGTTGTGACCGTTTTTGGGCACAGGCCCTTTACCGAGAGCAGCATTGTGATGAGGTAGCTTGCTCGCGTAGACTTAGACACAGGACAACACGGACAATGACGGGGGTCTAGCCAACAAGACTGCTTACATGCACGTCGTGCCCCTGCCGTTGCTTTGGCAGAGGTTAAGTCAAATCAACACACTGCATTCCTTTGATTGAGCCTAGTGTACGTAAGTGTAGTGGTGTGGTGACCCGGCCTTCGATTTCACTTGCTGCCACGTCAGTTTGGGCGCAATCAATCAAGCGGGGACACCAATCACAGATATGGTATCTCTGACCCTGGCCACCAATTGCTACCCCAGGTTCGGTCAAAATACTCGGGGCGGGTATCTTTGATCGGCCTCGTGACGGGGGTTGGACACCCGTCACGAAGTGAATGCGGGGAAGAACGATAGCAGGATGACTCCAAGGAGAGATAGCTTATCGCCGGCATCGGCGGACCGACACGCTACAGATACATTAGATTGGTAATTACCCCTTGTCTGTCTGGTTACTGAGTCGTCCCAAGCATGTTGTCCCCGCCCGCCCATGTTTTGTGCTCTTTCTACCCCACAGTCTTTGGACAGGAGCGTCATCGTCATCCAACGGACCTCTGGGCTTCATGACTCCTCCAGCGGAACGAGAAACCAGTCCTCGCAGCAGACGAAGATCCCACAATGCTTGCTTGCCGTGCAGGTAATTCACGGCCCTCGTCCTCTGTATTTGCCATGCACACTGACCACGTTCTGGCAGGAGAAAGAAGACGCGCTGTCCCGGCGAGAAGCCGGCTTGCTCCAGCTGCTCTCGACTCAACCAACAATGCACCTATGCCCCCGTGATGAAGGCTACTCGAGCCGGCCCCTCCGTATGCCATGCGTTGCGGTAGATGCCTTTAATCGTCGTCGTCTCCTGACATTTGGCAGGAAGAGAGATTGGCCACCTTGGAAGAGAAGCTGGATCGGATCCTGAGCGGAAGCTTGTAAGACTGGTGTCCATCGCAACATCTACAGCGAAAAAGCGGAACTGACCATGATCCAGGCCGAACTACACGAGCTCTGGGCGCCCAGATCAACCAAACAAAGAATTTCCCGACACCTCCGAGCGCTCTTTCTCCCCGAGTTCAGCACCCGAGCGAGATACACCAGCCAGTCATCAGTCGACAGTCATATCCGAATCTGCCTCCTCAAGATCGCGACCGAGTCACACAGATATTGCTCATGGGATTCGGATATACTTCAGGCACTGCCATCGGCAACCGGTGTGGTGTTTTGAGCGCAATGAGGTCAGGGACCATCGGTCATTGCCCGACGAGCTCGTCGGTAGCATTCTGGCGTTGACCTCGCGCTTTTCGGCAAACCATGACCGACACTATGGTGACGAGGCCAGGCATCTGGTCATGCTCCGCGTGGCCAATGGCACTGTCACCCTTCCGACCATCGAGAGCCTGTGTCTTCTTTCGTACTCTTCCTTTATTGGTATGAAATCTCTTTTCTGCGTCGCCTGCCGTCGCGAATGCTCACAACTGGTTGCTGGCACAGATGGCAATATACACTTGGGCCAATTTCATCTTGGTCTTGCGCTGCAACTTTGTCGATCTGCAATGCTCGATCATGGATCGACCTATTCTGTTCGAGATCAGGTAACGGAACGGAAGAAGAGATTATTCTGGAGTCTTCAGCTTCTGGAACACTTCTACGGCCGACCCACAGGCATCCTGAGTGTGTCCTCCCAGATTGGTCGCCTAGCCTTCAGTACCACAACTGAATCACACGGACACAACTCAGATACCGGCCCAGAGATCCCACCGTTACCCAGAGACGAACTCGGGTACGGCGAGCCCAGCGAACCTGGGATCTGGAACACAGCTGCACGTCTAGGTTGGATCTGGGGTAACGTGAGGAAGTACGTCTCTGATTGCTCTCAAAACATACTCAAGGAGCCATGGCGACACGACTCGGCGTATTCTATGGTCAACTCGGACTTCATGGAGACGGAGCACAGGATTCCCATTTACCATAGATATGACTCGGTCAAGTTTTTCGATCGCACTCCGGAGGATCTCAGAATGAATCATGATTACTGGGCACCATGGCTCAAAGAACAGTTCACATATCATGCCATTCCTACCGTCCTCAACCATCCCTTCCTCTACATCGTCGCGGCCCAGCACAACCCAGACCTTGCGATCCCAAACACATTCTGGCGGAGGTCGTCGGAACTGGCTTTACTGCATGCAACCTGGATAGTCCGCATTATTGATATGATCGTGGAGAAGCAGGTTCTGCTCACAGACCCGTTCTTTGGGCACATGGCTGCCATTGCCGCCACAGTACATATGTACTACTGTTGCGCTGCGGCCGCCAGGCTGAAGCACAAATCAAACACCGATCTGGCGAAGTGCAGAAAGTTTCTGCAGAGCTTTACGCAATTCTCACCCGCCTGTGCGGCTCTGGTAGGAGGGTTTCGCCATCTCGATGAGAAGCATGAGCTGACCATGAACAGGACCACAGTCTCGACAAGATGACTCGAATTGCTGCAGATCCAGACGGCATGGATCTTGAAGACTGGATGCCATCCAAGCTCAACCTAAGTGTCCCGCTAATGTGGGACATCTTACTGTTCAATTGTACAATGGACACATCGGGTGCGACCGGTGCCAAGCTCTTGGATGCGTCATTAGCACCAAGGCCCGCTAAAGAAGACGATGGCGAGGACTCGATACTCGAGATCGTCGTCGCGACAGCACCAGAGATCACGATTGACACTACCGATGGTGGGCAACAAGCTCCTTCGCTTTCAAGAAGGCCTCAGGTCGCTCAAACGTCGACGGGAGAAACCCCGCGAAACATTGTCTGGAACGACCCGTCGTTTGAGCTGGTCGATAACCTGACTTTCAACACTACGCCCTGGCTGTACGCAGAGCCCTCGCAATTTGCCACTCTGGGGGACATGGGCTGGCACGATCCTCACTCGGCGATGAGTGATAACAGGGCCCCACCTTGGTGGGAGGGAGGAAATTTCAACAGCGTGATGTTTAATTAGTCACGGTATCCTTGAAGGAGAGCGTGCGTTACCGGCCGGTGTACGATACTTGCCATTTACTTCCACTTTCCTAGAAGGGCGTGACAAGAGAGGGGGATATCAAAAGTAAAGTTAGAAATATCGTAAATATTACGTACCTCATGATGCAATGTCAAGGCCGGTCCCGCACCGCTCAATGCTGCTCCAAAGGTTCTCCACGCCGTTGCTGTGTATCTATGTGTCAACGTGTAACTGCACCCTAAAAATTCTCCAAATTCTCCCACCCGACCTAGCACAAGGTCCACATGATCATCAGCGGTCGCCTCCCGAAGGAAGGGTCCAGACCAGTCTTCTGTGGGTGGCGATGTGCCAAGGAGGGGGGGGAATCCAGGGTATCTGGCATATCGAACGGATCGCATTCTCGGTATGCAGATCGGCCACGCGGTTCTGATGGCCGATTGGCTATTCGCAACCTATCTGGGCAAGCTGGGCAGGGGCAAGCAACATCGAAAGCTTGGCCTTGTTGATAGATACCCGCGTCCTTTTGCTGATAAGACGGCGAAGCGGCCTCCTTATGCCGATCACGTGATAGGCACTTACACGTCTCGAGACATCAGACGCCGCGTGTTATTGCTCGCGGTAACCATTGGGTTGATATTGATATACATTAGATAGCATGGGATATGTCCCTCCTGCGGATGTCTTGAAGTGACTGCATCCATTCTCCGGCCTGGCCATTTGCAGTTGCTACTCGCCCTTAGTCTCATTTCTCATTCCCAGACACCCGGCGATCACTCGACGTGAGAGTAGTTTGTCAAAACTGGTCATTTGCGAGCACAGAACATTATTGCATCCCCAAAATATTGCTTTCAGCGAGAATTAAGAGGGCCGCAAGAACAATGGCCTCTACCTCGCGTGTTGTCATCATCGGGGCTGGCATCGTTGGCACCAACATCGCTGACGAGCTGGTCTCGCGAGGATGGAAGGACATCACAGTCGTTGAACAAGGCCCTCTGCACATGCCTGGAGGATCCACGTCACATGCTCCTGGTCTAGTCTTCCAGACGAACGGCTCGAAGACTATGAGCCTGTTCGCTCGTTACACTGTGGAGAAGCTACTCTCTTTGGAGAAGGACGGAGAGAGCTGCTTCAACCAGGTCGGCGGATTGGAAGTGGCCACGACACCCGCAAGACTCGAGGAGATCAAGCGGAAGCTTGGCTATGCCCAGTCTTGGGGGGTTGATGCCCGCCTCGTCGACACCAGCGAGTGTCGCAAGCTGTACCCGCATCTGAACACCGAGTTGGTGCTTGGTGGCCTCCATATTCCCACCGATGGTCTGGCGTTGGCTGCCCGCGCAGTGCAGCTTCTGATTGACCGAACAAAAGAAGCCGGAGTGCGCTATATTGAAAACACCGCCGTCACCGGCATCGAAAAGGCTGACGGGCGTGTCACGGGAGTTGTGACTCCGGACAACACCATACCAGCTGATATCGTCATTTCCTGCGCGGGATTCTGGGGAGTTGAGATTGGGAAGATGATAGGCCTACCTGTGCCGCTGCTTCCCATGGCACACCAGTATGTCAAGACCACAGCCATACCGTACACCAATGGCGTCACTGCCCCAGAGCAAAACGGCTCGGCCGATGTCGCCGACTCGCCTCCACACCAACCCGTCAAGCCAAACTCGGCGAAATTGCCAATCCTGCGATATCAAGATCAGGATCTCTACTATCGCGAACACGGTGATCAGTACGGCATCGGTTACTATGGCCACCGCCCCATACCCGTGGATGCCGCTTTGCTGGGCAGGACCCCACAAGATGTCACCGAGCACAGCATGCCTTCCCGACTGGAGTTTACCCTCGACGATTTTGAGCCGGCATGGAAACTCTCTCAAGAGCTCCTTCCAGTCCTGAAGAATACGGAAATTGACGACGGATTCAATGGCATCTTTTCATTCACCCCAGACGGTGGCCCACTCGTGGGTCAGGCACCCAACCTTGACGGCTTCTACGTAGCAGAGGCAGTGTGGGTGACGCATTCTGCCGGCGTGGCTCGCGCAGTGGCGGAGCTTCTCACCAGCGGCAAGTCCACCGTCGACCTGGCCGAGTGCGACATCTCAAGGTTCGAGCAGGTCCAGCTCTCGCCAGAATATGTGCTGGAAACTTCCTCCCAGAACTTTGTAGAAATCTACGACATTCTACATCCACTGCAGCCACGCGACTCTCCCCGCAACTTGCGTGTGTCCCCATTCTTCATGCGTCAACAGCAGCTCGGCGCGTTCTTCCTCGAGGGGGGTGCTTGGGAGAGGCCGTATTGGTTTGAAGAGAACGCAAAACTGCTAAAAGACCTTCCTGAGGAGTGGCAGCCTGTGGAGCGCGATGCGTGGTCGAATCGGTACTATTCGCCCATCGCTGCTGCTGAGGCCTGGAAAACCCGTACCGCGGTGGCAATGTACGATATGACGCCACTGCGCCGTCTCGAGATATCAGGCCCGGGCGCGGTCGACCTCCTCCAGCGACTCACCACCGGCAACGTCTCAAGGAAACCCGGTGCCGTCACATACACACTACTGCTCGATGGGCAAGGCGGCGTGCGCAGTGACATTACCGTGGCCAGGATTGAGCAGGATCTATTCCAGGTCGGCGTGAACGGCCCTGTCGACACTGCCTACTTCACACGAGAAGCTCGTCTGCAAAGTAAAGAGTCGCCAGAAAAACAAGCACGAGTTCGGGATATTACGGGGTCGACATGCTGCATCGGTCTCTGGGGCCCGCTGGCTCCGGAAGTTATGAAAGCTGTCACCACCGAGGACTTTTCCAACAAGGGCCTGACATACTTCCGTACCAAGAGAGCGACGATCTGCGGCGTCCCAGTCACCGTCATGAGACTGTCGTATGTCGGCGAGCGCGGTTGGGAAATCTACGCGAGCGCCGAGAATGGTCTTCGTTTGTGGGACGCTCTCTGGAAGGCTGGCGAGCCGCACGGCGTCATCGCAGGAGGACGGACCGCATTCAACTCGTTGAGACTGGAGAAGGGCTTCCGGTCCTGGGGTGCCGATATGACCACCGAGCATGATCCTTTCGAATCCGGTCTCGACTTTGCTGTCAAGCTTGAGAAGCCTGATTTCGTCGGCAAGGCAGCTCTGGCAGGACGCTCCCGCGACAATGCCAGCAAGAAGCTCCGCTGCCTCACTGTGGATGACGGCAAGTCTGTCGTTCTCGGGAAGGAGCCAGTGTTTGTGTCAGGCCGCGCAGAAGGCTACGTAACAAGCGCAGCTTTTGGGTACACGGTCAGAAAGCCGGTCGCGTATGCCTACCTTCCGAGCACCGTGAATGAAGGTGATGCCGTGGAAATTGAGTACTTTGGAAAGCGAATTCAGGCGACTGTAACCCCTGAACCACTTTATGATCCTTCAATGAGTCGTCTCCGCGGTTGAGACAGTCGGTGATCATCTTGATAGTATTCAAGGACCGGTCTCATGGGCATATTAGCATTAGTAGTGAGATGTAATATTGGGGGTGGGTTACTGTGGCACTTGGGAGCAAGAATAGCCTTTGATCATTTTGACCTGCGCATCGAAACATCCTCTCTAGTTTGAAGAGGTATATAATACAGTAAATTGACCAATCTTTTCCTTGTTATTCCAGGCGATTTGCTCATTCTTAGCCACTACTTCTTCGCAGTCTGTTTTACAAACAGAGTGCTTAGATTCTTCCGTCCCCATCGCTCGCTCTCCTATTCTTCCGGGCTCAAGCCTTTGTAGATCCGTGGGTAAGGTCGCTCTATGCATGCCTGCAAGTCAGGTCCATAGCAGTACCCCCGCCATGAGATCTACTGGGTAAGTGGCTTTTTCGGTATACAAAGCGACCAGGCATACCAGCCATTAGGCGGGCGTGTTCTGAGGTTGGTACATCGCCAAAGTGTCGGAAGAGAAGTTTGGTTTACGCTAGGTGGTGCGTGGTACTGGCAATTCCAACCTAGGGACTGGCCTCGACTAAACATGATCCAGTATTATCGTACCCATGCACATTCATGCACATTCATGCACCCATTTCCTGGCCCCAAAGATCCGTATTGAAGAACAAAAGAGACTCTATTTCATCGCCACGGAACAGGTCAGACGCGACTGTAAAATCACGTACACAATCGACCGGCAGCCCTACTCCATCGAATGAGGCGTCGGGATTTAGGTTCCAAGTGGCGGATGGGAGCTCGCTTATGTTGGTTGCGCCCGGTGGTCCTTGTTGTGATGGTCGTGGTGAATGGTGATTACCAGGTCGGTTTGTGACATACTGGTCGCATAGGACGGTCAAGGCACTTTTGCAGCGTCGTGCAGACTCGGCATGCCGAGTGTGGTGGATCAAGATGTGCTGCCCCGTTTGAATAGAGGCCGCCAGGTTCGCTGTTGTGAACTCTTCTACCACTTCGGGGAAGATATGTGCCGCAATAAGAACAGTCGCGGCCGTGTAAACGTATGTCACTATGTGCCACCATGGTAGCACGACGTGCGGGCTCTGCCCCTCGAGGGAGAGACACGTCCGGATCAGGTCGAGGATCTCCTGCGCCGTGCGAACACAGGTGAGCATGCCTTGGTGTGTCACGGCGTCCACGAAGGAGCCGGAGTTCGCGGGCCCGGTGGCGGAATGTTTCAATCGTCTCGCTGCATGCAAGAAGAAGATACGGTACAGTAGGATGCGGATATGTAGAAAGCGCACGTGTAGATGGAACATGGGCCCAGTGAAGGCCGAGTCGCCCCTTTGATGATATGTTTCCGTCAGCTTATCACTGATGTGTAGGTGGTGTGGGAGACCCTGGCGGAAGCCGTCAAGTTTGCCGTCTATGTCTACGATGTGATTGATGTCGACAAATGTCTTGTCGTCGTGTCGAACCCTGTCTTGATGGTCCAATACGTCCCCGAGAATGAGATGGAGTTGGCAGAAGGCGAGGAAGAATGAGACGCCGGAGGGCTTCCCGGGCGGCTGGACACCAGGAGCGACCACCGTACTTGGCCTCGTGTTCAAGTATTCGTCATCAATAGCCGAAAAGAGCTGCGCGCCTTTGGCCATGTCCTGGGAAATCTGCAGCGGTTGACCTGACGTCATGGCGGTGATGCGGTCCAACAGAATACAGCCATGCCAAGCCCGTCGCCCAATCTCTCGCCGATACTGGTCCGGCATACGGTCAATACTATCGGCCTTGTGTAGGCCAAGATTGCGGGCAATCAGGATGCAGAGGCCGACCAACGAGGTGCATCCGCGCACGTCATTGACGCCCTGAAACCACTGAGTAAGCAGGAGCAACGTCCAGAGCAGGTCCATGCGATTGAGATCCAGTAGACACAGCCGTAGCAGCTTCTGGGCACGAAGAAAATATGTCTGAGCCAGCAGGCCTTGGTCTTCTGCCAAATCTTCCGACTTGGATTGGTACACAAGTGCGAAGATGACGTTGAGGTTGGCAAAGTGAATCTGCTCCTCCACGCTGTCTAGCGCAAGCTTGTCCTCGGCCGCCCATAGGTTGTCATACCAGCGCATAAATTTCAATCGGTCGATCCAATGGATGTAGGCGTCCCTGAAGAAACGATCGACCAGGGTATCAGCGACGGGGCGGCTCGGAAGGACGTAGTCGGCCGAGTGTACACCCCTTGGGCGTGTCGCAGGAAGACCTACACACTGTCTGTCGACCGCCGCTCGGTCTTCTCTGATTTCGGGCGCAGCGTCGTCTATGAGGGTGTCGCTCGGAGTTGGGTTAGTAGTTGGCGACTCCCGGAAGACGGTGTTGAAGAAGTTGGTAGAGTTGGAGGCCGCGAGCAGCCCAGCTGTCAAGATCCAATTCCGGCCGCCCCCGGCGCCAGCCTCGTCGTCAGCCATGGTTGGTTCCTCCTTGTCCCTGCAGTGACTGGAGCCAGGAGCTGAGGTATCACCCGTCTCAGTTGTGGGTGGTCTGGGAGTTGGACTGAACATGAGAGGTGATGGTTGCGGCGCATATACGCACACAGGGGGGACATTCTTGCGTCTCAGACATGCTCCGCACTCTGCCAGTCCCGTCAGGTTCATTCTAAGTACATGATTTGGGGGACAAGGGTGGGAAGGAGTGTGTATTACTTGGTCTTCGAGCATCACATCGAGACTTTCTCAGCCTACAAGTGTCGCAGGCCACATCCACCTTAACGCGTTTCGACTTTGGTAAAGTGGAATCCCGGCCTTCTGCATCACCAGCTGGAGCAATGCTCGTCCACATAGTTCACCATAAGTGTAAAGAGCAGTAATAAATGGGTTTGACAGAAAAGGGGCACGCCTTGAGTAGGTGTTTGTGCATGTGGGGGGCGAGTAAAGAGGGATGAGACTGACGAGGCGGGGACCTGCCTCGCGCCGGTTTATTAGTGCGACTCGCGACGGTACTAGCTGAAATGAATCGGCAGGTCTACTAAAATGCCACATAACGGGAAAAGGCATACCCGAGCATAATCCAAGTGGCCCACCACCTATGTCGCGACCGGCCCTAGGATGGCCTCATTGGCTATTCTGATTGGAGTACTTCGCGAGCCAGGCGCATTACATCTTCAAAGTGTTCTTTAAGCCAAACCACATGTCCGTATCCCCGAGTGTCATCGCTCATGGCATCCCGAAGTTCCACCTTCCCTTCCGGTCCGAAGCGCATGAACCGTTCCGCGGCCGTATAAGGCTCCCAAGGCGTTTTCCCATGAGCAAAGGCTGTCCAGGCTTCTGCCATGGCCTCTGCAACTCTCTGCGATTTCGCGGGCAGTGCCTCATTCTCGACCCCGTACATGTACAGGGCGCATTGACCATGGTATGACAGCCCGTACGTGAGCCCTGGGAATGGGGACGGCTCCTCAAAGTGATACAGAAATGCGTCACCTCCCGTCGAGACCTTGAAGGTTTCGGCGATGCGCATATTCGGAAATTGAAACATCATCACAGACATGAAATGCCGGATGGAGTCTCGGTAGGCCTCCCATGGCTGTTCATCGTCCCCGGAAAAGCCAAAGAGACGGGAGAATGTGTCGGCGTCGGACTTGGACAACATGTTGCGGGCCTTCTTCTGGAGTTGCGACGGCTTGATGCGCTTGGCCAGTCCACTCATAATGATGCCCTCGACATTAGTGTCTCCGATAATCAGCGACTGACACCTGGTCTGGTTCGGCTGCTCGAAACTCCACGACTTGGGCAGCAGAACGCCGTCGGCCATAGGACCCATGGCAGCCGCCGAGTAGCTTTGCAGGATCTCTTGAGGCTGGATTGCCCTCAGTCGCTCCAGCCGTTCTTTTGGGGGATCTCCTGCCACACCCAGCTTGCAGCAGAGATCCTCCCAAGCCTGCTGATATCGGAAATATGGGAGAGGCCCCAGAGTAGGAGCCGCGCCTGACATGCAAATGGCGCGGTCAAACATGGGTTTCCCAGTCAAGATGTGATGATGGACGCTGGCGCTGCCAGCACTGACGCCAAAGGCCGTCACATTGTCTGCATCGCCGCCAAAGTCTTGGATGTGTTCTTGGACCCAGATCAAGGCGTTGCGCTGATCGACAAAACCATAATTACCAACCGCCAAGTCGGTCGTGGGCCGCCCTTCGCCGTTCGTCACACCAGACGCCTCCTTCGTCTCGGTAATGAGGTCTTCCGAGGCAGCAAACCCGAGGGCCCCCAGGCGGTATCCCACCTGCACGAGGATGATGGGGTGACCCGTTCTCCGGGCTGTTGCACACAGGCGGTGCGGACGATAGCGGGCCACCGAATTCGCGCCGTATTTGAAGGCGCCGCTAGAACAAGATCTCTCAGCACACGATGGGAAAATCTTGCAGAAGGCGGAGCGTACCCGTGAATCCAGAACATGACGGGGATTTTCTTCACAGTACTCCCGCTCTCCAGTTGCTGCAGGGTCTCTCTCGGGACGCAAATGTTCAGATTAAGGCAATCGAATTCGTCGTCGCCAGGTGTCGGGTCGTTTGTGCCACCACTCACGAGCACCTCTCCTTCTAGCTGAACGCAACGGGGACCAAACTCGGTTGCATCGAAGGGACTTTCTAGAGAATGCCGCGGTCGGCTGTGCGTCCATCGCTTGTCGACCGTAGCATAGGGAATTCCCCGAAAGTAGACCAGATCGTGAGAGTCATCATACTCCCCGATCATTTCGGTTTGCAAGGAAGGCAGGTACTGACTGATCTTCATCTTCACCAAGCTTGGTCGAGAGGTAATTAAATTGCGTAGACTCTGAAGGGAATGACGGGAAAAGGGCGAAGAGATGCGGTATGAGGCCCAAAGTCACGAGCTGCTCTTCGATGTTTAGCTGGCGTCGAACCTTGTGGTGAGAAACTGCTAGCACAGAAGAAGGACGGATCGGTGGTCGGAACGGATAATTAGCTTCCAGAGCCGTGGCAGGATAAGATCTTTTCCGTCATGCTCAGGAAACCGTACAAGATCCTTCCAAGGCAAAAGCTGGACCACACGAGGTCAACAAGGTCGATATTCCCCGTCGGCAGTTGAGATCCTGAACGCGCAGGCGCACCAACCCCCGACCCACCTACTTGCACCATTTCTGTGGTCCAATCATGTCACGAACTCGGCCGGAACCGGGAACGGAAGAGCAGTTCAATCCACGCTAGGTTCCGTCTTTCATCCCACTTGTGCGGAGACCCCGCAAACGACAACGTACTACACTTCTGGAGAAGGATATCAGATGGCTTCTATTTAACGAGGAGGCGATTCTCTTCGATGGAGATGATCATGTTATGCCGACTGCCACGCCCGGTGGACAATGGTCTCATTGGATCTAGTAGTCATAATAATTCCACTCTTCCAGTCCGTCCTAAGCAACCCAACCATGTCAACCGCGGAGAAAATCGAATCTCGCCAACAGGAGTCGCAGGCTCCGTGTGACGACGAGCTCAAGCCACGAGTCCACTGTGTGGTGAAAGATGGCGATGACGCCCTCGCCATACTCCATTCGCGTTTCGAGCCGTACACGAAGGAGGAAGAAGAACGGCTCCTCCGAAAGATTGACATTCGCCTAGCGCTGTTGATGCTGTTCGTCAATGGCATCCAATTTGTGGACAAGTTGGTAAGCCAGTAGCTCCCTGGCTCAAGTGCCATTTCCGCTCTGCTCCATGCTGACCGAATCAACAAGACCATCTCGCAGGCCGCCACCTACGGTCTGGTCAACGAAGCTCAGCTCGTAGGCCAGGAGTTTTCGCTGCTCATCACCATCTTCTACATCGGGTACCTGGTGGCACAATACCCGACCAATTATCTCATGCAACGCTTCCCGATCGGTCGGTACATCACGGTCAACTTTGTCTTGTGGGGCGTCACCCTGACCTGCATGGGTGCCTGCACCAGCTTCGCACCGTTCATGGTCACCCGGTTCCTCCTCGGCGTCTTCGAGTCGTGCCTGAACCCAGGCTTGATCCTGATCACGTCGTCCTGGTGGAAGCGCGAAGAGCAGCCTGCTCGGATCGCGATTTGGTTCTGCGCCAGTGGCGTCATCTCCATTCCCACCGGCTTCATCTTCTACGGCGTCGCCCACATGCATGCACGGGGCCTCTTCCCGTACCAGTGGATGTTTATCTTCTTCGGCGTCTTCACCGTCTGTTTTGGGCTAGCCCTGTGGTACTTGTTGCCGGACTCTCCCGTCACAGCGAGGTGGCTCAACGACCGGGAGCGCCTCATCGCCGTGGAGCGGCTCAAGTCCAACAACACCGGGGTTAAGAACACTCACCACAAGTGGCCCCAAGTCAAGGAGGCACTGGGTGATTTGAAAGTGTGGATGCTGGTCGCTGGTGTCTTTGTCCACAACATGACCAACAGCCTCCAGACCAACTTCACCGGCCTGATCATTAAGGGATTCGGCTACACGACATATCAGGCGGTCCTACTCAGCATCCCTCCGGCCGCCATCGTTGCTGTTACCGTCCTGGTCGTTTCCTTCTTCCTGTCTTCCAAATACGGCGAGGGCAAACGCATCTTCGCCATCATCATTTGCTATATTCCGGGCGTCATCTCATGTGCAATCCTACATGCCTCGCCTTTGAATGAGAATACGAAGGGCGTCCACCTTTTTGCCGTCTTCTTCATCGGTTGTGTTGCCGCGAGTGCCGGCATCATGTACTCCCTCCTATCCTCCAACATTGCCGGGTACACCAAGAAGACGGTTTCGGGGACTCTCTATTTCATCAGCTATTGCGTGGCAAACATCGTATCTCCTCAGACATTCATAGCCACCCAGGCCCCGCGCTACACCACAGGCATCATCGTCTCATTGACAGCCTTCTGTGTCAACATTTGCCTCTTTGCCGGCCTGTATATGATCTACACAGTTGAAAACAGGCGACGGGATAAGTTGGACGAAGGGCGGGCCTGTCAAGACGAGACTCGGGAGTTGATTGATGCTTTTAGCGACCTGACGGACGGCGAGAATAAGAAGCTCAGATATAAACTCTGAGCCGATGTCTTGAGAAAAAACACGCACAACGAGACATACTATACATAACACATCCTGTGTCTCCATACGCTGATGGCCCGACTAGGCTTGGGACTTGGGAAGCCTTCTGGCCAGATTCTATTGTGCCTTCTCCTTGCTTTAGAAGTCGCAGTTCATAAAGAGGACGGCGAATACAGCACATTCACTCTTGGCTCTTCACGCCCTATTAGTCATGATCTACGCTTCTATCTTATGCTTTTGCGTGCTTGAATGAAGCGGATATCACGCTCAGCTATTCTCCCAGCAAAGGAGGAGCAGACTACAGGGGGATCCTAGATCCTATCACGCTTACAGCAGACTTTTATCCAAGTGCTTCTCGGCTACTTCGGACCCTTATTTCTAAGGGGCGCTATTGTTGTTCCATTTCAACAGTTGAATAGTAGGTCGATTATGGGAGAATGAGAATGACAATGGCTATTCCAAGGGGAACGTCAGGCAAGTAAAGATTGTCGTGCACAATATCTAGCCAATGGTACGTGAACCCCAAAAGCTTGCTTTCTATGTGCAGAGTAACAGTCGCCCAAATCCACCAAAGGACTACTTAAGACTCCGTTCTCTCCCATTGCCAATGACAAGACACAAAGGCATCATGATCAGCAGCAGAAGCGAGATCAGATATCACCAATGCCACTACACCAGACTAAGTGATCAGAGAGGCTGGCGAGTGGGAGGCTTGGTTTGGGCTAGTATATACATGAAAACAAGAATGTAAAATAGGATTAGCTGATCAATTAGGCCGCCTTGGATTTCCCTCAATACAACTTGTTCATTCCATATTCTGAGATAGAATGTGGCGTTTATGTTTGATTTATGTTTGAAAGGACCACTTCATCCGTTCAAGTAGTGATGTTGTCAAGTCGATCTAGTATTAGTCTGATAGCCCCGGAATTTTGATGTAGCGTTTAAACTATCTCAAAAGCCATCAACAATTTAGATTTAACTTACTAAGTGAACCAGACTTCAGATTAACACCTATAATCCCGTAATAGTTAGACTGAATAAATACCAAGAAGATAATCCTTGTTTTAAAACTGCTTCACACTGCGCTGGAATCGTGGAGGTTCAAAAGTCCATTTGTCCTGATCCTTCTGCCCTGGTAAAGCATCCTTCTGCCAATACTCATACTCCATCCAACCAGTTTCAGGCATTTGTTCCTCCATTGCTTCGACGAACTGGCCTTGTTCCCGACAAATGGTCACCACGCCGGTCTCCATAACATACTGGTCCCAAAGCTTCAACAACTGTTTGAGCCTCTCAGGTTCCTGTGCAGCCCGATCAACGATCTCTCCCTTGTCCTCGGCAAGATTGTATAATTGCCATGTCTCTGTGCCTTTGGGCTTGGGAAGCCAAACGGCCTTCCAGTCCCCTTTTCGAACAGCGGCACGTCCGCAGGTCTCCCAGCCCTGGATGAATTCTTGCTCATGTACACCGTCTTGCTGACCACGGATGAATGGCAACATCGATTTGCCCCGCATGTGCACCACTTCACGACCATGATAGACAGGGGCGGGATGGGTCAACCCAGCCATCTCAATAATCGTAGGGGCAAGGTCCATAACCGTAGCAAACCGGTGGGTTATAGGTTTCTGGGCCTCACCATGCGCAGGCTCGAAGTGTTCAGGATATTTCACAACAAAAGGAACACGAATGCCGCCCTCTGTTGTCCAGGCCTTGTATAGTCTAGATGGCGCAGTTGAAGCCTGTGCCCATCGCTCGCCATACCAGATGAACGAGTTTCCATTGCCGAGGTTTTCGAGGCTGTTGTCGTAGTGATGTTTAAGGTGATCCATCAATGAGCTTTCCATAATCATAGGGTAGGCTTCATACGCAGCGCCCTCTGCACCATTGTCTATATTTGTGACGGGGATTAGTTTTAGTTAGCTTTCACACCCGGGATCCAGGATGTGAGGGGCAAGGAGCAAGGGGAACGCCTACCAGACATGAAGCAGACAAACGTATTGTCTAATTCCCCGATCGACTCAAGGTAGTCGACCACCTTGCCTACATTAGCATCAATGCATTCGACCATGCCAGCGAAGACCTCCATTGCCCTGGCTAATTTAGCACGCTGCTCGGGCGTTTTGTCGTCCCACTCTGGGGTTTCGCCGACCACGGGATGAGGCTGAACATCCTTGGGAACTAGTCCAAGCTGCTTGAGGCGCTCCAGGCGGCGGAGACGCAATGCATCGGGACCATCGTCGTATATACTGCGAGGCAACATGGATCAGTATTGTGCCCAGAAGGTCTCTCGGGACATTTACAACTTGCCCGTGGTACTTCTTGATGTACTCTTGTGGTGCCTGGAGAGGCCAATGGGGAGCGGTGAACGGATAGTAGGCAAAAAAAGGTTTGTCCGTGCCATTGCCCTGTATCTCCTTCCATTCCTGCAAGTACCTTAACATGATATCACCGTAGCCATTTGAAGAGTACCAGCCGTCGGGAAGAGCCTTGACGTATTGATCGTCTTCCATATGGAGCGGTATGGAGGTCGTGGCCATGAAAGGCGGAGGGGCCCCGTCGAGCTTTGGGGAATAGTTGAAATGGTTCGAGCACGCAGGCAGGTGGGCAAAGGAGCGATTGAACCCGCGGGCATGGGGTGAGTGTTCTGGCGTTAAGCCAAGATGCCACTTACCGCTCATGATCGTGTGGTAACCGCCATCCCGCATCACTTCTGGTAGCGCAGCTACGCGCTCGTTCAGATAACCCTCGTAACCCGGCATCCCGCGCTGGGGCGTAGGGTCCAAATTGCCGTTCTTGGCACTATCTCCTGTCTTCATTGTCCATTCGATTAGATTACCAAGGCCAGCAATATGATGATCTGTGCCACTCATGATCATAGCACGAGTTGGGGAACAGGCGGCCGCGGCATGGAAATCAGTAAAACGATGGCCCTTGGTAGCGAGTTTATCAATATTTGGTGTATGGATCTCGCTCCCAAAGCAGCCGACGTCAGAAAATCCTAGATCGTCGGCGACGATAACAAGAAAGTTGGGGCGTTTAACGGCCATGGTCTCCTCAATTATGGCTGTTCGTAAATCAGGTGCCTAGCCGTGTCTCTTGACTTGTATTGATATGATGGTTTGGTATGGATGGCAGGTAATGTTGTATACATGAGAGGCACCACCAAGTCATATATGCATTGCAGACTCGGGTTCGTTCTTCCGCATTCTGACATGTTCGTCCGCGTTCGGAGACAACCACATCTTGATCTGGGAAACAGGTTGAGGAGAGACCCATCCACTGCCATCCCGCCCGGGGTCGGCCTGATCCCGTTCTGTCCACTGACTATTGCGGTTATGTCTTTCGATGGCGGGGAAAGTGACACCCGCTCTCTGCTCCGCTTCAAAGGCGGAAGGGTGTGAACCGAGGAGGATTCCCGACTACCGAGAAGCGACCCGCCCGACGTCGCCGGGCCATATTCCCGCCTACATTGCCGCTACAGAGGTGGTAAGAGTCATTTACGCGCCCTTGTCAGGCATTGGGTGGCTCAGCTTTAGGTGGATAACCCAGCTCTTCTAACCCAATACCTGACGGGGAGATCCAGGAAGAAGACTCCAACCTACCGAGGTTCTATGGAGGGCCTGAACCGACACCGTAGTGGCTAGACCAAGAAGCAGACACGAGTACACATTACCCGACTCGATTTACCGTGGCAGATCCCGAGGATGCGCATCTCTCTGTTGCTACTGTCGTCTGTGATTTCGCGGATTAACGCCCCCGATGCCCTGCCCGAGCACTATTTTGACACAGAAGAGGTTGGGCGAACATGAAGGCGCCGTAGGTAAAGTGAGCAGTTGTGCTTCCAGGAAGCGCGCAAACGTGACGTCTGTGCCATTTTTATATCATGTCTTGATGCATGGTGCACGTTAGAGAATGTTGTAAATTCCGTTTATTACCTAAGTATCCTCGTCTCGTCCCCTCCTAAATACTTCCCATCCATTGCCTTACCAACGGGCCCCCTCAAGTCTGGAGGATCATCAGTACCAGGTTGAAACAGGTGATACTTGCTGCTCGCAGCCGTCCTTTCAACCGGTTCCCTGATCGTGGGGTCCAGTGACTCTGAAAGTCCCATTGTTCCGATGAATCACGGCCTTTGAGAATTTCCTGGCCGACAAATTTCTTTCAGCAAAAAGAATGTCTAGCTCCTCGTATGTTCGACCACCCGTTTCTGGAAGACGGAAGTATGCCCAAATCAATGTGAGAACCGTCAGACCACCCGTGAGAAGCCCAGTCTTGCCCCTCCAATTGGCCTTCTGTGGATTGAGGATGTATGGGGCTGACACGCTATTGACGATGTTGAGTACCACATACGTGGCCCTGGCAATCGTGAGGGTCTTAGCACGCAGTCGGGTCGAAGAGACCTCTCCATTGATAACATAAGGCAACGGGCCGAGGGTTAGACACCAAACACCAAACCAAATGAGATAGATCGCAGATGTGATGTTTCCGAATGTTGTGTTGAGTGGTCCAAATGCCAAGCCGCCAATCGTAAACATCAACAAAGACAAGACAACGCAGCCGCCGAGGTAGAGAGGGCGCCTGCCGACGTTTCCGGTGAGCGCAGCAGACGCGAGGTTACAGACGAGGTGGATTGCTCCAGTCCCGAGTACCATCTTAAAAGCATCATTGGCGCTGATGCCTGCCTGCTGAAAGAAGTAACTGGCGTAGTTTTGAATGGTGAAGCCGGTCAGGATTTGCGAGCCCCATGATACAGCAGCTATTTCTGTCCGCCGCAGGTCGTTGCCTCGGAAGCAAGAGAAGTATGTGGTGCCTGTACTTATCTCCCGTTCGAGTTGATTCGTCTCGATCATTAAAGCCACAGCCATTTCTGCCTGTTCCTGCTTGATGTCTTCATTCTTAGCCGAGACCAGCCTCCGAACAGATTTCTTTGCCTGGTCATAACGGCCCTTTCGGACAAGCCACCACGGAGAGTCAGGGCAGAAGCTAACAATAGGCAATATGATAACAGGCCATGCCCACTGTATGCCGAAAGGAATGCGGTATGCCCATTCATCTAGGCGCGTATTAAGACTGAAGAGGACGGCATATGAAAGGAATTGTCCGATGCCCCAGCAAGAAACCACCCATGTTTCGAGATAGCTTCGGAGGACAAGAGGAGCCACCTCAGATGCGAACGCCGGCGCCAAAGTCGAGAAGATACCCCATGGAATGCCGCACAAAACTTGGCCGACAAACAGGACTTGCACGTTTGGCGCAAAGAATTGTATGAAGATTGTGCCGGTCAGCAGGAGCAAGCCTGCTTGCATGACCAGCTTGTGCCCAAAGCGATCCGTGAGAATGCCGTTCAGAGTGATGCCGATGATATTGCCAATAGGGGTCCCCATTCCAAGTGCTGCTTGCCACTGCGCATCAAGTGTGTACTTGCCAGTGTTGCCCACTTGATGGCCATATTTGCGCTGGAAAGCTGGGAAGCCGAAGAGACTTCCCATCAACGCAACATCGAAACCGTCCATGATGATACATAGACTCACGGCGGCTGACCAAGCCACCGCCTTCGGATACCGCTTGACGGCTTGTAGGAACGTCGTATGGTGCTCATCTTCGCTTGCCAAGTTGGCATTCGCGGCAAGCTTGATTGGAGCATGAGCTTGGTCGTCCCGGCCTTCTTCGATGTGTTGCGGAGAACCTTTATTCTCAACCGAAGACTCTGTAGCCATCTTGCACTGACAACTCACAAACGAGCAGTATATGTTGTCTTGGTAGCTTGATAGCGTTGAAGTGGGCTTCGCCAGATGGAACAACCAAGTGAAGACAAGAGCGGAAGTCGGAAGAGATGAAGAAGAAATGGAGGTAGGTTGGTTGACCCAGGCGGTGAGGCTACGCCAGAATTGTCTCTACCCAGGATTCCGACTCACCGTGCTGAGCGTGACATGCACGAGGTACGTTTGTCGTGAGCGACAAGGAGCTGGTTGCTGGTTCATTGAAGGGTGACTATGCCCAATTCAGTTCGGCAACGCGTTCCAACAAACCTGGGGTACTTTCAGTCGTGCGGGGACTCGCCTCATGGTGCGGGGGAAATACTGGGATCGGGTGGGGTGGGTTTTATGGGCTTCTCACCAGATGGTCACACTTGATGCCTACTCTGGTCAGACATGGGGCCACCCATGAGATTGCTTCGGTGTCAGATATGGGAGGTCTTGACATCGAGCCCCGGTCCTAGTCCTTCTTCGTATTGAGCCACAGATTACACTTCTTCTTTCTCTGTCTGCTTTCAATGCTTTTTACTGTACGGGGAGCATGCTGGTGGCAATGGGCCGTTTCCCTTCGATTGTCTTCATGAGTCGTCGCCACGCCTCCAGAGGGTGTGTGGATTGTTGACTTTAGCGCGGCATGATTAGCTAGTTCGACGACCTTGGTAGTGCGGTAACAGGCTCTGAAGCGCCCGGGTTTAAATTGGCTGAACAGTCGCCCCCCTAGGAATTCCTGTTGCCGGCCTCTATTTATCAGGCTTTCCCCACTCGAGGCGGCAGGTCTCAACTCAGGGCGGTGTACTTGCTGCCCCTAATCTCAAGGTCTATCGACTCTATTGTATTCCAGGCCGATTGTCAATGATTTGACAATCCCGGCCCTTCCTTTTGGCTCCATGGAGATCGTGTGGCGGTCTTCCAATACGCCAGTCAAGAAACGCAATTCCCAAGATAAGTCCCTGCTACAATCGCGCTTCGAGCCCGTCTACTGAAGGCTGACTGGCTCTGTTGTACCTTGCCATAACTGTCGTGTGCGTAAAAAGAAGTGCTTTCACCTCGACAAGGCGGACGCAACTCATTCCGATATTGACACCCGAGGGATCGACGAAAGCCCAGGCCGCGTCACCGTTTACAATCCCGAATCTGTGCTAACAGATCTCTCCGGCGCTGTTGACCTGGGCACATGTGTCGAGCAACTGGATTCGTGTCCCACCCATCCTCACCCCCGGCATAGCCTCCCTCAACAAAGAGAGAAATGCCAGGCTGCCATGCACATAGCGCAGCGCCGACTAGCTTGGTACAAGAGGTGCAAGAGACGAGCCGCTCCATTGAACCTGTCACAGCCACATCGAAGATACCTTGAGGGAGTAGGAGCCTTCCTCGAGCTACCAAAATTCACGACTGATGCTCTGTTCCCCATCTTCATCGCTCTTCTGAACGACCTCATCCCCATCATCGACGGCACTAGTGTTCTTTGTGACTACAGCAATGGACAGTCCTCCATCTTTTTGACCAGGGCCATATGTCTCGTCACCTGCAAAGTCAAACAGGCCCGTCCCTTTCTGTACGTGGCCGATGACGGTCCGCTCCTGACTCCGCCTAAGTTCGGTTCAAAATTGTTGTCCGGGCTTGATGCAGCAATGCGCGCGGATCTGGAACCGGACCGCCTGTCCAAGGTGCAAATCTTGACGATGATGCATCTGCACAACGATGGAATAGATGGACCAGGTCGCTCGTCGAGTTACCTGTCTCAGGCCATTCACGAAGCGTGGTCACTGCTGTTACATTGGGATATCCCGGGGAACGAGAATCAGGAACAATGCGACTTCCTGTGGTGGTCTCTACGGAACTTCGACCGGCTCAACAAGCCGATCATGGGAACGACTCCATTCATTATCGATGATTCCGATATTGCAATTAAACGCATTCTTCCGAGGAAAGACAGCTACCGCTCGCAACTGATGTCGCTGTCCATGGCGTTGGGGGACCTGATGGTGACGGCGACGAAAGTCTACAAGGCTACTTCGGCGGCGACAAGTGATGACTGTCGTGATTTTCCTTCCTTAGAGGATCTTACATCCACAATCGACTTTTCGCGCTTGCACAAGTCACACAAGGGTACGTTTATCTTTCGCCGGCCCAATCGCTTGGATATTGACGGGAAACTAGCGTACCTCGAGATCTGGTATCATGTGGCAGCGATGTTGTCCTGTCGATACAACGGACCAAATACCGTTCAGTACCAGCGGCGTCTTAGATCAGCAGATCGAATTCTCCATCTCGTCTCCAAAGTAGGGGATTGTCTCCGACCGTTACCCTTAGTACCCTACGCAATGTCCATGTCAACCACAACTATTTACCGTGCTCTGCGCGATAATCAGCGAGATCCGAACGCCGCTCTTCAAGATCTTTGCGCATGTTACAGTGCTTTACTCGCTCTCAGTCAACAGTGGACCAGTGCCAAAGGGGTGGCCAGGTTGACAAAGGACTTGTTGCGAGACTTTGATCGGTTAAGGCCGATGACGAAGCGGCCGGACCATGACGTCGAGAACACTCAGCAGCGTTCAATGCAGAAGGCAGATTCTGCATTAGCAGCCCATACATGTTCTCCTGGGGAAAGGCAATGCGTCATGGAAGTAGAGGATATTGGACCGAGGCCCGTCTCCATGCCTGCAAGTGTCGCAATAGAAAAGACTATATTATTAAGATTATAGGGTTATAATAGGTTAGGTAGATATAGAAAGTATAAGTAATCAATCTATATTTATATAAGATATCCTAAAGAATGGCTATCTCTAATTTTTATATCTAAAAAGCATCTAATGCTAGGCTATTATATAGTTACTTCATTAGTACTGGTTCACTAGAGGTCCAAGCTTTACTATATTATAAATTTACTGTATAACTTAGCTTGTACCTAACAGGAAGGCTAAGAAACAATATATTAAATAGATAGAGTATATTAATTCTCTAGTTTATACCTTTTCTAAAATTAAATTCCCTCCTTCAACTATAGAGTAGTTTCTTCCAGTACTTATAGTTATCTTCTTCGATTGAAAGAACTTTTTCTCATCAGGTACTATAACCTCTTGATAAAACCTGTCATTTCGAATTTTCGTCCAGGTATCCATTGAAGGAACCTCCAGTTGCACAATCCCATCATAGCCCAGGGGGTTGGTGGCTGGATCTATATGAAACTTAAACATGTTATCAGAAAGAGCTCCTCATTATCCAACAGAACATTGAACCAATAGACTGCTCAGACATGCTGTTGTTTGCAAATACTCACACTGCTTGACTCTGGAGCAACCGGGAAGAATAGAGGGCTCTTGGAGAATTGAACATACCTGCCTGTAACTTATCACTCCCATTCGGGAGAGAAATTCACCTCCTAAAGTAGCATGCTTCTCAATCCAATATTTTTGGAATTCTTCTATTGTCAGGTCCGCATTGCGAGTAACAAATCCGAATATTGTAACTGAGCGAGAGGGTCCCTTGCTGTTTGACGCCATTGGTGCTTTCAAGAGCCTGGCAAGCAAATCTTACCGAACTAGCATGGCATTGCCTCTAGAGGGGGGATTATATGGTTTCAGGTGTCTCTTTCTCGCCAGGTGGGACCGCAGGATCGTGTGGTTCCGCGAGATCGTGTGGCTCCGCGGGATCTTGTGGTTCCGCGGGCCGTGGGGCTCCGGGCAAGACAGGCCTATCCCGTGGCGCACTGGAGACATTCGGGCGAGCAATTTCCTCATAGGCTGACAAGGCCGCTGTAGACAGCAGATTGGCAATTCTGTTTGGTCAACCAGACTGACGGGTCAGATTGGCGAGGTTGACGTTTGCTTCTGGGAACCCCCCAAAATAAAACCACCCTCTTTGATTCAGGCATTCACCAGCAGGATCTAATAAAGTTGCAAGCAGGTAGAAATGCTTGTAAACTAGTCTGTCTTGGATTTGCATAAGAGTTAAGTCTATGCCATCATCTAACGCGAGCCGCAGGAGTGTTCTCAAGTGTTTTCATCTTTGGCTCAAAGCAACAGTGACAGATTGTCAAAGTCGAACTACGCAGTTATAACGCCATCATTTCTTCCAGAATTCCGCTTCGTACCACGCCTGGGTGTAATTTCGCTCCTCGTCAAGCCAACCTTCAGCTTCCTTCCAAGTCTCCGTAATCAATTGGCCCCTTTTCTCGTCGCGAAGCACGCAATTCGACTTGTAAGGTATTGGTCCTGCGACAAGGCCGGATGTCATTGCATCGTTGTCGATGACCTCGTTATCTAGCCCCTGGATGTCAAACGCCCATAGCATTCGAGATATGACCATAAACAGACTGCGGTCCGCAACCTGCATTCCCGGACAGATCCTGCGACCAGATCCGAAGGTGAAATGGTCACGAAGTGCCGGGTCAGCTTGGGCCGCAGACTCCTGTGAGAGCATAGAGTCGTGAATGTATCTGTTTGGATCAAACTTCCGAGGCTCCGGATAGCGAACTGGGTCATTATTGATGCCCCAAATCTGCGACAAGAGAACTCAGTCAGCGAGAGTAATTTCACAGTTCCATGATCACGTCAAAATTTCCAAGGACAAGTCCTAGATGCTTACATTTTGGATAATAGAAGCCCCTTTAGGAATTCTATATTCCATATACTGATCATCCCGGGCAACGGCGTGAGGAATTCCGAGAACCGCAGTTGGACACCCTAAATATCTCCACTAATTAGCCTTGATTTTAGATGGGATAGTCACAGTTGTGATTCGATCAAACTAACATCTTAAACTTTCCTTTACTATGGCTCGGACGTAGGGTAAGTTATCCCTGTCTTGCCATTCCGGAAGTCTGTCAGCACCGATCACCTCGTCCAACTCCAGACGGGCTCGTTTCTGAACTTCAGGATAGAGGATCATTGCTTTCACAAATCCCAGCAGCGTGTTGAATGTCGTATCTGAAGCTCCAGCCCAAGCATGGCCTGCATTATATGCCATCTCCATCTCGTTGAGTCCATCTTTGTCCTGATTAGTGAGCATATCGCCAGCGAAACATGGATTAAGTCTTCCCTGGTCAACCTTCGATCTAGCTTGTTGAAGAAGCTCCAACCAAAGGTCCTTCTCCATTATAACAAGCCTCGAAAGCTCTTTATTCAGCTTGTTCAAAGACTTGGGGGTATGCCTTATAATTGGTCGAAGGAAGGGGAAGAATTCTGTGACCTGAGTCGCGATTCCGACTAATGTGTATGACTCGATCCATTCGAAAAGACGAGACACGTAATGGTTATCCGAGCTGTTCACTCTCCAGCCGTAAGTGATTGTTGACCCGGTGCTGGTCGTATAGCGCTTTAGAGCATCATAGCTGCTGTTGGGCTTGTTCAACAAGTCCCAGAGGAGCTGGTTGGACTCGAATCTCTACAGTGCGTAAGTTGCCGAGGTTTAGCTAATGACGACAAGATGGACAGGAAAGTCTACTAATGCACGGAACGTACCTGATAGGGCAAGTACCGAGTAGCAGCAGTACTCGTTAGAGCTGTATGATACATTTTTCGCTGACGGCGCCAAACATCGTCGTTGCTTTCAGGTTTGTCAGTAAATGATGACGGAACATATAAAGAATCATGCAATCTTACTCTCGAGTCGATATCATTAGGTTATATCCAAAGTTGCGTAGGTAATTATCCACACGATTTGAGTAAATGCTGCTCCTTTTATCGTAAAGATCTTTGACCGTCGTGTATGAATTCAACACAATGACATCCATGGCACCAAGCTTTAGGCTCATGATCGGGCCATCTGTCGAGCGTTAGCTTTTTTACGATCCAGACATTCGCTAAGAACATACACTGCGCGGACATCTTTGCAAGCCCTTTGTGTATCTCCCGAGTAGGCATCTGGAAAAGATTTCCAAAGAAGGGGAGCGTAGGTGGCCCTGAAGTATTGTCAGTCATGTCCCTTCATGGCACTGTATGCAACGAACCTGGCGGGTAGTCCTTTGGCCGCCTGCCAAAGTTTCGATGCTTGGCCACCAAGATCGTGATAATCACGACCACAGCGATGACGTATGCATACATGACGAAGTGTTTACGAATGCCCTTCCGGAGACTCGAAACAGGCAATTGTCAGTTGGAAAGGATTGCTACCTCTTATCATAGCACGTCCGCGTTGCTCCCATTAAATCCCGAGCATCACGACCGGCACGGAGACATCCTTGTTTACGTTCCGGACCTTCTTATCATAGCATGTCCGCGTAGCTCCCATTAAATCCTTAGTGTCATGATCGGCACGGAGGTCCTTGTTTACGTTCCGGACCTTCTTGTCATAGCGTGTCCGTGTTGCTCCCACTAATTCCTTAGCGTCACGATCGGCACGGAGGCATCCTTGTTTACGTTCCGGACTTCGCGCAAGGAGTTTTCATCAAACCGATTGGCCGGCATGGATTATAAGAAAGCTTCTGCCGGATGATAGATAGCTATCCCTTACTGTTAGTACTATCATCACACCCGCTGAGAACAACAGAAAACCTGGTGTACCTAGTTTCGGCGATTAGTAGTACTTCTCTTCGGGTCTTTATGCCCATTTCTTTTGCTATGTTTGAGATGCAGATCTCTCAAAGATCAGAGCCTTGACCTCGTATCAGAAGCGCATGATCTACCAAGGATCACCTCTACAGATATTAGCCATCATGGTCATCGGAAACTTCAGCATCGGTGGGAAAATTGCTGTTATTACAGGGGGCGGCTCAGGTAACTTCTGCATGTCGAGGACACCCAATTGGTGAATAGCTAACAACTCATGATTTGGAGGTATCAACCTTGAGTTCGCAAAGCTCTGTCAGAAGCATGGTTGCCGAGTAATAGTTGCAGATATTCGATCCACTCCAGAGCTCGAGGATTGGCTACGAGATGTAGAGAGAGCAGAGACCAAAGTGGTGTATCAGCAGACAGATGTGGCAGAGTGGGATCAACTGAAATCCTTGATTAAAACTTCAGAGAGGCAATTTGGCGAAGTTCCTGACATGTGAGAAGCACGAGGTAGCAAATACTTCAACTGACTGACTCACATTAATAGATATGTGGCTGGAGCAGGGATTTTTGAAGCGGTGGGATCTACCCCGACACCAATACCTATCATTGCTCATGCTAATATTAAATGACTAATAGAAAGGACCTTCCAATTTCTGGGAGGATTTAGAAGACGATCGTTATCGACTACTTGACATCAACGTTGGCCATGCCATCCAATTCACACGGGTGGGCATTCGAGAACTTGTCCATCATAAGAAAAAGGGCGTGGTCTTGATTGTAGGCTCCCTTGCTGGGTACGCTCCCAACTTTACAGCTCCACTCTATGTTGCATCAAAGCATGCCGTCACAGGTTTCACTAGGTCGCTAGCAAGTTTGGATGAGATTGCCGACATTAAAGTAGTCGCTTGTGCTCCGGGGTAAGAGAGTTCTAGGACAAATTAGTCGCTCCCAACTAATAATTTGAGATAGCATGGTATATACGAGAATATGGACCGATGCCCCGAAAGCGATGGAGGAGTATAATATAACCGAGGGCATCTGTGCTCAGCCATCAGAAATAGCCGATGGGATGCTGTCATTGGTCGAATCATCTCAGTGGCCGGCGGGAACTGTCTTGGAGGTTACGAAAGGCCAAGCTTGGAGGAATGTTCCGACCTTCAATGCAGACCCGCCCGCTGGAGCGGGAGTCAAGCCGGCCCAACATGCGGCAGAGAAACGTGTGCTTGGTCTCTTAAAGAAATAGAGGATATCACAACCTTACCAAGAATGCAACCTGAGCCCTTATATCCCTTTCCCCTAAGGCGTGGCGGCCTATACACCGCCCCTCTAGCTGGCTGTTTCCTATGCCTTCACTTTTTCACCCCCCGGGTCAATGCACATGCACGGCTTTCATCAGTATTCTGTCGACGGGTGTTCTGCATACCCGTGGGAAAACAAAATGATGGCGTATTTCAATTATATCGGCATACTACCGCTAGGTCGATGATTTGAACCTTCCAAATTAGAATAAGGTATCCAACATGCTCCAGCACTCATCCTTTCCCCGATCGACGAGTCCCATTCACCATTAACACTCTTCCTGATGGCATAAACCTCAGACCCTAGCGTTTTACTGTTCCTGATCTGCCGTGTCCTCGTGCACCGAAACGGATATAGTACCTTCTCTATCACCAAAGACCGCCCCGATCTCCTCTAAAGAAAGAAGACCTTTTGTCTCGGGGAAGCATAAGTGCAGAACGGGAGCACTGAGAAGTGGCAGAATAATGGAAACGTGGTAATACTTCCATCCGACCTGTGCAAAAGCGATCGGCGCTGGCTGGGTATAGACTAGGAACGCACATGTTAGTGAAGAGAGCATACTAACAAAGAAAACATGATGAGGCGTACCTAGAGTCATACCAAACGAGCCAATGACCGAGTAGCTCACTCCTTGGGCACGAATCGCCGTTAGGAAGATCTCAGTGCAGTAGATATAGCTGATGGCATCGACGCAGCCGCCATAGAAGGTCACAAAGGCGAAGAGGAAGACAACGCCCGCTGCGTTGATGCCACGGTCATTCTTCTTCTTGGCAGAAACGGCCCCTAGGGCGGTCTCGGCAGCCACCATGAGACCACAGCCAACCTGCAGACACTCGTCAGTGGATCCAATTCGCCTAGCATAACGTGAGAATTAGACTCATACTAGACCTATGACAAGCATGCGGATCCTGCCAACCCTGGCCACAAATATTGCCCCCGCCCAGTTGAGGAAAGCGCCCCAGGTAGTGTAGATTCCGTAAAGAAGGAGTGGAAGGTACCCTGTAAGGCCCAGGCCATTGTAGAGAAGAACTTAGTAGTTGTTGATTACGAGCATCTCGGTAGACTGAGCCGCGCACCTTGAATGTACGATCAGCTTCACACTCTGACAAACAAGTTACAGCGCAGGCCATGTTTCAAAAGGGTAACTTACTGGACGAACAGTCCGATAAGAACACGCTTGCGGTAGGAAGGCTTTCTCATGATTCCAAAGAAAGTCATGGCCTTGGCGGGTTCTGACATGACCTGTATCTCGATAGCTCTACATTCAGATTGAGATGCGGCGTTGTCTAGGGCACCGGGTTGGTGATGGAGCTTGGTCAGGATGTCGAGAGCTTCAGAGACACGGTTCTTTTGTACAAGCCAACGGGGGGATTCGGGGACGAGTTGCGAGCCAAGGCCGAGGATGCCAGGGGCAACAGCTGTAGGTTGATTTCCTGCGTTAGCAAAATCATGTGCGACCCTTTGCTATCACTCGGTACACACCTGTAAGAGCAAGGCAGAGGCGCCATTATAGTTGTGGGTTTGTTGCAAAATAACAACCGAGGCCTGTCCACGCAGCGAAATGCTGTCAACAGATAGTCTTGTCAGTTGAACCGAAAGCAATTGACCGGTTGTTGGACTAAAGGAAAAACTAACATAACCCAGCACAAGACAGAAGCCGTGAGTTCCAACCATGCGTCCACGAACGCGTGGTGGAGCCACCTCGGATTGGTACAAGGGAATAATGACATTCATTCATCATGCCAGAGTTGAATCGTAATGTGAGTTGAGGAGTTAGCCAAAGGGAGAGTTAATAGACGCGTACCCGAGGCCATTCAAGGATCTGCCTACGAGTAACATGGCAATATGGACGGCCGCGGCTTGAAACGCAGCCGAGACGACGCAGACGGCACAGACTACCTGTATCGTTCGCTTCCTACCGAACTTGTCGGCAAGTCTGATCATGAGGAGACACCCTACGATGCCTCCGGCCGAGAAGAGACCGTTTGTAGCTGTATGCCATTAGAATGTACACTTCGGACCACAGGAAGCAATATAGAGGCATTGTTCAAAGACTCATTTCGTACCTCCGATCATAGAATTGGCATAGTCTGCATCCGGTCCTGTAAGTGACAGGTTAAAATAGGAGAAGAAAGGGGCGAGTCCGAAGACTGTGCCCATAATAGAAGCATTGAAGCCATAAGTGAATGAGCCAAGAGCAACAAAGAAGACAATAGCGAAATTGTATCTCGTCGCTGGAACCGCGTCGGACTTCATTTTTCTTATGGTGTTTTTGACTGCGATGCATAGAGCTCCGTCAGTGTCTGCTGGTGGAAATCAGTCTGTTGGGACATGATCCTTTCGACTGTCGACAGGGCTTGACACACATTAAGTAAGGGACTCGTAGATTGGGGTTCAATGCATGTCTAGGGATCTGGGGTAGCGGATCCGGGGAAAAGGGGAGGCGTGAATTGATCCATGACTTCGGGACTGAGGTCGAATCTGGAGCTAAGGGGGAACGGCATCTTGAGACATTTGTTGTATAGCCATAGAAGCCACCCAGCAAACTAACAAACCCAATGTGCATCTCTAGTGCCGATCATAACATCACATCATTCTACGCACTATCACTGATTTTACATTGTTCTCCTTCGGACGACGAGAGGATCACGATGCCAAACACACTGCAGCAGATTGCCCTTGTCACCGGAGGTGGCTCCAGAATCTCAGTTGCATTTGTCAAGCAAATCCACAGGATTGGCTACAGTATTCTCATCGCTGACCTTGCTCTCCATCCTTCGGCCTCGGCCTGGATTGAGTCTCTACAACCTGAAGCGAGTCAACGAGTCGTATTCTTCCAACTGGATGTCGCAGATTGGGCCCAGCTCGAGGCATCTTTCAATCGGTGCGTTGCCAGCTTCGGATGTGTTCCCACCCTGGTAGTCCCAGGAGCCGGGGTCTTCGAGCCCTCAAGCAATTCCTTCTGGGAGGATCAAGACCAGGACTCGAGGTACAAGGTTTTCGACATCAACCTCAACCACCCTATCAAAACGACGCGTATCGCTGTGCGCAAGCTTGTTGAAAACAATCTCCAGGGTACCATTATCCACATATCCAGCATTGCTGCACAGCGCTCAAGCATCATTACGCCCCTCTACACGGCCTCGAAACATGCTTTGAGCAGTTTTATTCGCGAAATGGCTCCCCTCGCTGAGATTCCCGGGATCAGAGTGGTCGGAGTTGCGCCGGGGTCAAAAAAAAGTCCCTTCTCATTGCCCTTCGACTCTAACACGTTTCACAGCGTTGTGGGCTCGCCACTGTATGAGAAGCGCGAGGCAGCAAAGTTCCTTGACCCGGAACGCGACTACATTCTGCCTCCAGAAGCTGTGGCCTCAGCAATGATGACATTGCTGAGACAGCTAGACGAATACGAGCCTGGAACAGTCTTGCTGCCACGAGACCGAATGGCGAAAGGTGTCTCTCCTCGGGGATTCAGGGCCGCAGGGACCGGCTAGCTTCACCAGCAGAAAGAAGAATGCAATCCAGGAGATTCAAAAGTTCCTGAATAATAGAAAACATCAGGTCAAAACGTTGTAACTGATTAGACACTTCAAATTACATTACTGTTAAAATCCAATTCATGCCTCTCGTGCCTATATAAGGCGCTGATCGAGGCATTGTTTACTCATTGCCAGCAATGATCTGTTGTAAAGGCAACGCTTGCAGAGTCTGGCGGCGGCCATGCGATTGGTCGGCCATGCCTGCTTCCAGCTTGTTCGTGTCGATGATGATGCGCTTGGTCAGTTCGGCCACCAGTAGACGGCGATGTGGGTCTCTCGGACCCGCCGTGTTGGGCACTCTGAGAAAACATCGCCGGCGCTTGGGCGCACGCGGAATTGCGCACCTTCACCAGGCTTGTTCCCCCCTTGATGATACCTGGGGCAGACTCCGAGAGAACCACATCTTGAAAAGCAGCTATCATGCTAAATAACGGTGGGGAAATTAAAGTGTATCGAGGCATTGAAGCTAAAGCTGCTAGTGCCTTGTTCCCTTGCTATCGCTCAAAGTCTCGATCTGGGCGGTACCTACAGAGGTCAATCAAAATGTGGTGGCTATCCACTGTGTCCAACAAGGCATTAAAGTACCACTATTGTCTACTGGTGTCTAGTTCTATTTTTGTTTCCTTCACGCTGTACCGCCATTCATAATAGCAAGGAAATGTCAAGTCGTGCGGTGCGGAAAATGATCAAGATCATCGCCTCCTCGACATCCAAGGTAGAACCACCATCACTACACTGCAAGGTAACTAGTCACTTTCTTGTTCAGGTTGGCGCCACTGTCCGCCGCGTGGTACCCATATTGCGCGAGATAGCTTCCAGCAAGCATCTGTTGCACCCCCTCAGGCAAGGAGGGCAAGATATCCACTCGATTGCCAGTACCCGCTGCCAAATAGTGACCTTGTAGCTCTTGGCTTGACTGAATGTATTGTCGGCTTGAGTGGACATTCGATCCTGAGCTTGAAGTCCTGTTCGAATGGCTGTTTAGCTAAAAATAGGGTAGTGATATTGAAACAGCCTCACTGAACGCCTGTTCGAAAACCCCTTTGCCCGCTAAGGTACTTATCTTGTAGTTCTATGTTTCAACCGCCGGCACTTGGATGGCCGTCCAGCAAAAGAAGGTCCGGTAATGGTCAGCAGGAAAAATAAAAAGTTGCAGGCGCTATCACCTCAACACCTGGAAGAATGAGAGGGGCGCTATGCCTATGAAGCAATGTATGCGGCGTTACCAAGTACAGTGCCAAGGCCGAAAGGCGAGACGAGGCAGTGACTTGTCCGTCTAAGGTACTGCATGTTGCTTTATGCTGTATGACCAATTGCCATAGATGATTGAATGCAGCGTGATCAATGATCATACAGGTTGAGCACGAATGATTAATGCGTAGCACTCGGCCTTGAAAATTTCCGATGCAATGACGATCTTCGTTCCTTGTCATACAGGGAAATCGATACCTTGGAAGTAAGGCAAAAATATGCGTTTGGTCGATGGACACAGCATGGTGTTCCCTAAACTAACTATGGGCCGACCAATAGTGATCCGTGTCGGCGTGGTACATGTCCGGGATTTGAGTTGTAATATCGGGCCTGGTGACAACCCCTTCTCACCGAAGAGCAAGGGTTTCATGGCATGCGGATCTTCCTGGCCTCTTGACTAGCTATTGGTTGTAGAACTGGAGCAGGCTGCACAGATTGAGCCTACGTGATGATACAATACTGGTTGTGCTGGCATACCCTGGAGTGTGACACTGTGACGACTGCAGCTGCATCCATGTGCAGCCAGTGAGGTCCTACGAAGAGGCTGCTGCCACACTGGGCGGGAAGCTCCTTCCATGGTGTCCTTCGTCCATCCTCTTGCCTAAGTCAAGCATGTTTCCTTGTCCACTATTCTCAACTTCTCTCATTACCTGTTCATCCTGATCTCCATACCCAAAACCCAACATTCGTTTTCAGACTAGCCCAGCTACTTTCATGTAAACCATCAATCGTAATTCTGTTGTCACCGCCCAGTGGATCAAGATGCGGCTTCTCCACCGCCTGGCAGAAGGTGAATATCAGCTCACCAAGGAGTTCCATGAGAAGATCCCAGAGTATGCTATCCTGTCGCACACCTGGTTGGAAGATAACGACAAAGAGATTACTTTACAAGACTTTTGCCAAGGGAACACCCTCGAAAAGCCTGATGGCTGGGCCAAGATTCAATTCTGCGGCGAGCAAGCAGCCAAGGACGGGCTGGAATACTTTTGGATTGATACCTGTTGCATCGACAAGACGAATAATACCGAGCTTGGGGAAGCCATCATATCCATGTTCTCCTGGTACCGTAACGCAAGCACATGTTACGCGTACTTGACCGATGTTTTCCAAAAGCCTGAAGACGGGTCGTCTCGGGATCCGCCCTGGTGGGAGCCAGCGTTTCGCAAGACTCGATGGTTCACTCGCGGCTGGACGCTTCAAGAGCTTGTCGCTCCTGAATCCGTTCAATTCTTCTCCAAAGAAGGGATGTTTTTGGGGAGCAAGGCTAGCCTAATATCTCTCGTTGAAGATATCACCCAAATCCCGAGCGACGTCCTGCGAGGAGGCGGCTTCGAAGAATTCGATGTGGAGGACCGGCTTGAATGGGGGACGAGACGAAGCACAAAGCGCAGTGAAGACAGGGTCTACTGTATGCTAGGGATCTGCAATGTCCAGATGCTCCCTATGTATGGCGAAGGGGAAGACGCGCGTTTCGGCGACTCCGGCTTAAAATCGAACAAATCCGCGACGGACCCCAGGAATATCTGGATAAGTTACCTCACGTCCCTGAAGCAGCTTTCAATTCACTTCACAACAACCACGAACCTTTTTGTCTTGACAACACTCGGGTGGAACTGCTCAAACGAATAGAGTCGTGGGTCGAGGGAGTCCACAACAAAGGTATATTCTACCTGAATGGCATGGCGGGCACAGGCAAGTCCACTGTTGCCCGAACTATAGCCAAGAACTATTACGACAAGAAAGTTCTTGGCGGGAGCTTCTTCTTCTCAAAAGGCGGAGGTGATCTCAAGAAGGCCGACAAGGTGGCTCCTACTCTTGCTAAGCAACTCGCCTTTCGTGTTCCCGAAGCAAAGCGACATATTTGTGACGCCATCAGAAGAGAGCCAGACATCTTCGAACAGTCAATTCGAGATCAGTGGCAACACCTGATACTTGATCCACTGTCCAAGCTTCCCAGACACTCCCCTCCTTCCATCATCCTGCTGGTGCTCGATACCTTGGATGAATGCGACAGCGACAAGGACGTTCGAATGCTTTTCAGAATCCTGGCTGCCTCGCAGATCACGAACATTCGACTGCGAATTCTTATAACGAGCAGACCCGAGATTTATGTACGGAAGAGCTTCCAAAAGATCCCGGAGGTGGATCGCGAGACTTTCATTCTTCACGAAGTAGAGGCGAATCTCATGGAGCGTGATCTCCAATTCTTCTTTGAGAATGGGCTTACAGCTATTCGAGAAGAACTTGAGTATTGCGAGGAAGGCTGGCCTGATAGCCGAATTATCACTCAATTAGTCGAGATCTCGTCAGGTCTATTCATATGGGCCGCAACAGCTTGCCGCTTCATCAAAGCAGGAAAGAGATTCGATTTGATCATGAGACGGATCGCGAAGCTATTCGCGGGTCTTTCCTCCAGTGCCGGGCCGTCTGGACCGTATAAGCACCTGGACCAGATCTATATCCAAGCCCTGCAAGCCTCCATTCGGGACATAGATGATGACGAAGAGAAAGAAGAAGTGTACGAGACGCTGAGGAGAGTCCTTGGGGCTATCGTCGTTCTCAGCTCTACGCTGTCCATGGAGTCACTAGCCAAGTTGCTTGACCTACGAACTATGACCGTCAAGGAGACCTTGGGTGATTTGCACACCATCCTGAATATCCCTAGCGACCCATCACGCCCCGTCCGCCTCCACCACCCTACATTCCGCGACTTTCTCCTCAACAAACAAAGATGTGTCGATCGCAACTTTTGGGAAAACGAGAAACAGGCGCACAGAGCGCTTGGTGATCAGTGCGTACATCTCATGTCAAAGTTGCTCAAAAGAAACATCTGTGGTCTCAAATCTCCAGGCACGCTGGTGGAAAACGTGGAACCAGGTCGGATAGCGCGGTGCATACCCCCTGAGCTCCGGTACGCTTGCCTTTACTGGGTCGAGCATTACCGGCAAAGCGGAATACCTCTGCGCGATGGTGACTCAGTCAGCATTTTCTTCAAGGATCATTTCCTCTGCTGGCTGGAAACTATAAATCTAATGGGCAAAGGCACCGAGATGGGTGCTATCATCAGACTGTACCACTCTTTGCTTATGGTAAGTAGCCGGTCACTACAGTCGGTCGTGAAGCAATTATCTGACAATTTTATTCTGTAGCCTTATGACAACATACATCAGGTACCCTTTGTCAAAGATGCAAGGCGCATGATGTTCAACTATCAGAACATCATCTGACAAGCACCTCTTCAGACATACTGCGCGGTGCTTGTATTCATTCCGCCAAGCAATGAACTCAGGGGACATTTCCGAAGCCAAATACATCCTTGGATTGAAGAGATCAGAGTCATTGAAGCAGATGTGCCCAAGGCCAAGGATGACTTCAACTATGTGAGCGATCTAGCATTCTCGCCGGACGGCAAGAGAATTGAGTCGGGATCCAACTTTCAGGCCGTCAGATTCTGGGACGTAGCGACTAAAGCAACCATTGCGAAATATGAAGGCGACGAAGGCGGCGCGAAGGACAAAATGAGTTCTGTTGCGATGACTTTAGATGGAACCATGCTCGCTGGGGGTTCGGATGATTTCACGGTCCTGGTCTGGGACGTACAATCGCGATCGCTGCGGTTTTGGATCAAATCAGCACACAAGGGTTGGGTCAACTCTGTCGCCTTCTCGCCAGATGGTCGTCTCCTGGTGTCTTGCTCCATGGATCAGACTGTAGGGATATGGAGCACTGCAAATGGAGAACTGATCAAGAGAATCGACAACCATTCGAGCTGCGTCAATTCTGCCACATTTTCGCCTAACGGGTTATACGTGGCGACAGGGTCCGTCGATGAGACTGTGAGGCTCTGGGATATCTCAAAGGCTTCAAATGAGCTACGCGCATGGCTTGATGGACATTCGGGTCCGATTAACTGCGTGCGATTTTCGCCTGATGGGAAGCAGATCGTCTCTAAATCCGATGACATGAAGATCAAAATATGGGATACGAAGACTGAATCAGAGCTTATTACCTTGGTAGGCCATACAAAAAAGGTCATGGCGGTGGCATTCTCTCAGGATGCGCGCCTCATCGCATCCGGTTCGGAGGACAAGACTGTCATTGTGTGGGATGTCACGAGCGGCGCCCGGCTCAGGACACTGACAGACCACACGACAGGGATAAACTCGATTCTTTTCTCCCCAGATAACAAGCTCCTCGCAGCAGGTTCGTTCAATGACGAGGTCCGACTTTGGGACACGAAACGATGGGCACTGTTCGGGAAGCTCGACGACTTTGAAGAGGATATCAATTCTGGAATCACAGCAACCCAGCGCCCCTGGCTTTCGGACATCTCGGACGTGAAGGGGCACTCCAAGTCAGTGACGAGCCTGGTTATGTCACCTGATTCCAAATGTCTGGCCTCGGGCTCGCAAGACACAAGCATCAAGCTATGGAAAGATGGTAAAGAATTTCGGAAGTGTGATGGCCACTCTGGCAGCATAAATGACCTGGCCTTTTCTCCTGATGGAAAACTGCTCGCGTCAGCATCGACCGATACTACCATACGGCTCTGGGATGTTTCAACAGGCACGACCACCCACACAATACATGCCCATTCAGCTGAGGTGCTTCGTGTGCTCTTCTCGTTCGACGGCAAGCTGCTGGCCTCATTCTCGACTGACAAGGCAGCAAAGCTCTGGAATCCAATGACAGGAACGAAGATATGCAGCATCATTGGTCATCTAGATCAGGTGAACGGTGTTGCCTTTTCACCTGACAATTCTCTCGTTGCGTCATGGTCGGGTAGTTCCGTGCTTCTTTCGAATCTGTCTCGTGATGCGGAGCCAGCATCGTTGACAGGTCACTCCAAACGGGTGAATTTCGTTGCATTCTCTGCAGATGGAAAACTCCTAGCATCTTGCTCTGAGGACTGCACTATCCGTCTTTGGGATCGGAAGGGAACGGCGTACCGCCAGATTGAATGCGGGCCGAGCCCTGCCCAGGCCGTCGCATGTTCGACAGACAAACGATCACTGGCGTTTGCATCAGCAGATCAGACAGTCAAGATCTTGAATCTCGAGACAAATGAGACCATGTTCTCTTTAGACGTTGGTATCGTACTGCGTACGATATACTTTACTGAATGCAGCCGTTATATCGAAACTGATCGGGGGTCTTGGACGTTGGTTTGGGATTTCCTGCTGTTTTTCCTTCCATTTCGACTCGTTCTACTGTGCTGTTTGTGACCCGAGACTGGGTTAAGAGGAATACAGAGAATGCGATCTGGTTACCAGGGAAGTATCATGCGGCCCATGTTGTTATTTCAGGTCAGACAGTGGTGATGGGGCATTCATGTGGCTCAATTTCCATTATTCGTCTGGCTTGAGCTTTTCTTGATCAAAGATGGTTTCAGATTTCCGTCTTTTCCGGTCCTGTCCTCTAAGTCTCGATGTTACGGCTTGGCATTTCTGCATTCAATAAGACCATCAAACACTAAACCCCATACCATATGGTTCCCTTGTATCGGTTACAGTTTGGTCCAGCTGGCCGAGACAGTTACCCTCGCTACTAATTGCCCGCTGTGGCGTTTCTGCTGTTTCAGATCCTGCGTTGGTAGCGTTGGTATCTTGTAGAACCTTCTCAACTGCCTTGTCGATATCATAGTAGAACATCCACGATTCTGAAGCAAGAGAAATGCGCCTTACACGCTCTGCAATCTCATCGTTTATCAGCAGACCTTCTGTTCGGAGAGCGGCCTTGATGTTGGCGAATTTGTCTATGGTCTGGTAAAGTCGACCATAATGAGGAGACCTAATAGAATCAAACAAGCTCAGTGCATCAACTAACTGTTTGCCCCTCATCCAAGCCCATTGAATCACCCTGGTCAAAGCGAACACGTCCTCTAGCGCAAATCCGGCTCCGGAGCCAAAATTTCCCAAGAGCGCGTGAGATGCATCACCAATAAAAGCAATGTTCCCATGATGGACAACATGGTCGAGGCGAGGTCCCGAATGCAGTGCAAACTCCTGTGTGTCACCCCGGGCAGCAAGACGCAAAATCTCACGCACAGGGGGACAGAAGTCATCGTACTCAGGAAGAACTCCTTCGAGGTCAACTGGCCGACCCCAGCTGACAGGTTCCTGGTGTCCTGCCGGACGGCGAATGCGGGCTGTGACTTCAAAGTCATTGTCTCCGAGTGGGCACGTAAATACGTACAAGCCGCTTACATGCTTCCAGAATACCGGGGCCCATGGTATTCCTTCAATCTTCGATGCTTCATCTTGGCTAACAATCGTGCGATACACGAATTGTCCGTTGAATCGCAGGGTATGTTGGGGGAAGCAAGTCTTGCGGATCAACTGGGCCAAAGATTAACCCTACTTTGCGATACTCCTTGAGCTCGGATGACATACTGATCTAATCCCGTCTGCAGCAATCAGCAAGTCCACATCGTCGATAGTCCCATCTTCAATCAAGATCCTGACTCGATTGTCTGGCAGATGTTCAAAGTCAACGAGCCTCTTTGACAGATATATGTGGGATTCGTCCACGCTGTTCATCATCGCACGCTGGAGCTTCGCTCGAGCAAGGCGGCAACTGTGTCGACTTGCCGGCACATCTTCCGGGTTGCATTTCTCAATCAGCAATTCCCCCGTCCTTCCGTTTCTACAAATTTTAGATGGTCAGTTGTCGGAGACTAGAGTCCGAGGAGCTACAGTATGCCTACCGTCTCTGCTCAACGAGTCCTTCTGCGGACCGGTAGTAGTCTTGAGCACAAAGGTCCTTGGCCACCCCATTATGCTCCAGTATCCTCCATGTTTGTGGCTGGAGTGTGAATCCCCCACCTATCTCGCTGAGGTTTGATCTTTTCTCGTATAGGTCCCACTGGATAAACGGCAGCTTTGCCAACTCAATGGCAGTGCCAAGGCCCGCGGGGCCAGCACCTATTATGGCAATCTTCAGTTGTTTTCGATCTCCACAGTATGTCATATTGGCGCAAGTAATGGGCAGAGAGCTTTGTTAGAGCGTTGCTGCCTAGCTGCACTGGACTTGTAAAGCTGTCTTACAATTTACTTTGATTCGAAATATTTTTACTTCTCTTTCCCCTGGGCACCACTCAGAGGTTCTGTCACTGACAGCTTCATGTTGGAATGACCTAGCAGTGTGTAATGTGCGACAACCCTCCAAGGTTGTGAAGCATTGTATCTGTGTTCTTCAGCAGCTTCCCCTGTTACAACCAACCCTGGTCACTCGTAGGGAGCCTATGAGGTCGCTGCAGGTGACAAGGTGAAACAGCATGCAAAAGTCCACTTTACACCCGATTTCGGTGTGCGCCCTGCTTTACGATCGGTTAGACATGTCATACTCACATGTCATACTGGCATGTCATACTCACATTGGCTCAAATGCATTCTCGGCCTAATATCACTGGTCATTAGGCAGCCTTCTTTTTGAGACTTGTGTTCTTGGGTGACCGTCAGACAGGGAATCTGCGCACGGTTCGAAAAATGAGGCCAGAAGGCTGCGCCACTATCCCTCCCTGGGTGTAGTTTTCTGGGGTTATTATCAATGCCCTCTGAAGTACAATTCCTATCAACCTATATGTAATAAGAGAGAGTGTGTCATCATGCGGCAGATATCATATTAAACGCAAAGTGTCTGGAATCTGGCAGATATGAGCTTTATAGAGGTATAGGGGTATAGGGGTAATTAATGATTGTGACAAGTCTGTATTCCGTCTCTGAAAGATATTACCCCTTTGCTGATTGCGATACCAGCTTCCCTCATTATGATTTGGATGATCATGGACTCTGGGAGTCCACGATGTCCCGATTGTGGCGGTTCCACCTACGAGGAGATCGCAGACATTGTCCTGCGAATGCCATGGACCTCTGGGTTTAGGGTTAATGAATCATCTCGAACTATCCATCTTGTGCCAGAAGACGAATCCGATGTTGTCTCATCCAGCGCCACTGCTGTGACTCACCTTCTGAAAGCGGCTCAAGATGCAGGCACGTTTGCGAAACTTGCCAGCTGGCCTGGCGAGAAGCTCTCAATCATGGGATCGCCGTACCCATTTGCGATTGATCGCTCCATCGCGCCGTACTTTGGAATCGTCTCCGCTGGTGTTCATCTGACGGCATTTACCCGCGATGGCCAAGGGTCGATCGCCACTATCTGGATTACGTGCCGTGGTGTCAATAAGGCTATGTATGCGGGGATGATGGGTAACTTAGCAGGAGGGCCGTCATGCAAGGCGAGATGCCTTTTACAAGTCTTCTCAGGGAGGTACGGGAGGAGCTAGGAATCAACGCCGAGGCCGCTGTGTCTGGTGGAACCGTCTCGTGGTTCAATGCGAGAGACCGGCCTAGTTGAGTCAGGGGTCCAGTACGTCTATGATTTGGAAGTCAACAGCAAAAGGGTTTTGCACAAAGCTGAAGAAGGGATTGAATGGCTACGCCCTCTCAGTGTCGATGAAGTCAAGGCGGCTCTCATGCGGCACGAATTCAAGCCTAGTAGCGCTAATGCTATGATAGACTTCTTTGTCCGGCATGTCATAATCACCGCTGAGAACGACGGCGACTTTGCCGAGATTGTATCCCGACTGCATCATAAGGTACTCTTACCTACTACCTTCCCACGGCAGGCTGTATGATTATCACGTTACTGGAAGATTTCCACACAATTTTCTGATGCATTATCTAGTTTCTTGCATCCAGCTGCCAGGAGGTGTGGTTAATGTTTGTTTGTCTGTTCTATGCTTGACGGGCAAATCATTGCACATTGACACGGGCATTCTTGAGCAAAATCATGACTCCGTATTGAAATCCGCCATTGGCCTTTGTGCACTTGGGTGCTACTAACCGATTCACCATCCTAGCTAGTCACTCACTAAGACTGCTCATGGGTGCCATTAGAGAAGCTTGCAAGTGTAGATGGATCTTTCTTTTGAATAGCCGCGTTAGAGGAAGGAAAATAAACGAGAAGGCGATGAAGAGGACTGTTCAAATATTATTCTCCCCGTGAAGAACGGGGGACTTGATACAGCAACCTCGCTGCACCGTACGTGAAGCATATGGTTTGTGGCTCGTAGAGGAGAAATCACGGGTGCCAATACCCAATACGAGCTGGGGTTGTTCAGCAGGTGGACAACCCGCTCCCCATACCTTGAGAATCGTGGCACCGGCCCGGGCCCCGCGAGCGTTTGCTGGTTCGACAACTACCTTCGTTAATGTGTCCGACACTGTTTCTTGTCCTTCGCTTCAGTCTTCTTAAAGCTAGCATCAATATCGCCTGCGCACCTCACATCTCAGCTCAAACGAGACGGCCTGAATATGCGTCACATCGCCCCCCCTCTCGCTTAACATGGTTGGTCAGCCTTGACGTTGCAAGCGCCTGGCCCTCTCGGCTAAACCCAATAGGGCTGTATGTTGGTTCTGGCGCCCGGGTTTTTGAGCCAGTATCAATGCTTTCCATAGTGTCGGGTCGACAATGCTATTGTCACTGGCCAAGAGCTGCTCCAGAACTCCATCCAGAATTGATCGTTGGTGATGACAGTGACAAATGAGAAGGCAGAGAGGACGTCTTGGTGTGGCTGTGCCCACTTGAGCGGCAACCACGCGTTCAAAGACCGACTACATTTCACTTCTGGCTCGCAGCAAGTATGTCGGAGGAAGAGATCTTCACGCCGCCCGCGGCCCCCAAGACTTGATGCGTTCACGCACTAAGTGCACTTCAGTTGGGCTTGCCGCTGCAATTTACCGGCTGTCTGGCTCAGGAGGTGCACTGCTGCCGCATGCCAGCGCCTGGCGCCGCCCCCGAGACAACGGAGGTGTGATCATGCCGGAAATAGACGGCCGCGGCCCGCCCAACAGCCCCGACTATTGCATTCATCGCCTGATACTGCGATCAGTTCGGGCGAACTCCTGGTGGGCTGCTTGTTATCTATTTGTTGTGAGAAATCGTGTATCTTCTTTGCCGTCCCAGTTCTCGTTGCTTCGTTCCATTCTCCTTGTCTTACCGCCTGCCTCATACGCTTGTTTTCTGCACTTGATGCTAGAGTTGTCATCACCTGTGCCTACAGCACCATCGTAGGCGTCTGTCCATCATGATCATGTCAAGCTCGATGGCTTCCACGAATTTCGTGCGCTTTGTTTTAGTAGCCGCGTGTGTTTTGTCATTCATTATCTTGGGGCATCCTCACTTTGTGCAGGTAAGTCATGCTGGTCGCTTCATCCCCTTTGCTTAGTGATTCAGTCAGTTAATAAACTTGTAGAGTGGCGACATCAGTATTGTAACGCATCAGTCAAAACAGGCTTACGATTCATTTCGCCCTCTTATTGTCTACATTTATCACGAGACGGAAAATGCCCGCGCGAACTTGAATTTTTTCATCGAGAATGGTCTGCACGATCAGGCCGACTTCCTCTTTGTCTTCAACGGCGAGAGTGACATGATCGATCAGATACCTCAGCACCCGTACATAGCCACTGTGCAGCGGGACAACACCTGCTTCGACCTTGGCGCAGTTGGAGAGGTACTAATGAGGAACGATCTATGGAAGAAGTACAAGAGATTCATCACCATGAACGCAAGTGTTCGGGGTCCTTTTATGCCGGTCTGGAGTCGTTCGTGCTGGACCGATCTTTTCTTGAAAAGAGTCACGGATCAAGTCAAGGTACCTGAGAGCCGCTCCCATCTACCCCTGATCTTCATAGGCACAGGACTGACAACACAGTTGTAGCTCGTTGGTACGACCGTCAACTGCAGGCATATGCCCCACCTACAGTCCATGGTGTGGGCGACCGACGATGTTGGCATGGGCATCCTGCTGGACGACAAGCTCGCAACCAATGCATCGAAAGACGACGCATTTGGTACCAAGGACGACCCGGTTGGGCTGAGCGCCTGCTACTCAGATTGGAGGAAAGCAGTGCACGCCGAGATTGGCACCACGGCCCTTGTCCGATCCCAGGGCTACGAGGTGGACGCTCTCATGACTAGCTTCGAGACGAAGAAGGACATCGACGCGTATTGTGAAGCAAACAATGATTTTGGTGATGACGTCCAGTTTGAGAAGGGGTACTTTGGGACTAACCTCCACCCTTATGAAACGTTGTTCATCAAGACCAACCGAAATATTGATCCTATCCTCATCGACAAGCTCACGATATGGCAAAAGGAAAGGGGTTTCGGTAGCTGGGAAACTTGCAAGACATCGTAAGCGCTTTTATGGGAAGGGTTTTGGGTTTGAGGGAATGGTTAATTGGTTTTCTGGCGTAAAGAACAAGGGCTCTTCAGATCTAGATACACCGCATAGTTTGCATGTTCCTAATACCAATAAATCCTGAAAACGAAACTTTAAAGTTTTATGAGTGCTTGAATCGGACTCGCATTGCGCCATCCAGTGCCTCCAAGATTTGATGGGGAGTGCCTCTCCTGGACCGATGTCAGGCGCCTGGAGAGGCGACTAGTTTGGAATGCCAATAGCGCCGCATAGCCGCCGGGGTTTTGCCCCACCCGTCTCCATCACAGATGTTGTTGGTTCCAAAATGGCATCTGAGACCGCTCCCAGGCAGTCTTGGGCTCGGACTAACATACAGGGGACCTGGCGAAGGCCTGTTGCTATTTCTCCTTTGTCCTACACAGGATATCGATGGCACTTTCTTCCCATGCTTCTGTACATGTAAGATCAGTGCCACCGTGTGACCGCTGCTTTCCGTGTATCAACCCAACGACGGCAACAAGACCATCAGGGCACTGTCAGAAATCGACTCCGTATATCAAAGGCTACAAGACAAGGTCTGGTGACATGGTGAGTTTGGCATCCAAGGATATCAGGGCTTTCCATCCGCTGAGTCTCTAATCTAGGCTGGCTGGGGGAATCCTGTGCAAGGACGCGCAAGAACCCCGGCGTTCTCGGAGCCGGCGGGACTTGAAGTCGTCACGAACCACGAGAACTACCCCTACGCCTACTACTCGAACGACGATGCGATGTCGCAGAAGTACCCGCAGGAGCTTCCGGGGGTGAACTGGCCCCGAGACCTTCCAAAGTATGACGAGCAAGACGAGTCCAGGCATTGGCAGCAGCAACCAGAGACACCCCCACGACGGTTCACGGTCCTCCCACAGACTGGACGGCAACGAGTGATATGGGCCGTGGTGGGACTGGTGATTATCCTCGCCATCATCGGCGGTGCAATCGGAGCAACGGTCGGGAAGAAGAATGCGTCTTCTACTGGCTCAACTGACGCATCCTCTGGCACATCCTCAACTTCAACCGCCCCTCCAATACCTGCTGCCAGTGGTCCAGCGCAACTGAAGTCAATAAAACCCAACTCGCCCCTGGGAGTGACTGCATGGAGAAAGGTCGCCGGCGTCGAGTTGTATCTGTACTATCAGGGTCCCGACAATATCCTCCGTGTCTCCCAATATGACAGTGGACGCGGTTTGCCAACCCAGAACAACTCTTACTGGTTGCAGCCTGCCGCTGCCGTTGCCTCCGCTGCTCCAGGCACGCCTATTGGAGCAACGACAATCGTCTTCTCTACAGACTTCCAGGTAAGCCTACTCTGATGCAAAAAGCCCTGAATGTTTATGAACCTCTCACTGACCTTGCAACATTTTAGCCACAAATTGAGGTCTTCTACTTCAGCCCTCCAGACAACCTGCTGAGCGGTGTCAACTTCAACAACCAGAACAAACCCCCAGCCCGGGCCGATGGCGTGGCAGATTTTAACCTCACCTCCCATCCAGAGAGTTCCATCGCTACGTACTGGCCATACATCATCTACCAGGACATCAAGAACAACATCATCGAGATGCGAAACATGCTTGACGGGTACGGCGCCGGCCTCTTCGGCCCATCGATACGGTACTTCGCAACGAATCAGAACGTCGTCGGCATGCAAGGCTCAGACCTGGGAATCGTGCCTTTATCTGCGGCCTTTGAGACTGCCGGCCAGCCGGGAGGCTACGGCGTGGTGTACCAGAGAGGCGACGGGACTCTGTCAACGTTCGTTCCCAACGCCGCCAGTACAACCAATGTAACGCGCTCTTGGCCTTCAAGTAAGAACCCGCCCTCTCTATGTGTTCCAGCTAATGGCTAATCATGCGACCCAGATGTTGCTTTCCCGAACATAGTCATCCCGAAGGGCAACGCCATCGAAGCCTTCGCAACGGCGCGCCCAAACGACAGCAAGAAGCGAACAAACACCTTCATTCTGTACCAAGCCACTGACGGCGCGATCAACATGGTATGGCAGGACGATGACGTGGGCTGGAAGACGTCCCGGCCGGCCGTGCTGTCCAAGGCAGATAACGGGACCCGGATTGGATGCATCACGATGCCCATGTCACACATCAACACGGACGGCCGACCCCTGCTTCTGGAACAGGCATCAGGTGAAACCAGGTGTTATTTTCAACGAGATGTAAGAGTGGTTGAGGTGCGGTTGAATGGTACGGACTGGATAGAGTTGGGCACTGTGCCTATACCATAGCGGAAGTCAGCTATATGGCTTTGGCTTGTGCTTTTGCAGGCCATGTGTCTGCCTTACTACTTATGTCACACTAGGAATTATCAGGAAGGGATCGAAGGTGGATTAATGCATGATGTCTGGACTTGATACTGTCCTTGAAGGGACTAGTAGGCATCCTTAGTGTATGTTGCTACAGCGGTCTTAATGATGTGCTTTAGTACATCAATGATACAAATACGATGCCGGTCTATATGATCACAGGGGTTTCCCAGGGAGCTGTAGTGGAAGAAATCGAAACTCCCAAGTATTGCGCCTGCCCTGGTCCGGGTTCGCCTGGGCTGACCCGAACAGCGCTGTGATTCAATGCAACAGACCTGGCATATCAAAGGTCCAGAATGCCTCAGCGACCCAATCTAAAAAGGGGCAGTGCGCAGTCATCACTGTGCCTTTGAATTGACCAAGACACTCAATCTCTAGGTCCCGGACCTAGAGACGACGAGATGTCAACTAGAATGCTACATTGTCTCTCAGTTGGACACTTACCATCCCATCGGGAAGTTGGGGCTCTCCCCCTTGGATTAGGTCCTATATCGACCTCTAAGTCAAAGTGTAATCTGCAACTGCGGGTCTAATATCACCACCATACTTTTCCCCTGCTTTTCTCTAGACAGGTACATCGGCATGGCATCCAGGTACATGGCCCTGTGATATTTGCCATGAATTATATAATCTAAATGACTGTATGATTAGCTTCCAGCTGGAGGGTCGTAAATATAGCACCTAAATCCCAATTCATGACACTTGGATGGGACCCGCAAGGCTGGGTGGGAGGTCAAGATGGCAGCCTTCGCCAAATCTGGTCTAGGGCTGAACGATTTCCAAGACTGTGTCCAACCGAGAAAATATGCAAGGTCATAATAGACTCGAGCTAACGGGTCTATGACTTGCTAAATTCTACCGCCAAGACTCAGTCTTCACAAAACACGAGTCAACCTGGTTAGCTCGTTCAACGGAGTACGATCACCGTGGGTAACGTTAGCCAGAGGCATTCCCCACGCCCCATCACGGGGAGAAACAAACCACACTACAGGCTAACTGAGTCCGGGCGGCAAGATTTACCACGGATCAAATCATAGCTGCAACAGATAAAGAGCCCACAACTTCTTCTGCACACCTGAGGAGGATTATTCGGTAAAGACAGTTACACCTGCAAGAGTGTGATTGAGATAGAAGCACCCTAAAATGCCTGCTGTCAAACGAGCTGTCCGGGTCGCCGGAGCCTCTGGTGGCTTCGCTGATCGCCAGCGAGCCATTCACGACCTGGCCAAGTACAGCCAAGTCGATGTAATCATTGGTGGTAGGTTCACTCCTAATAACATGAGATGGCCTCAAATTATTGCTGACTGGTCGTGTTGCTAGACTGGATGTCAGAGTGCACCATGAGCATCCATGGTACCCGCAAGAGAGCCAATGATGAGACGTCTCAAGAGCTCTTTGACCCATCCTTCATGGGTAGTCTTGGGCCGGCTCTACCGTATCTGCAGCAAAACAATGTCAAAGTTGCTGTCAACGCTGGAGCCAGCTCACCGGGAGGGCTGGCCAAGGCGGTCAAGGATGAGATTACCAAGCTTGGGCTTAGCTTGAAGGTTGCCTGGGTTGAGGGCGACGATGTGACGGAACAAATGCACGACATGCTCAAAAAGGGCGAGAAGTTTAAGAGCATCGACACTGGCAAGGACATTGACGAGTGGGGTCATGATCCGATCTGCGCTCAGTACGTCAACCTTGCTACGCGGCGATAATTCAGCAGGCTGACTCTTTAGATGCTATCTCGGAGGGCTAGGGATTGCAGAAGCCCTCAGGTCTGGAGCGGATATTGTAATTTGCGGTCGAGTCTCGGATGCCGCACCCGCTGTCGGAGCTGCAGCCTGGTGGCATGGTTGGGGCCGTGATGACCTCGACGCACTTGCTGGTTCCTTGATCGCCGGCCACCTTATCGAATGCTCCACTTATGCAACTGGAGGATACTATTCCGGCTTCAAGGATCTCTTCGATGGCTGCGAAGATCTGGGGTACCCTATTGCAGCTATCGAAGCTAGTGGAGACACTGTTTTTAGCAAGGAGGAGCGAGGCACAGGAGGAGCGATGACTGTCGGAACTCTCACGTCTCAGCTTGTCTACGAAATCCAAGGTTCCCGTTACTACAGCTGTGATGTGGCTGCCAACCTGGATGATATCAAATTCGAACAGGTGGGCAAGAATCAAGTTCGAATGACTGGTGTCACCGGAACCGCGCCTCCGCCAACGACCAAGGTCGGCATTACTGCACATGGCGGGTACCAAGCCGAGTTCCATTATCTTTTCGTCGGACTGGATATCCAGAAGAAGGTGCGTCATTCCAACTCTCTACAACTTACTAAGTAGGCAAGCATTAACAATTATTCTCAGGCCGAATGGACCGAGCGGCAAATCCGCCATGCCATGAAGGACCACATACACAAATTTTCAAAGGTCAAATTCCACCTCGTGGGCTCCGCAGCAGAGAATCCCGAGACCCAGGATTCCGCCACGGTCGACTTTCGGATCTTTGTACAGACCAAGGATCCGTCGATCTTGGGCCTAGGCAGCTGGGCATCCCTTGGCGGCGCCGAGTCCTTCAATCGCTGGTGCATGCAAAACTTCTTGCAGTCAGCTCCTGGCGCGAGCATCGTACCCGACAGTCGCCAGGCTTCGGGAAAGCCTATCAATGAGTACTGGGTTTCCATTTTCCCACAAGATGCAATCCAGCACAAGGTCTTCCTAGAATGGAATGGGGAGTCAATCGATATTCCACCTCCAGTCAACACGGAGCCGTACACCAAGAGCTTGAAATCATACGAGACTTCCAACCCCGTGGATCTGAAAAGCTTTGGTCCTACAGAACGTGGCCCTCTAGGCTGGGTCGTTATGGGAAGATCCGGCGACAAAGCATCCGACGCGAATGTCGGCCTCTTTGTTCGACACGACGATGAATGGGACTGGATTCGCAGTCTACTTTCAACAGATAAGATCATTGAGCTGTTGGGCAAGGAATATCTTGGCCATGGCATTGAGCGTTTTGAGATGCCTCGTATCAAGACTGTTCACTTTCTTGTCCGTGATCACCTTGACCGAGGCTTCAACTCGACTTCCTCCTTGGATGCCCTTGGTAAAAATCTTTGTGAGTATCTCAGATCAAAACATATCGATATTCCCAAGAAGTTCCTTGACAGAGGAAAAATCTGAAGGGGTGGTGTGCCATTGGGAGGTTCTCTGAATGCAATTAAACGACAGTGATGTCCCGAGATACTCTTCTAGGCCTAAACACAAAAACATTGGAGCTTAGACTTGCGAGAGGACAAGAACAATTTCTGCTTTACTTCACTATCTACCGGATGGGTAACATCAACGAGGTATCGGATACTTGAATTGATAAGTTGCAGTGTTGAAATACGTAGCGAACGCAATGAACAGGAAACCCCACGCACAGAATTGTAGGACCTCGTTGCCTTAGCAAGGAACTTCACATCTCCATCCCTGGAAGCTTTTCGAGCCCTGTGGTGGTCAGCATCGATAGAGGATGTCTCGGCACTGTTTGGTGGAAACTTACACCCATCAACCTCCTCGCCTACGGTCTTCTGAATTGTGCACTTATTGGCTGTTTGCATGGCCTGCTTTTTGATAGATCCGCAGCCATCATAGAAGCACTCCGATTTGTCCATTGCGCGTTGAAGGGAGTCTCCCTTCCAGCCAAACATGTAATCGGCGTGCGTGCCAAATCCACTCGTGCCCTCAAAACTCCACACGAATGGGTTAGGAGCGCCCGATGGCCACATGCTGTTGAATTTAGTCGTATCCCAGACAGTCTCGAATGTCACCTGTGGCATGCGAACAGGATGTGACGAGGGACATGCAGGAGCGTTTGTAAAACCATCCAGCCTGATGGTATTGTACATATGTGACTGATGGTCCGGACTGTCGAGGTTTTTACCATCCCAACACCTTCAAGTACTTAGCGCTGTATTATTCAATGAAAGAGTGGGCAAAGCTACTTACGCTGGGAAATGATGAGTGGTGAAGATGCCTCCGGAGCATGGCCTGGTGGGAAAGTCAGGCATCTCCGCACCCCTGTTTTGTCCCTGGAGGCATTGGTATCGCAAGCCAACATGAGGACGCGAAGTCTGAGTGGGACTGCCGACCGTCATACGGAAACCCTGCAGGTCTTGTTAACTTCCACGTCGACCATTCCGGGGCTAACATACTGGTGGGAACGTTTTGACCGGCTGCTGCTTGATGTTGTCTCTCGTTAAATCGAATTGGGTGTAGTACACTGTGAGACCACCTTGTGCGCCGTTCGAGCCTCCTAGAAGTGGTTGAACGGGAACGACCGGGACACGGTGATAGGATCCATTGGTGGGATGCTTGAAATACAAGACAGCCGTCCAGTAATTGGAAAAGTCTTCGGCCATTTGACACGTTGTACATGTCGCCCTTTCGCCGACATCCCCGGTCATTGTCGCGTTGAATGCATTGCCACCCACAATGTGGTGGACATGCGCAGCTGGTAGTGCTCCCGGCTGAACGACAGGGTCGAGGCGCTGAATTGTCAAGGTCGAGCAAGGGAAACGAAGACCTGCATAGACAGGCGCAACCAGCGCTAGAGCGGACGCAAGTGATTTCATCGTTGAGGCTGTGCTCATCTCCAGATTTGGTGAGGTGAAGTTTGCGAAGGCAAGGTCGGAGGCCACGGGGCCCGACAAGCCTGCCTGAAGGGGTTTATATCAAAAGGTCAAACCTCCTTATCTTCGGAATGACTGCTTGCCATTACCTTCTCAATATGGCACTCTGGCCTCGCTTACGGTTGAATAGCCAAACCATTTGACGCCTTGAATCCAGCCAATGTGATGTGCACACCCACGACAGGATAGTGGTCAGATATCCCATAACGCGTCTGGACCGAGTGCGGGTGGCGGCGATATTGCGGTTCCGGCAGATCTATTCCAAGCTTCTCGGATGGTCGGCAAATAGGTTTAGCCAAGCCGGCTCTGATTGGCTCCTCCCAATGCCGTGGATATTTCGAACACGCTTTAGCCCTCTAGGTCCTTATATGAACTACTATTCACACCTGGCGGCCGAATCCGAAAGGGGCAAATTAAATGAACTTTGTACCATAATTATAGCAAGTCGACATACATCTGATCCAGGTAGCAGCAATAAAACGGTCCAAATGCCATGCAATTGCTGGTCGCCACAGCGAGGCTGAGCTGTTTATTCATTCTCGTCATCAATATAGAGTTTATCAGGCCTGGATACAGGTCTGCTATCGAAGTAACGGGGCTGAAATTCGTCATCCACTCCTACGGACACTACCGAAACCCAAACCCCAAAACCCGAAACCTGTTACGCTGTGAACTATGGCTTTCTCCAAGAGGAATCCCACGACCACATATTCAGTCCAACTTTCAACCCCGACTAAACTAGAAGGCCAGCATGGCACACTCCTTGATGTGTGGAACCGTTTGGGTGAATTGAAGATTCTCCCAGTATATGGCAGATCTCGCGATCGGCTTGACGACCACCCCTTGATAGCCATCCTTTCCTGCTTCATCGCACTCGATAACATCACACCAGCGGGTATCCTTCGGCGGCGATAGATACGGGGAATTAGTCCCGCCTCGAGTGTAGTCACCCGCAAGGTAGATGTTGAATGTCGTGACTCGGTTGGCTTTAGTCATAGTCGGGTCCCAGTCATAATGATAGTTGTAAAACACATCTACCTCGTACCGCTGGATTGTGGGGTGCTCCATGACTGTGTCATCGCCTCGCCAACCCTGGAAGTCCAAGGCGCGCTTCTCGATACGGCGCACTACCTCATCTTCGCGTTCTACATGACTTGACTCTGAAACGCGCATGTTGAGATCGCTGACTCTCTTGTCATGTATTCGATAGATCTTTGACTGCTCGTACCTGCCCTCGCTATCGGGTTTGGGAGGTTAATTAGCTTAGACCAACGCCATGTAACTAAACGGAAATGTTCAATATACTTACCTCAGATGAAGCAGGCGGGAAATCTCATCTTTACTCAGGAATGATTTGATGTATATGATCAGTGGATCTCTGGAGAAAATCTGAGCTGAATAAGGCTGCTCATTGTAGCTCCGGACTGACAGTTCCAGTCGACGCAAATGAGTGCTGTCACCGCTTCTGCTGACTAGCTGAGCAAAGGTAGATGACAAAGCACTCAAGTCTGACGGGTGACCAACGATCGCAATGAAGACTCCGGCAGTTGCCGCGACAAAACAAATATATACGAAGCTGAAGTCTAACTTGTTAGACATCTCGCTGGAAGTCCTCACCAGGGATCTTTCTAGGTCCGGTCAAGTTCAAGGATTGTGTCAAGATTGAGACAAAGATTAACAGCTTTCCAGAAAGCGACCCATGGACATGAAAAGCAATTTGGCTACGACAATGCAAAATAGCCTATTCAGAGATTACGTCTTTCGGATATCCCATCCATGCAAGAGGCCTGTCTGACAATTCCAACGGCAACAGTCAGCCGATGTGTGACCAATGTCCAGAGTGAGATAGACTCGGATGATGCATATGCATTGAGTCGAACAGTTCCCGATCCAGCCGGCCTACTGCAAAACTCGGAACTGTCAATCTCAATGACAGACACCCTGTTTTCGTCACCCACGGCCGTCGTGGATCCACTCGACCATAAACGTCTCAGGGCCAAGAGCAATATACTATATACAATGCGATGCGCCCAAGTGGGTATCAGGATGGTTGACAGTTTTTGATCAACGTTTATCTGATAGCCAATGAAAGCCTGTAATAGATGTACACAGTGCCTTCTAAGAGATTGCAAGTATAGAGCCCAGGGAGCCTTAGGGAACCTTAGACAGGATCCCAAGGAATCAAACGCCTTAGCCCGTGAATCAGGAGGGCAACCCGAGTGTACCCAGTTGGCATACTAATCTAATTAGGAATTATGAGGCGGTCATATCTCTTTCTAGCGTCTATTGCCGGGATTTGGTAATGAATTGATGTGAGAAGTTGGGTTACCAAATTCGGGTGCCGCTTCGCAAACCACAACTTCCCTACGGAGACTTGCGCTCAGCGGAGTTAAATAAGTCTGCCACCGTGACGGCATCCGGGTTTGAATTGCGCAACGTGTAGAAAACGTTAGAACAATAGAAACCGGGTCCCTTTTCTGTCATCTCGTATCGCTCGGGTGGCGCCTGGGTGGAGCCAGCCAGCATGATTCTCCACGAGAGCGACGTGACGATATCCGCTCCGTCTGGGGTTTCGGGGTTGTCGCTTTTTAATAGAACAGCCGAGATATAAATCGTGAGGACACAATCGTGACACGCATGGGCTCGTCCTTGGAACGGAAGTTGCACCATCACCTTTCTTGCCTTGAAGAATGGCGACGCTTCGAAGGCTCGTCTGGAGCGCTCTTTACGCCGCATATGCCATTACACCGACAGTAGCAGACGCTAAAGGCTCATATCTCTGGGATCCACCTATGAATAATGAAGCCAATGTTTATCCTCGAGTCATCGAACTGAAGCATGCGGGAAGTGAGAACGGCAAATTACTAGCGACATGGGAGCATTGGTATACGAAAGGCCCCGACACATCCGACCCCGACGGAACTCCAGGTAGCTTCATCATTCGTGAAAGCAACGATGGGGGCAACTCATGGTCTACCTTGACATCTGTCAACGATACACAAACCGGTCCGGGACACCCTTGTGCTAGATTCTGGCAGCCATTCTTTTTTGAGTTCCCAAAGAACCTTGGAAACTATCCGGAGGGAACCTTACTCCTAGTCGGCAACCTCGTTCCATTCAACAAAACTTTCACTGAATTTTTCACGTGGCGCTCTGGCGATCACGGCCGGACATGGGAGTCTGTGGGTTCCTGGCAACATGGCGGCACCACTACTGCAGGCATCTGGGAGCCATTCTTGTACCTTGACAGCCAGGATCGGTTAGTGGCTGCGTTTTCCGACGAACGTGAGGCCGCCAGCCATAGCCAAATGCTGGTACATGTCATCTCTGAAGACGGGGGAGAAAGCTGGGGCGAAGTGGTGCGCGATGTGGCTAGCGAGGCTCAATCAGACCGACCAGGTATGGTGACCGTAACTCGCATGGACAATAGCGAGTACATCATGAGCTACGAGATCTGCAATCGCCCTGGCTGTCCAGTCCACGTCAAGAGGTCACAGGACGGGGTAACCTGGAACCCTACTGATATGGGGACACCGATTGCAACTACCGACGGCGTTTACGCGGGTTCGGCTCCGTACCTAGTTTGGGATGGGTCTGTAAAGCAGCTCGTCCTTGCTCCTCATTCGTCGTGGGACGCGATAACAGATCTGAAGGGTCCTCGAAATGATCGGACCGTTTTTATCAACAAGAATTACGGCACTGGAGAATGGTTCTGGGCTACATCCCCCTGGTATGTCAACAACGCATCCAAAGCCTGTAATTCCAATTACAGTCCACACCTGCTTCCTCGTTCCGAAGGTGTCATTCGCTATACCGCGCCAGCAAGTGAGGGAACCACAGGACAGTGCTCGGAGAGGACGGGCCAAGCCCCTATTGGCGTTCTGCCATACAGGTCCAATTTCTCGGCCAATGGCGAAGCTGGATGGATCAATTTTAACGGCGAATGGAGCATCTCAGGCAGTGAATACAGTGTCGCCCCAGTTGGTGACGTTGAAGCGAGGGCATTGACTGGGGCCTCAGCCTGGACAGACTACGAGATTAGCGCCGATGTCATGATTGCGGGCAGTTCAGGGGTAGTCGGCTTGGCTGCAAGAGTCACGGCTCCCATGTACGGAGCCAACGCGTTCAAAGGCTACATGGCGGCGATCAACTCCTTCACTGGTAATCTAACGGTCTCAAGAGTGGCGCATAACATGGCAGTATTGAAATCCCAGGCTCATCCAGGTGGCATCCAGGGCAACAAGTGGTATCATCTCTCGCTTCAGGTTCAGCGTTTCCAACTTACGGCAACCCTAACCTCTGACCAAGGTTCGTCAAAGACCACTTACAAAATCATTGATAACAGCTGGCCTCAAGGAGTTACCGGGTTGTTGGCAAGAAACGGGGGAGGATCGTTCAAGAATGTCGAGATTGTCTCCATTTAGATGACATGGAACAGGCGAAGTGTCTAGTACTTAAGCCTTCATTTCTGGCTTCTTGTCTAGCTTAGCTGAGCAACAAATCACAGAACCCTTTTGGCCATGTCGTCTTCATTCAGTGCCCACAACGGAGCTGTTCAATATTCTCAATTCACTACAAGGTCATCATTAAGAAGTGGTTCTTTCTCAAAGCCGTGAAGAACTTGATCAATCACCGCTGCTGCGCACCGAGCCAGGGTAACCCTTGGAAGAGCCTGTCCATGCGTGCTTCCATCGCACTAAATCTGCGTCCGTCAGTCTGTGTGATGACGACCGGTTTGATAACAGAAGCTTCCGGCCGGCCTTGATGTTTTGCTGCGACGGCGAGTATCTGATTCTCCGTCTCGCCTTATACTCATCAGCGTACGTCCATGATGTATACGTCAATTTCAGGTCGAAGAACCTCCGTATGACGCACTGCGCTGACGAAGGATTCGAGCCGGCATAACGCTACACAATGAGAGGTCAAATGATCAAACACTTGGCTAATCCATTCCCTGAGGGGAAAACGAGAAATGGCGAGAAGAAGCGAGCTGCCGGGCTTTCCTGTGAGGATCTTCGTATCGCGCCGCAAAACAGCCGTTTGCAAACACGGAGAACGCAAGTGCTACATGGGCGGTTCTCATTCCAGCATCTCCTTATCGGAATGATTGCGGGGTTGAGAAAGCAGAGAATATCTTGACACGCCGTTGCCTGCCGCTTACAGTCCCGATGGATCTTCGTGTGGCCTCGATTTGGTCACAACAGGACGGAAGCACACGCTTGCCGACTTACTGTCTGGGTTTCAGTATCAAACGTGAACCCGCCGTGCCCACTAGTGGCGATCTGGTGTTCGGCTAGACCCTTAGCTGCCCTGTACTATTAAACATCCGCGTCGGCGCGAGCACCAAATAGAACAGGTGCAAGTCTCGCTGGTTTTTAACTCGAGAGCTAGCGTGCCCCGAAGTGAGCAGTAGGCCGCCGTCCTTAAAGCCGCCACCAAACCGGGGATCACTCCGCTTCAACCTACCTATAATACTCTCGGCATGGCCCTGCCTTGGCCCCTGATCATCCCCAACCTTCTGGTGGCCGGAGGTAGACACCAGAGTGGCGCAGGCTTAGCTCGCACTTGTACTACAAAGATCGCGACTACTGCGAATCAATAGTTCGAGGACAAGCGTCCTCAATAGCTCCCAGCCGGGTCCGTACAAGGTGATAGCTCCGGGCGGCAGCACAATCAAAGTCTGCCACAGATGCCGGCCAGATGCGTCGGTTGGCGTTTTCTGTTGACGGCGATCCATGGAGCGGATTGATAGATAAGTGAATGATCTTCTCGTCGCGCCGCATAAAGGAGCAACCACTCGGTCCCCTCCACCCTGCTCATGCTTCGCCGTGTCTTCTCAAGGAGTCATTTGTATTTGTCTCAACATTGCCTTTACAATGGCCCGTCTCAGTACTGCATCTGCCTTCGGGCTCGTGATCGCTCTTTTCTTCAGCCAGACTCAGGCTACTGGTACTGGTTGCAATGCTGACAATGTTCTGCGTGCTCTGCGCCGCTTTTCGTCGCAAGCATCGCCTTTCTGTGCGACCTTCATCCAGAGCACTGCAACGGTGACGGTGACGCCGACCTCTATAGTACCCGGCACTGTGTATGAGAGCATCACCGTCCAGGGGCCAACCGAGACATCCGTCATCGAGTCTACTGATGTCTCTACGGCCACAGAGACAACGGCAAGCACCTCGCTCACTATCTTCCCAACTACGCTGATAACATCGACCACATCGACCACGGCGAGCACCTTAACCGTTATCTCTACCACAACGGTCAACTATCAGAACATCCCTAACCCGATTCGACGAGATGCTGAGAGCCCACTGCCCAGCTATGTGTCCCAGTACCCTTCGAGCCGGGTCTCCAGCGCATGCTCGTGCTTAGGCGGCCCTATCTCGACGATCACGTCCACGGCCACGGCTGCTCCGGCCTTCAGCACCAGTCTGAGCACCATCACCGACGTGAGCTCGTCGGAGACCACGACTACCACTACGTCGATCACATCGGTGACCACTACAGAGACAGCCAGCACCCTCACGATCACGACCAGCACCTCTATTACAACTACCACTGCGCTTACTGCCGTGCCGACTGCCACGCAGACCCTCGTCTGCAACTACTGCGATCCTGCTCAACAGGTCATCGGTAACCCGTCTTTTGAGGATGTCGCAAGCCCCGGCTCTACCGCCCCGGCTATCTGGTCGACCTATAACCAGGCTGGCACGACCATCTCCGATGTCAGCACAAATAACGCTGTGAGCGGCAGCCGGGCCATCCAGATCTCCCGCAGGACACTCGTCAGCAACGATCCCAGCTACCCACATGTCAACTTAGCGCAGACTGTCAGGCTCTGCCATGATGCCACATACACGTTGACCTACTTTATCGGAGTGGATACTACTGCTATCACAGCCAAGACTGGCTATGTCAACTCCGAGTATGTTGTGACGCTGGGCGGTAATGTCATCGTCGCAAAGGCTGCCGTTTGTGCTGGCGACGCGTCTGACTGCACTTATACCAAGGGCAATATCAGTTACCGTAAGGTCACTGTTAGCAACATCACCCCTCCGAGCTGCAATCCTGAGCTGCTCTTCATGGTCTACTTTAAGAAGTCAACCAAGGTAGTTCCCAATGTGTATATCGACCTTGTGGAAATGGCTGTCTCCCAATAGGAGGCCGCTAGGGCGAGTTCTGTTTCGTCTCCCTAAGAGACAGGGTTCGTTTGGGAAACTTAACCCTTCAATCTTGTTGTCGTTGTTCATATAGATTTGGCCTCTATCACATGAACAGGCCGACGAGGAGCCGCGGTAGGGAATTGATACTTAGTTATTCTGAATTCACACAGCTTGTTTGAGGTAGAATTCACGCATGATCCTGAATGCGACAAGTACCTCAGGAAGTCGTATTTCTTTTCAGTAATCTTGTACTCTAAGCATTCTCGACCATCTGAGTAATCAAGTCAGCGATTCGGCAGGCACTTACGGGTAGTGAAGCTGGACAGATCGAGACAAACATAAGAACCAAGACCTGGTTTTTTGGGATTATGATTTCACGTCACTCTATCCATTCTTAATAAGTGGAATGCTGCGGCCCATTGTTGATCACTGATCTCATGAGCTTTTGTACCGGCTCCTCGGTCAGTCTCAGGACTGAAGATGTCTTTGGAAGAATTAACCTTTGAAAGTTCGGGATTCATCGCTAAGGCGCCGAACGTGAAGCTGATATCGGACGTCCGCAAAGAAGAGTTCCTTAAAAGGGTGGTGCGGCCCTATCAAACTTGGCTGGTGTGTTGTTTCTGCGCCTCAGCTGCTAAGAAACGTTGCCCGGAACGACTGGATATCTCTTCAGTCTGAGAATTCTCTTTCTAAAAAGCAGCTGCAGCTTCTTTGTGGACAAGAAAATGTGTACGAGTCAGCAGAGCATAGGGCTAAATACAAGCAGTGCCAGGCTTCATCATTCAAATGCACAGTCATCATGACTTTTCGGACTTAATTACCACATATTAAATCACAATAGCACTGATCGAGGCCAAGCATCGGAAATTGAATACACCAAGATGAACAAAACTTGAAATCTTCTAGAGTCGGTACGTAATCGCGTTCTCGGTGACTGGAATAGTGGATGAGGGCGACGCGATACAGCTTCAACCACGGGGAGGATGTCTATGATGGCGTCATGGCCAGTACCAAAAAAAACTTGGCTGTTCAGCTGATATTGGTAAATACCCTAAGATACTTCGTTGATTGGTCCCTTCCTTAGACGTTTAAATAACGCCGACGTATAGGTCCAGCCGCTCAATCAAGTCGATCCTGGAACCCTCAATTATCCGGGGATTGACCTTGCCACTGAACGTTCCCTGCTTGGAGATATTAAACGCTTTCTCTTAAGATTGACGCCATTGATGATGCCATGTCCATCACCAGGCGTCGTCTTCATAACATTAGGATATTCTATTGCTTAAGAAATGTATAAAGTCTTTTAGTCCCGAATCAGTTGTTCCTGCAATGACCTGTGGAAGTGGCATCCGGACTGTCTGGTTTCAAAAACTAACCCCGCCCAATACTGCTCATTATGGTTAATTTTGCTGTAGCCATTCTATGGCTTGGGGCTTCAGGTATGTTCTCACGCGCATGTTTTACATTCTCCTGAGCTAATGCATGATATGTATATGGGTAGCAGCAGCGCTGGACCCGGTCTCCGGGACTCACGTCATACCTAGAGTTGAAGTTGCTACCGATGCGCCAAAGTCACAGAGTTCTCCAGCGCAGACGGTCCCAGCGCCATCCACGCCACCTTCCCCGAAAAGCCCGCCTCCTGTCGAGGGTGGCACGTCAAAGCAAGAATCGAGCCCGCAGCCGTCCAAGCCCAGCAGTGCACCCAGTGTCTCGGGTGCCGCGTCGGGTGCCACATCAGCCGGCTCTGGCCAGACGGCTTCACCCCAACCAGCAGCGACGAGTGGTGGCGGGGGAGTTGTCACCACAATAAGAACAACTATCATTGAAACAATCATTGGACCGGCACCGGGCTCCAGTTCCGAGCACTCTGAGCCCAGTCAGCCTGCACCAAGCACGCAGCCATCAGTTGCGCCCTCTTCCAACAATCCGACGTCTACTCAGCCCCAATCATCAGACAAAACTGGCTCTTCATCTTCCGCCCCTCAGACTCAGCCCAGTCAATCAGCCACCCTTCCTGCCAGTGGGAGTGCGTGGCTATCGAGCATCCTGTCAAGCATCATGTCGGCCAGTGCAAGTACAAACTCGCCCGCGCCGTCGACCACTGCACAACAGACAGGGTCCCAAACTTCGGGGGCTCGAACGGCCACGACACAGCCGGCGCAGTCGCCGCAGCCCCAGCCATCTGGCACTCAACAGCCGTCCACAGGAGCCAGCGGAAGCCCAGAAGCGCCAGGAACAATCGTCGTGACGACTATCTTGACCATCACGGGGCCGGGAGCACCTTCAAGCACGGTTAGGTCTGGGCAAGCAAGCCAAACAAGAGAACAGTCGGTTACCAATACTCAGGATCAAGGGCAGAAGTGGACAGGCGCGGGTAACTCCGCCAGCCAAGGTTCTGAGGGAAATGGTGCAGGCCAGACCACATCCTCTGGAGGACTACTGGGTGGGCTCTTATCTACAGTGCTGGGAGGCGTTGGTGGAAGCGAGGGGAGTTCAGGTCAGCCTACGGCCTCTGCTTCAACACCAGGATCGGGCCAAGGGTCAACCACGACCTCTTCCGAAGGTCTCCTTGGGGGTCTGTTATCGACAGTCCTGGGAGGTATTGGAGGGGATGAGTCCGGGAAACCAACGGGCGAGCAGACGACACCCCACCAGACTATGACCCCGGATGCCCCAGGACGCCGACGGAAAGCTCGTGTAGAGGAGTTGGACAGAAAGGCTTCCGCTCCTACTACTACTTTCTTGACCTTGGTTATCTGACAGAGGCGAGAGGTCTGAGAAGATCTATTATCCGGCCCATCCCAGACTCTCAATTTTATTCCTCTCTTGGCTGACCTCGCGCGTTCTGTTTGCATCTCGTTTCAACAAGTGATATCTACTGGTACTCTTGACAATTCAAAATTCTCCTTGAAAGATGTCGACGGTGCTCTCCAAAACATGGAAGGTGACTACCTGCGTTTGACCCTTTTTCTTCTCCTGTGGCCGTGGAGCTGTACTGCAGTCACTCGGCTTGTTGGTCGGCGTCCTGCTGTGCCGTTATGGATTGAGATCGGCTCTTCCGACCGATACTTGCACCAATGATGTCACGCAGTTATGAGTTAGTCAGCCCAAACGGTCTGGGTTCCCGATGTGGAGCCCCCCGCCGACCTTCACGGTTGCGGTATTTCATTCCCGCGATCGCTTGGCGGCGACTCAGCGAGCATCTTGATCTTAGCCTTTGCCTACAAACTGCTTGACGGCACTCCCGACTTATCGTGAATAATATTATATATTATATGAGAAAATCCCATCCTCGTCCCTGCCAGCTTGTGAGCCCGCAATCTGCACAAGCGAAGCAATGGCGTCTTCCTCGGACAACATCTCCGAGATTGTGAAGGGAGAAATTGCGGCACGAGACGCTGATATCTCGTCCATAAACCACAAGGCAAGGCACTCCGAAGACAGGGGTATTTTCATTGCGCCCTCGGGAGGATACGGTTGCTGACCTCTTGTAGATACATTCCAACCCAGAACTCGCATACGAAGAACATGCCGCGCACGACAATTTTGTTGCTGCTTTGAAGAAACTCGGCCTTGAAGTGACTCCACACGCGTATGGTGTCGACACGAGCTTCTCGTGTGACTTTGGGCAGGGAGGCCGACTGATCGTCTTCAACGCCGAATACGATGCGCTGCCCGGCATTGGGCATGCCTGCGGGCACAACCTGATTGCTAGCGCCAGTTTTGCAGCCTTCCTCGGGGTGTGCGCCGCCCTGAAGAAGACCGGCATCCCGGGCCGTGTCCGACTCCTCGGAACCCCAGCCGAGGAGGGCGGAGGCGGCAAGCTAAAGCTCATTGCAGGAGGTGCCTTCAAGAATGTATCTGCGTGTTTGATGGTGCACCCCGGGCCGCAGTATCTTCTCAAGGACCCGGTCCGTGAGGTCGCCTACGTGCGCATGCTCGCCAACGTGAAGTACAAGGTGCATTTCACGGGTCGTGCATCGCATGCGGCCATGCTGCCGTGGAACGGTGTCAACGCGCTGGACGCTGTGTGTCTTTCATACAATGCCATATCCATGCTTCGTCAGCAGATCAAGCCGTACGAGCGGATCCATGGCGTCTTTCGCGAGGCCGGGGACAGACCCAACATCATACCATCGCGCACCACCGTCGAGTACTACGTCCGGAGCGACACACGCGCGGCGGCAGAGGCTCTATGGCAGCGTGTCAAAAAGTGTTTTGAGGGCGCGTCGGTCGCGACAGGTTGTGGAATCGAGTTTGAGCACCTGAACTCGTATGCTGACGTGCGTCCCTCCAAGGTTATCTGCGAGGAGTATGTAAAGGTCATGCCCGAGGGTACAGTCTCCTATGCGGACCCCCCAGATATCCTCGCCGGAAGTACAGACCAAGGCGATGTGTGCTATGTCTGTCCGTCATACCATGGAGCATTCGGTATCAACACCGAGGTCGGACAGGGCAATCATACCCCCGGCTTCACCAGGGCCTCTGCTCTTCAAGACTCATACCAACGTGCGCTGGCATGCGGCGAAGGTATGGCGCTTGTAGGTTTCAAAATCCTCAGCGATGACAACTTCGCTGAGCGTATGAAAGAGGATTGGGAGGAGGACATGAAGGTTGCTACTCAGACATGAAGAGCTTTTCCCAGGGCCATTTGCCTATCAAACTTGGAGGCGTTGCCCTGGTCAGTTAAGCTATTCATGAGTAACACCAGCAAATGAGTAGACTTGCATTTGGAATGACGTCTTCCTGAGCGTTGAAACCGAGAAATGCGTATCAGAACTTCCAGTCACAAGGGTTTAGCACTTTGTTCTAGCCAACTGGGCACCACCATCATACAAGCAACCCAACTACCTAAAATTGATAGGCCCTGACAGATGGTGAAATAATCCGACTATCAAGGAATGGTACTTCAGGAAACGATAGACTACCGACGTAGATTGACCATCGTTGACCATCGTATATCTATCTGCCTCCTTTTGCTTTTGCTGTGTTTACAATAAGGCCGCCCAGGACATGAGCTTGATCCTTCAACCCCAGATGGCCTGACAGTATGAGGTCCCTCGATCAGGACGAGAACGGGTCGTCCGCAAAACTGGCGTCTTGTTCAGCTCACGCCTCGGAGGTTGTTCATCGATATTCACTCACAAGGTGTTGCCCAGGCCATCATCACACACAAGCCTGCCTTGAACTGGGCTACACTGGGCACCGTCGAGAACAAAACGGCCTCCACTAACTTCTTTTGCTGGAATCGTGTTTCTCGCAGGAGCGGCAAATGCCAAGCTGGCCAGGGCGAGAAAAATGGCGGCGAGCTGCATCTTGTCTATTTCGTACTTTGTCGGTTTGTTTATGACGTATGGATGCACTTGAGAAGATAATTGGAGTCTGGCCTGCCAGGAAGTCGTTGGTCCAAAAGTAATTTTCTGCCACAAGCAGAGAGTCGAGAAATGATGGGGAGCAATGAACACTGATGAACAGAGTTCGCAAGATTTTGCTTTATATACGAGGGCACAGCCAAGCATTGTTCGCACAGGATGAAACAGGAGTCTGAAATTCACCTATGTTCGTCCACTGTTGGCCCCTGAATGTGGGTCATCGTCCCATTTCAGTGCGACTTGCAACATCATCACCCTCGCTTAGCATCCGTTCACAGTATTGATGTTAGTCTCGGGATAGAAACCGCGGCTCATAGCTTGCTGTCTCTTGTTGTTTTACTACCCCCGGTTGCCTTTTTATTGTGATTGTTCTGCAATGTGGCAAGCCCATCAGCGCGCCACAAGGTGCAGATAAACATGTAGTGGACCCTTGTCCCAGAACATGTATATCTTCTGCTTCTCTGTCCAGTATTGACTGTCATCTGCAAGTTTCATGTCAAACCTCCAAATTAGTCAAACTAGGATGGTGCGCATTTCAACATAAGCCAGACTGTCAGCAAGGAATTGTGAGTACGAGACGCTTGTCAAGTGAACCTATCAATAACTCACTTCCGGCCAATGCAGTTTCGAGGTCCCATCGAGAACGGTTGAAGCACATCCCGATCGGCTTTAGCGAAGAAGACCATGCAGAGAACGGCCCTTACCTGTGTGCATCGATCTCACAGGGTAACGTTCGGGCGTATTAATTGTCCCATTCATGAGGTTGGAGGGCTTCCTGTAAGCACGCCCCTAGAGATCACCTCAGATGAGATAGATCCTCCGTTTTTAGTGACATCCTTATATAGCAAAAGTCTAAAGTTGGGAGTTTGTATCGTCGATCACTGACGAGATAGTATATCAAGTGTTCCAATTCGGCTGTAAAACGATCGCTATGCTAAGCACCTTCGGGAGAGGTTTCTATTCGAGATGAATGGTCCGGAACTCTAATCTTACAACCTCCAGCAGGGTTTTAAAGACGATTGCCCCCAGCTTTCCAGGCTCGGCTCGCCCTCCCCGGCGCAGCCGCTCCGACACCAAAATTATGAAGTCGCTCGCCGATCAGGTAAGCCTCGTCACGAATTCTCACCCTCCAAGACCGCAGAATCGCGACCATGTACCACAGGGTCCACAGAACTACAAAGCAAGAAGCCATGGCCGGGAAGCTGAGCCGGTAGACCATGACCTTCGCTGCGCCTGCCGGTCCAGGGATCGAGTCCAATATCCCCCACGAGATCGCGAATCGAGCGGAAATCAACGGTGCAGTAAGAGCGAGGAAGCCAAGTATCAAGGTGGGCAGAATGAAAGCCCGAGTAAGAATGGCGGCATCAGGGTCCAGCCAGCCTCGGCGGAGAACGGCACGCACAGCAGATGCGAGGCGAGTGTCGCCATACCATGACATGATGATCTTCGACCCGAGCTTCGTGTATAGAACGCCAATCGTCCAGGTCTGCATTACACGCACATCATGCCTCTGGCCCTGGGCTCCTTCTGTGAGCATTGCCGAGTACATATATGTGTTGAGCGGTGCAAGGATGTAAAGCTCCATCACCGAAGAGAGGAGTAATGGGAGGACAACGAGGAGAAATGAGTAGCAATACAGCATCTTCGATCCTTGCTTGATGAATGACATGGCTTTTCGGACCCCTTGTCGGTTCCCTAGAGCCGAAATCGCGTCTCTGATATAGCTTCTCGCCTTTATGGACAGCGAACGAAGGTGAAAAATCAGATAAGCCGCGGAGCCGAGGATATAGATGCCGATGCTAAACGCGTATATGTCGTTGGTGCGAATATGCGCGGGTATGAGCATTTTGAACATTCGCCTGCCGAATACAAGGGGAATAATGGTAAAGCTGACACCGGTTACAGCAGCAAATATCCACAGGAGGATAATGAACAGGGACACACGGAGCTGAAAGCGAGGCGGAATATAGACAAACTGATACTGGTCAGTCGCGTAGATATCCGAGTAAGACCGCTCGTTAAGACCCCCAGGACGGATGTTATTTTCGGTGACGTCGAGGAAGACCCTTCGTCCTTTGGGGATCTTAACCTGGTCAGACGCTGGGGTCCTGACAAACCGACCCTCTGGAATGAGCTGGCCTGTATCGACAAGCTTATGCTTGTCGGCATTGAGTTTGAGGATCTCGTCGGTCGACAGTGAAGTGGGCTTGGCATGAGCCCCGTCAAAAACGTGGGCCCATGTCGTAGGAACCACCTGGCCGTTGCCGTCATAGGCCAGGAAGAGGCGCCTCCAGTATGGCATCGCTTGGTATGGCGAATCGCTGGGTAGGACCAGTCTACCTTCTTCATCGATCCGGCGTTCTCCGAAGAGGAACCAGCTGATGCGCAGTGTATGGGCGCATTTCCGAAACCACCAGGTATACATGGTGCGGAGCGCGTTGCTCGGCTTGAAGAATTTGACGGCCAGCGGCATTAAAAAGTTGTAGAAGAGCAGATCAATCGGAAACTCGAGAACTGGCTCGTTGGATGAATAGTGAATCGGCAACACGTTGGGGACGGCCATGGCCAGGCCCCAAACAACACCGCCCAGGCAGATGATGACAAGCGCGCCGTAGACAAATGCAGAGAAGAGGATCTTGCGAAGCTGTGTCGTGACGTTCCTTTCAAGTACGTCGCGGACTGGGTGAAACTCGGGGTCGTCAGGGTCCCTGATAAAATCTAGAAACACGCGTATTATTAGCCCACAGCTGCATTGCAAATGAATTTCTGGCTGACTTACAGAGCACGCCTTTGCGCATGATCTTACGACACATGGACACGAACAGCGCAAAGTGAAACATGTAGCCAGTGCCGACGAACCAATGCACAAAAATGGACGTCAGGGGAAACTTGAACGTAAAGAAAAGCCGAGATCTAGGAGAGGTGTCCTCGAAGAGAGGTAGGAGTGCCATGTCCAGCAAGAGCCCGCAGTAGAGAGGAAAGACCAGCATTTCGATGCCGATGATCAAAAGGACCTTCAAGACCCCGCTGGCCTGATGTATGCCTTCCATCACCGAGCCTTCCCATTCCTGGCCAGTTTGCGTGCTCGAGAAGGGTCTCCCACGCCGCACGTAGAGGGTCGCTACTAGACAAAGAACGATGTAGCCAGCGAAAATGGCCCAAAAGCGGTCCATGGGTTCCCAGTACGCAAGCTCAGGGCTGAGAACGACTGGCGGTGACATGTTGTTTTCTTCAAACCAAGACCCTGGATTTGAAAGAACAGCCAATGTATGGATAGCTGTACTCCAGAAAAGCCCCGGGATGAAGGGCACAATTGATATGATGTGAAGAGCTTTGTTACCATATTCGCCGCTTGCAATGAACTGGAAGATGGAGCCGGCTGAGGCGATTGCCGTAGAGACGAAGCTCTTCACGGTGAGCAATGCATCATGACTGAGGGCTGAGAAATTTCGAATCTCCCCAGCCGAAATGACTGGTTGGCTAGCGAAGGCCACTCTGGATATCCTGAGAGCTGCGCTTCGAGACATGGCCCAAGAGCCTTGAGCCGTTCCAGCAAGAGACTTGCTTGCATGGGCCCAACCCAAGATCTGTCCACACAAGTGAAGGATGTAAAAGAGCCCAGTAGACAAGGCCCCTGCAAAAACGAGAGCAATGTCCTGTATGAACTTGGTCAGGCTGATCATCATGCGTACAGGGCGCATGGGGTTGGCCACCGCCCACAAGCCAATCTTGCCGACGTTGTAGGGCAGGAAGACGCCGAGGAAGATAGTGATGGAAACCAAGAATGCACAGAAGATTGCATTTTGAAACAGGCCCCCGATTGGCCCGCGCATGCCCAGGAGCTCCATCACGCCTTCGAGATCTTCGGCGTCGTCGATGGCGTCAGGATCCAGTCCCGCTGCCACAGCAGCCTCTACCACCTCTCGGTCCTGCTCAAAATCATCATCTCTCAGATCGCCATCATCGACAGCAGGCAGTCCATCCACGTCGTCGTCGTCGACAAAAACTTCTGGAGGAGGCATCAACTCGGCCGGGTCAATGGCATCCACACCGCCCCACATGAGATGAGCAAGCCACTGGGCGAGGCCGTCTGGCTGGTTCTGCAATTGCACGGCATGGTGACCATTCTGACGAGGTGGGGGAAGATCATTGAAGTCGGGAAGGTTATTCCACTCTGTTGGGGACGGACGAACCAGTGCAGGCTCTCCCAAATCTTGATCAACGTCCAAGTCTGATAGCTCGTCAAGCTCAGCAAGCCGATGTGGATTTGAGTCCACATTCTCCCCCATCTGGTCCACAGTAACGGCCATTCTTGATGGTAGTTCAACCGGAGTTGTCGGGGCAGGTGTGGGATACACCTCTTCGGCTTCTTCATCCGGGAAGATGGAGGCTCGAGTAGGTGAAGGGGCGGAACGCTGCTGCTGTTCTGGTTCTGAGGCATGCATGGCTGACGAATTCTGCGAGGTAGACGCGGCAAATGACCAGTTGTTGTGTGCCAGTGGACTGATGCTCTCATGTACCTGGGGCCCGTCTGTGTTGGCTCGAGCCCTCGGAGGCTTGCCCGGCATGATCGCCGACTCAGGGTGGAAACCTGCATCATCCTCGTCATCGTCTTGTATTGCCTTTGCTTTTCCCTTTTCAGCCGATGTTGGGGCTGAGTTGGACTCCGACGCCAGCTCCTCGGGCCAAACCCAAGATGCGGGCTGGTCCGGAATGACGCGTTGAGAATCGAAATCCGGCGGGGTGGCAAGCTGTCCGGCTGAGCCCTCCGCATCCTTTCCGACAGGATCTCGTTCCTTCTTGCGGTCTCTCCTAGCTCGGGTCAGACGCATCCAATACTCTAGACGATCCTCGACGCCCCTTTCCTTAGCAATACCCAATATCCTGTCGGGATCTCCACCAGCTTCCCGAAATATACTATCGTATTCATAGACAGTACTGCCTTGAGTGGTGGAATCCGAATCTGTGGGCGATGACTGGTACGCAAAAGCGGAAGGGCCAGCCCCAAAACCGTGGGGTGCATCAGAGAACTGCGCTTCTAGAGTATCCGTCTCCAAGGGTGATGACTCCAGCCCTACTCCGGTGAACTGATGTGAGTCGTGATTGACAGATTCCGATACGAATTCCGACACAGGCAGGTATCGACGGGACGAGGTGGGTAGGTCGGCATGATCATCAGGTTGCGCTGCCGGGGTTGTCGCATCGTTATCCAGAATGCCGTCGACGTAGCGGTCTGCAGCGATGCCCTCGACCATTTCACCGGCTCCGGTTTCTGTGGGTTCTCGCAGGTGGGCAACAGCGCCATTGTGGCCATCAACGGCATCGGCCTGATCGGGAGGCGGGGGGAAGTCGGGATTCTCCTCGGCAGCTCTAGCGGCTCGCATGTTGATCTCGGGTTGCTGCTGGACAACGTAATCTCGAACCAGTATGATCAGGATGAAGCAAACAATGACCAGAACAGTAATTATTTGCCCTTCTAGAATCCAGATGAGGTTCCGGTTCAGGGACGGGTACCGAGTGAGGTTCCGCAGGAAGTCGACGTCACTCAGCAGCGACGGCGGCCCTGTATTGGCAAAAGAGAGGGTGGTTGGATCGATTGAGGAATTGGAGGCTAGAGTCGAGTTTGAAGAACCGAAGCGGCCGGATCCGATTAGAAGGCGAAGCACAGTGGTTGTCAGGGGATCATTCGAAGTGAGGGTTAGATTGACACCGTAGAGCGGCCAGACGAGCTGGGGAACAGTCTCGGGGCTGAGAGCAGGGCATGTAGTCGGCGCAAGGAGAGGGCTAGAAGGGCATACATAGCCACCGAACATGAAAGCAGACAAGTCGGTCCAACCGTGGCCGCGGCCGTCCGCTCTGGGAAAGAGGGAGCCGCCTCCACCACCGAGTCCCTCATCGCTGAGCCAGAAGAGGAAGGACCAGACTGTTCGCATCAAGTAGGGTAACCAACCCAGCCAGACGCTGATGACCAGGGCACCGCGGAGCCACACGAGAATATTTCGGAAAACATACTTGGCGGCGTGGCTGAGAACAATGTGTGGAGGTAATGTCTTGGGCATCGAGGGCGCGTACAGCTTGGTGAAGCGGAAAGGTGTCTTGCAGAGCTCGCAGTGTTTCTTTTGCGAATGTGACAGCCATTCCATCAAGCAGTCCTGGTGGACATACTTGATGCTACCACTGCATTTGCAGGGGTAGAACAACGGCTCCTCGATGGTCGCCTCGCCCCGGCATATTCGACATGTGTCGGGATCGAGTGGCCCGGCGCTGAAAGGCTCTGCCGTATGAGCTGGGGAGGAAGGGGTCGGAGTATGCTGCCCGGCGGAATGGCGTCGTCGTGTGTGACTCAGCAGGTCCTGGTCCTGCAAGACAACAGTGCTGCTCGAAGCTTCGTCCATTTTGAAGTTTTGATCCGCCGGAAGGGGCGGGGAAGAGACGTCCGGGTGTGCTTGGAAGGGCTTGCTCTTCAACAGCCGCCAAGAGGTGTGTTCATGCGCTCATCGGTCGAAGAAGGGACCCGGATGTAGGGACACGGGCGCTTTTGAGAGTGGCTCTTCAGGCGTAGTGGTGAGCGGCAAGGTGAGGATAGCGACTGGAGGAGAAGCCTAGGCAGACGAGGAGAAGCGTCGGAGGTGGGATCGAGAGAGTGTGGGTTCGGGATTTGCTTCGCTGCTGTGATGGACTGGCGTCTAGGCTGCGATGAATGACCGGAGAGAAGCTCTTGATGCGTTGGAAGGCAGGCAATGGATTCCTGCCTGGAAAGTCTGTCGTGGATGCGTTGTTGTGTTGAGGCCGGTCTGAACATCAAAAGAGCTGGAGGATGGATCTGCGAAGCACATGCACCACGAGTCCATTACCAAAGTTCAGGCCCGCTGGTTCTTTGCTTAGTTTGGCGGCCCCACCACCCTCTGTACCACAATTCGAAGCCTCAACGGACGTGCGGCCGAGTCAAGCAGGCACAGTGTTGCTCACTCAGCTGGAGTGAGTGCTCACTGTGCTAAGTTGGTACAACTGCTACCCACATACATGAATGTACCTAAGCAGATCAAATCCAAATTGAAATTCAATGTTGGATGGCCCTGGTCGGTGGTTCTGGAGTCCGATCCCCCGCTTTCTCTCCGCACCTTCATGCTCAACTGACCATCAATGTTTGAATTTGATCAAGATAATGGATGTTTGGTGGGACTGGATTCACGCCTGACATCAAAATGACTGCCCCAGTGCTGAAGGCATCTTGTTCGCACCTAGCATCAGCTGCTTGACGAGCGAACACACGGGCTAGTATTGCAGGCAGTTGAACTACCTATGAATAGATCGTGCCGTGTCCCGGCAGAGCGCTTTCATCGAACGGCATAACAGGGAGGGCGCAAATGCTACTGATCATCATAAATCACGATCGTGCAAACAGAACAGGCCACACACGATACACTGCATGGAGGCACCAGAATGATAAAAGGATATCTTGTCGTCTCCAAGCCGTCTCAAGCCTCAAGGGTCAAGGGAAATACCATGTCTGCTCTCCATACAGGTATTTCAGGGTCAACAAATGGCATCGCCCGGAGCTGGCTCGCCAGCAACAGCCCCTACTGTACTGAAAATGAAAGCCGCCCACACAGCTTGATGACGTTGGCAGATCGCGATAAGACCGCGCTAAAGACCAACCCTCATGCAAGCCCAGTCCAAGTCAGCGACCAGTAGCAGCATCGCGATGCGGGCAGCGTACAGACAATGATGGATGTGGGTGGTCCTCGCCCAGCTAGGATGACCTCATTGGGAAGGCAATGGCGAAGCTGGACGAAAACAGGGAACTTTAGACACGGTCGAGGTGTGCACAGGAACGAATATTCAGATTGCTACTCTCTACCTGATTGAGTATCATGTAGGTATTTGTTTGGTGGAGTGAGAGGTGTCATCTTCAATCCTTTGCTTCTCGATTTCTTTGACATGTCTCGAGTTCGCAGTGACATAGCTCCCGCAAATGGCCAAAAAGACGGGACGGGCCCGGAGAGGTATCATCTCGAGCTGCGAGACGGAACTCTGAGGGACAAGTCTTGGTGGGTCAATTAGTAGCCAGGATACATCATTTCTTAGCGACACGCTCGAGAACTACAAGGATTATAAGACCCAACGCTATCCAAAATTGTTAGCAACATGGGTATCCATCTTGCACTAGTCCAGCGTCCTCCTTGCCCCAAGAGATACCTACCTAGGTGCCTCCACACCACTCTCTGCGACCGGTCAGTGGCATCATAGCGTTCCCCACCCCTGCACCTCGCGCTCTGATCCTGGAAAACCTGCGACATCGTCTGAAAAGATAGCTCCTTCGTTTGAGAATCCTCTGTTCGCCTTTATCAGCACTCGCTGCGCTGTTCTCTTGGTCGTCCGGGAATCGCCTTCTCGACAACCACTCTCCTCGCTCTCATCCACGATTGCTGTATCGCACCATCCATTGTGCTCGACCAGTTGGCGCTCTCGATAAGCAGCATACGAAGATCGCCCGCGTCATCTGCCACCAAGCTGGCGCCGAGCCTTCCCACGCCATGGAAGGTAGTAACGGTTCGGCCAAAGGGGCCCGGAATCCCCAGGCGATGAATGGCTTGGATGGCGTCAGCGGAAACAAGGCCTCGATCAACGGCCGCGCCGTCGTCCCTCGAAGGAGACCGGTGCCAAAGCGTCGGAGCTTCGTCGCGAGCAGTCTCAGTGTTGTTGCAAGGTATGTCGATGCTAGCCCGACGCCATGACCTTATCCCCGTGTTTCCCATCTTTATTTGGCCCGGTGCACTACTGACTGTCTCCGTCTTTCATAGACTGCTGGCATGGTACTCCATCTTGACCATCCTGTTTCGATGTCCCGCCAGCCTTGACGCCTGCGATCGGTCGTCGCCTCATATCTGCAAGCCATACTTTCAGTTGAAGAACACCCTAGCACCGCACGTGGAGCCCTACTACGACTCCCACGCAAGGCCTTACGTAGAGGCTGCCCGCCCTTACTACGACGCAGTTGACCGTACGGTACTGACGCCGGCATGGGGGTATGCTGCAAAGTACGGAGCCCCTCGAGTCGCCCAGGCCCAAGCCATCGGTCAAGCCCAGTGGGAGAAAACGGTCCAGCCCCAGGTAGTCAAGTACCAGGCTCTTGTCAAGTCGAAATACGACGAGGCGCTCGCTCCCCACGTCGACCGTCTCACCACCACCCTCGGACCGTACTACGATATCGCACGTACCAATGCTCTGCAGACATATCACGAACTTCTCCTGCCCACCTATGAGTTCATCGAGCCCTACGCTCTCCAAAGCTACGGTGCGGCCTCGGCTTTTACAACTGGAACCGCCATTCCTGCTGCTGTCTGGGCCTGGAATAAGACGTATGTCTTCTTGGATGGAACTGTCTGGCCGCAGTTGAGAGTCATCTACGTTGAGAACGTCGAGCCACAGCTCGTCAAGATCGGACAGCGTTTAGGCAGATACCATGGGAACGCGACACAAAAGCACATCGTTGAGCCAGCAGCTAGGTAAGTACCTCGTATACATACATCATCACGCTGATTCTTCGAACGCTGACCAGACATGGTCCACTTAGCATTGCTAGTAAAGCGTCATCCTCATTTACGAAACCAGCACCCACAAGCGTCGTGTCCAGTATTAGCTCCATCGTGGAGGAAAATGTGCAGTCTGCTTCTTCCGAAGTGGCTGCAGATGCTTCCACCCCATCCGAAGCAGCCACGACGATGGAACCAGCCAAGCCGAGGTCTTCCGCTCAACCAGTCCCGGGACCGGAGGAACCTGAGGCTGGTGAAAGCGATATACGCAAGACCGCGCGAGAGACAGTAGCCGAAGATCTAAAGGCCTGGCAGGAGAAATACGCCAAGGCAGCCGACGAAGGCGCCGCCGAGATTGAGAGCCGGGTCGAGGAGATCGCCAAGCGCGTGGTCCGTCGCCAGGCTCGGACCACCGGGAAATCCCTACTTGAAGATCTGCAACAATCTATGGTAACAGAATTAGCCGCCCTACGCCAGGACATCCAGACAATCGTCGCCGAGTCTCAGAGCGAGGATGCTTCCACCCAGGCCGCGGAAGACAAAGTGCTGGCCGCAGTACGTCGCGCGGGGAAGGAGGTTAAGGAGAGAGCCCAAGCCGTTCGAACTTGGAGAGAAAAATACGACGCTGAGCTTCAGGCATCTGTCACCAAGGCCGCAGAGACCCATTTCAAGATCCTGGACTCCATCAAGGATCTAGCTCTTCAGAAAATCGGCATGAAGTGGGCTTGGATGGACGGAATCACCTACAAAGACTGGGCAAAATATCACCAGCTTAAGGACCGATTCGATGAGTGGGAGAAGGACCTCGAGCAGCTCATTGTGACTCATCCGGCTCTTGAGCAAGCGCAAAATGAAGGCCAGTCGATCGAGGACAAGGCGATGGAACTCGCGCAGTCTGCCGTCAAGGAACTTGCCAGGCTGAAGCAAGTCGCAGGCTGGAAACTCGCAGCCAATGATGGGACCGACGAGTTTGACAGTGACCTGATGAAAGCTGCAGCCGAAACAGCCCAAAAGGTCAAGGACATGGCCAAAGCTTCTCAAGCTGATGCGCAGAAGTCAGCTGAGGCTGTCATGGACGATATTGCCGGATCCGTCTCATCAGCCAGCCATGTCGCCAGCGAAGCTGTGTCTGAAGCACTGCCTGTCGATGACATCGAAACGGCCACCTCTGTTGTCGAGTCAATCGTGTCTGAGGCTCACGATGGCGCCTCATCCTTTATTCTTGAGACTCCGGCTGCCAGCGCTCAGAGCTTCGCGGGTGAGGCAACTTCTAGCGCTATCGAGGTCTCCAGTGAGCTGTCGAGCGTCACAAATGAGGTGAAGTCGGCATTTGCAGACGAGGAAAACTCCGATTCTCCTTCTTCCGCCGAGAGCTCTGAGCCAGCAGATGAGCCCCTTGTGGCTTCAGCCATCATTCTCGAAGAGACCCCAGTCATTGCGGGCAACACGACTGAAGCAACAGATGTCGACGGTGAGGCCGTTCCAATACACCTCCCCGTCGATGATGTTGCGGAGCCCCAGGTTGTAATTGCCGCATCGTTTGAGTCGACCTCGGCCGCAACCCCGGACCCTGCCTCCTCGACAACGACTGTCAAGTCTGCTCTCTTTGGAGCCGCGGCTCAGGAAGTTCCAAGCCGCGTGCCTATTCTCGACGACGACAGCCTAGATGACGCTGCCAGCATGATCTCATCGATGCAGTCAGATATTCCGCGCACAATCTCATCCGCAGCTCAGTCGGCTTACTCGGTAGCCATGTCACGGGCTGCGGTGCAATACTCGCAAGCTGTTTCCCTCGTTTCAGCTCAGATCAAGGGCACGCCCAAACCTGCTCACGAGCAACTCTTGTCGTCTGTCACGTCTGCCTACAGCCAAGCCATGGCATCGGCCAGCTCTCGGCTGAATGACGCTCTCAACGCCGCCGAAAATCTTTACGGTTCAGCCAGTGCTAAGATAGCCCCTACGACAACCCCTGCCCCTTTGGTTGACTGGGCACGAGTTGAGGCTATTGCCGCCGAGCGCCTTAATCACGGCCGTTCATGGGCGGAAGAGCAGTACGAAAGTGCCAAAGTTGCTGTCGGACTCGCCACGCCCACCCCAACCTCGCCTGTTGAAAAGGTTCTGGAGAATGCGCGATACAATTATTATGCCGGCTTGGGTATGGCTCATGCACGGTATTCCGAGTTCATGTCTGCAGCATCGTCGGCATTCAGCTCTCTGACGGCCACACCTACGCCAACCGATCTAGCCGGCACTGCATCGTCTGTAGCCTCGGTCGCGAGCAAGTCCGCTGCCTCAGTAGCCTCGGTCGCCAGCGAGAACGCCTCCTCTATCGCAGCCGCGGCTGGCTCGCATGCATCTTCCGTCGCATCTGCTGCCAGTGACGGTGCTTCGTCAGTGGTCTCTGCCGCCGGCTCCCATGCGTCCTCGGCCGCTTCGGTGGTTGGCGAGAACGTTTCGTCTGCGGCGGCCGCCGGGTACGAGAATGTCGCATCAGCCGCGGGGGTTGCGGGCGACTTCCTAGTGGAGAAGTGGGATGATGTACTCAACCAAGTCAGCATGCAGGTCTACGGTGCGCCCACCCCGACGCCTTGGTACGAGAGTGTTCTCCGCGCTGCTGGCGAGTATGCCGCGGCGGCAACAGAGGCTGCCGGGGAGGGAGCCTCTTCCGTGACCAGCGCCGCCGGCAGTTACGCGACAGCCGACTCCGAGGAAGCAGCCAAACAGTACACTGCCGTCAGCAGCCTCGTATCGGAGCTCTTGGTCGGGAAGGAACCCTCCTTCACCGAGAGCGTTTATTCGCGCCTCAGCGCCGCGTACACCAGCGGTGCTTCGTCCGCTGCTAGCGTCGCCAGTGCAGCGGCGGCCACCGCTGCGTCAGTGGGCAGCGAGGCTACTGAGGCGGTCAAGGATACCGCAGAGAGGATCCGGGACGAACTGTAACAACCATCATCGGGTGAGGATCGGATATGAGGACGAATGTGGGCCACGAGCGGACCCACCAGCAGGAGGATGGACGGGAATGAAGAATGCATTGATGCACAGTGCACACGCAGCGTTTGCTATTGGAAGTCACGAGCAGGGGCGGCGAGGAGCGCAAGCCGGGAAGAAGGAAAGGAAAGGCAAGGGGAAAAGCAGGAAGACAACCCGTACGGCTAGTCGTTTTCAGTCTTTCCTTTCCCATGTACCTGTATGTTAGTATATACCCTGACATAATGGCAACCTCTGCGGTTGTCGGCCCCTGTTTTCTGTTTCTTTTCTTGAACACATCTTGTACACATTAGCGAGGTTCGGATTTGGAGGACGGTTCCGGGGTTATCCCACCTTTTGTCCATTAGCTGCACCACGAAATCGACACGACACATCTACATAAATCCAGCACAATGAAATAATGCCTGCCATCTTACCTGGGAGTCTTTCAATGTACATACTTGGCGGCCGAGTGTCTTAAAAGACCTCAGCGTGGACCAATGTCGTCGATGCTGCCGTGGTCCTCTCCCACGTGATCAACTTCACCATCTCATCTCCTGATTACCAATGCAGTAGGCACCCAAATAACGAAATGCTAGCGCGCCCATGGTGTTGGCCAGGTCCCTGTAATGCCAGGCCATGTGGCGCTTGCGTCCAGCACTTCGCCATCTCCAGGCCGTCGATTCGGGCACACGGTGGGTCCTTCCAGGTTCTCTCCACATTGGAGCAATCCCATCGCCCGCCAAGTCCCCCTCACAAGCCAAACCTCGCATCATCAAGCCAGAGCAGCCAGGCAACAGCATTTCAACCCCAACCCAACCAATCGCCTGGTCTCCTGCGTATCGCATCTCTCCTGTCCAGTCCTGGGTTCATCGAAAATTTGCTCAATCGCCAATCAGAGAGACTGCCAGCGGGAGACTCTCCACTGGCAAGGCAAAGGCTGTCGACCCATCTGTGATCTTGATGCCAGACTCACAGCGACAGGCATCCAGATAGCGCTCCCGGCAGCAACCCGGCCAAGTGACCTGGCAAGCGATGGTCATATGAGGAGACCCGAGACAAGAGGATTCGCTCCTTTCGCATCTCGCTTTTGCTGTCGCACCGCACTCCCTGGTACTGGGCCGCTGCAAACTTTGTGGCCTGCGCCGGGCCCGGACGTTTGTTTGCTCACGTTAACCTGCTGCCTGCGTATCGCGAAGAGCGCTAGTTCAGGCTTCATCAACGGATCTTCTGCCTCTCTTTTCATTTCACCCGGAAACACCAACTTGGACATTAACCTCTTCGTCAATTCGATCTTTCTTGCTGTTACGCCCATGGTTCTCCATTGCTCCAATATCCCGTCCCATCCTCTCTAAATCACCCCCACTGTGAAGGCCGTCCGCGTTTGGGCCCGTTGCCGGTCTTCTCCGCCTTGCAATGGAGTCCTATGGCTTGCCCATGGGCGGCTTTCAGCTGCCCTTCCAGCGCCGCCTCAGCAGGCTCTACAATGACACGAAGAAATCGTCCGACTTTGTGAAGGACACGGTGCAAAATGAAGAGGATCCCGAGATCAAAGCCATGCACCGCAAGCTGCGCATCCAAAAAGACCGCCTCGTCACATGGGGTCTCGAGTGGTCCGACCCCAGCCAGTCGGCCGAGGTGCTTATTGATTCTTCTCTGTCCAAAGCCGGCCTGAGTGAAGTCGTCGGCAGCATCATGTCCACGATCAAAGACATACTCGCCGAGGCCGAGCCCTTGTGGTTGAGCTCCAAGCGGTTTGTCGGCGAGACAGATGCTCCGAAATCTGCTGGCGATAAGAAGATGCCCATCGTGACCTGGGACAAGGGCCGCTTTGAAGACTTGGTTAGGGACCTGACGACCTCGATTGACACTCTGTATGACTTGTCCAGGACGCGTTCCTCGGCAACATCACAAGCAGCTCGGTCCAAGCTTTACAAATCCGGCTCATCGATGGAAGACCTGCGGCCTTTTGAGTCGTCGAGGATGCAAACACCCCAGCACATCGATCCGCAGACACTGACCCACCTTCAGTCCATGCAGGCCGAGCCCATGACCGAATCCGCATCGACTCACAAGCTTCGCGACATTGTCTTCATGAGCAAGCAAGCGTATTCCGGTCTCACACCCACCGGCACAACCCGACAGCCGTACTCGCCACTGCTCCTGGAATACGCTCCCTTCGACCCGATCTACTCTACTACCGGTATCATGCCGTCCATGACAAGGTTCGAGAAACTTTCGGCAGGTCTTCAGACGGAACCGCAACGATCGCCGGGCTCATGGACCGGCCTGCCCAGGCTGCTCGGCTATTTCGAGGATATGGAACATTCGCGGTTGGGTCTTGTCTACCAGTTTCCCCTCAACTTTAACCCGGTATCTTTCGAGAACTTGACACAAAATCCGTTGTACAATCTCTGCTCTCTCTCCGATCTGCTGGCGAAACCGGACTTTGAACCAAAGCTCGAGGCCAAGTTCCGCCTAGCATACAACCTCGCCAATACGGTATTCGACATGCATGCGCGGGGCATCACTCACGGAAACCTGATTGACACCAACATATCATTTTGCAATACGACTGGGACAGAGCCCGGCCTGAGTTCCGGCGAGGTAGACATCCGAAGACCTCTCATATCAGCGTTTGACCTTTTCCCCGACTCGCTCCTGCATGACCCCTCGGTAGGAACGCTGGTCTCGCTTTACCGCCACCCACTCGACCCGAGGACTGCGGCGCAATCCGGACAGACCCCTGTCGTCGTCAATGCCGATCCGAAAGTATTTGACCTGTATTCCCTGGCAATGCTCCTACTCTCCATTGGCCTGTGGACGAACCTTGAGAACTTAGTCACGCATCCAACATCAACTTCGATCCCAGAGTCCGTCCTTGAGCAACTCGCCATTCGCTGCGGCACGCTTTATACCAAAGCAGTCCAGACGTGCTGGACAGCCATTGACAAGGAGCTTGCAGGACGGGTGACGGGAGATACCCTCCTAGCTCGCGTTCAGGTTAAAGCCAGCAGGTTTCTCGAGGCATGCTGCATTTTGGATGGCGTCAGCGGTCTGGAGGAGCGACTTAGCGATGACTTAGGTGACGACTCTATCACTTCACGTCTAGCGACATCCACACCCCAGCAGCAAGGCGGAAGCTCGTCAAAGGATCTTGAGGCCATGAGACAGTCAATTGAAGACACTTTCCTCTCGGCCTCTGAACGAGCAACCCCAGTGGCTGAGACCAGGAGACCTATCCAAACAACTCCGATCAGCTCTACACGTATGTTTACGATGCATCTAATCTCTTATTTCTTATTCCATCACATCATCTAACCATTTATCTAGCTGTAGCTTCGCCAATCCTCAAAGAGAAGTCTCCGATCACTTCTGCAAAAATGCGACTCTACACGCACGTGTCTCTGCCCAAGGAGACCGTCGACCAATGGAACACCATGCTCATGCCTCAGATTAATCAGGCACTTCGCCAGTTCTATCGCAAGCATGCTGAATCTGTCGAGATATCCCTCGAGTCTATCGGAAAGACCCCCAGGGACACGCAACCTACCGTTTTGATCGTGTGCACATCGGTTTCGAAGGTGAGAAACATCCTGAGACGGAAGCTTGGCGACCTATTCGACGGAACCACTGGTTTTGCCTTGAAAGTCTGCAGAGGACAAGTGTTGCGATCGCGCAATCGTGGCATCCCGCGCAGCATGGCCAAAGAGGACCAGTCAGACGCGATCGCCGCGAACAGAGACTTTCAGGAGCGGCCTCGCAATGGCGCCAGTATTGGAGCGTGGATTGGTGACCGGCATCTACCGCCCGTTAGTCTTGGGGGTCTCATCATGGTCGATGACAAGCCTTACGGGATGACAGTGCATCATATGCTCGATGATCCCGAGGCAGACGAGAGCACACTCACTGAGGACCGTCCCGTCCCCGTCCTTCGCAGCAGCGCCGCATCGCAGGAGATACAGCAGCTGAATGAGTCTTTGGCCGAATGGTACGCCAATTTACCGTATGATCCATCTTGCCCAACCAGCGCCAGCAGCAGCGACGACGATTGTGCCTGCGAGTTTTCAGACACCGATACAGACGACTACTCTGAATCGGCAATCACAAGCGAGCCCTCAGAGAGCGGCGACGAGTACGACGGGCATGATGAGTACGGGGAGCCTGGGGATATCCCCGGTATCGAACCGGGATGTGGAGACGGATATGTCGTCACCCAGCCAGCTCTGGACGATGTTCAAGAGGGGTTCTACCCGAGCCCGGAGAACCAGAATGAAGACCATCTTGACACGTTCAGCCTCGGCGACGTCTATGCGTCAAGCGGCATCCGCCGACGCAGCGATGACAGCGGCTTGATCCACGAGATTGACTGGGCCCTTTTCCAGTTCCACAACGAGCGCCTACCTCATGAAAACTCGATCCCACACGTCCCGATCCTTGCCCAGGACTCCTCGCGCAAAGGTGCCAAGGGTCGGAAGGCGGAGGCTCAGCAGCGGACGGCCATGTACCACCTCGCGGGCAACGAAGTCCACCCCATCGACGTCGCCCCGACGTCGGCGCTGCCCGGTCTAGAGGTAGAGTGCATCGCGCGCACCTCGGGGATGCAGACGGGTCTCGTCCTTCCGACCATCGTCTCAGTCAAGATCTACGGCCGCGCGTCCCCGAGCCACACGTACCAGGTGACGGGGACCAAGCCGCTCTACAACCCGCACCACACGCAGGGCCGGCGGCCGATGCCGATGGGCATCCCGGGCGATAGCGGCGCCTGGCTCGTCGAGCGCGCCAACGGCCGCCTGTGCGGACACGTGCTGGCCTGGTCGGAGCGCAAAAAGGTGGCGTACATCTGCCCCATGGACGTGCTGCTGCTCGACATTGCCGAGACGCTCGGCGCGGCGGAGGTCAGGCTTCCCGGCGGAGAGGCCATTGTCAAGATCCAGGACCAGTCGAGGGAGGGCCACGTAGTGTACGAGGACGAGAGACATCACGGGCTGCCGTCGCCGCTCGACAGACAGCGGGTTGCCGATGAGGGCTACCATGAAGATATCGAGGTCGGGGATGAGGACGAAGGGCAGAAATTTGCGCAGGGAGGCCAGTCCCCGCCGCTGGATGTACAGCGGTCTGCCCCCTGTCGGGGCACGTCGCCCATCGCAGATATTGATTTGGCGAGAGAGATGGGCAAGATGCGCCTTGGCGGCAGTGGCGTTCCGGTGACTTCGTAGTAGTTCATGTAGCTTAACAATACCCTTTTCAATAAATAGTTCACAGTGCCTTTTCATCGCGTTGAATGGAATAACTACAATGTCTCTGGTTCACTCTGTTCTATTAACGGAGTTCTCTCCTAATCTGTAGGTGATCCCAATACCTAAACTTTTCCGCCGTTGAGATAATCTATTCCACTTCCTTTAGGCTCGTTTGTGCTACCAAAAACATATCAATGAAGATGACAAAGGTGGCCCCCAGCAATTCATTAAGAATAGCATGCTTCCCTCCCGTCGAACTTCAAGTCATCGAGTAAGCCATCCCGTAGCCCAAGGCAAAGGCGATAAGTGGGAGGACCCAGAGTCTGGCGGTAACCGCTTGTCAGTACTCGCGGAAACAGATCAAGGGGCATTGGAGGTCACTGACTGAGTGTATATGACGCACTTGCATCGGGCGCTCGAGGGCAATGGTGATGCCGGTATGATGGTCGGCGTGATCTCTCCTTGGACCGTTGTGGCGACGCTGGTCGGCACAACCGCGGGTCTGTCAGGGGTGGTTGCCGGGCTCTGCGTATCCTCCAGCAAGGTGCTCAGTGTCTCCGCGGTGGCCGCCGCGACAGTAGTGATGTTTTCGTGGGCAGCCGACGAGGCTTTGCGCTCTTGATCGAGAGCGCTGACGATAGCCTTACCGCCAAACATGTCCAGACAGTAGCCGTCGTAGAAGAGTGTAGCAGAGGCCACGTCTGAAGCGAGGGACGAGGCGAGGCCTGTCGGGACCGTGGACGCTACCGTGATGCCGTGCCCGCAAGCTGAGAGGACGCAAGCTGAGATACCGAGCTTGATGGCGTGGGGCGCGGATAGACAGACGCAGCTGTTGCTCACGTCATGGTTGGGATCCTCGCAGTGTCCAGGCTTGGCGATCAGGGGAGGGGACAGGCAAGTGGAGGCACATGAGGGAACGGGTAGGGTTGGGTCAGGAGAGAACGTGAAGGGGGAGGCGGCTGCCGTTGCGCTGGGCTCGTCACCACCCACCGTAGTGAGAGAAGCGCCTCTCGCCAGGATTGCGTGTTCTCCGGGACGCATGGTGGCCAGATTGACGACGACATTGGCAGCATCGACCAGGTCCTGACCTTCGGCCTGCCTCATTATGATGAAGGTATCGCCAGAGTGATCGGAACCTCCTTGCTTGGAGAGGGCCAGCACAAAGATGATGCAGAGGCAGGCGAGCCAGCTGATCTCCTGGAAGGCGTCAAACATCATCTTTGGTGTTTTGGAGTTGTTCGATGCGAGTGTCTTGGAGGATAGTTAGCTGCTTTCGCCTGTGTGAGAGATAAGTCTCGGTTTCTGAGAAGACAATCCTGGCCGATTGAGGCTGGATTGGTTGGATTTGACCGCGAAGGAATGGGAGCAAGAAAAGGGCGGTTCAGGTTGGGCTGTCTGCTCTGACAACGTGAAGTTTAGTTTGACGGGGCCACAATCACCGCGAGCAAGGCGCCTTCCGTGCTGCGGCGTGATTCATCATGACACGAGTGCCTTCCCTCGACGTCCGTATTGTTGTGCTCGATGAGTTCCTTCCAACCTTGCATCCTCAAATCCCACTTGCCTCCCAGGCAGGAGCGTTTGACAAGAATTGCAAGTTCGAGCGATCCGGGCAGGTTGCACTCGACAGACAGGTTCTCTTGGCACCACCGAAGACTCGATAGAAATGGAAGTAAGTTGGTATTGGGGATATCATCATACCAGGCCCTGTCTATGTACATGATTTTTAGTCTCGCCCCCGGCGCCTCTTGTCCATTACTTCGTCGTACCCTCCCGCACTCTTATTTTTTGCCTACAAAATGAAGGCAGCACCCAAGCAACCCGCAGCAGCAACGACGAGCATGTTGGTGACCGACAGAGAGCTCTCAACAAAGCCTCCGGCACCGTTCTTGCCGGGGCTCGCGCTGGTCTGCGAGGCTGAGCCGCCTGAGGTGGTCGGAGAGCCTCCCTTGCCGCCGGTTCCGGTAGTCGCCGAGGCGTTGCTGCCGCTGCTACCGCCACTGCTGCCACCGGGAGTCACGAGGGCCGACAACTGGGGGTCGCTGTCAAAGGAGACAGAGATGCTGGAGGCGTTGCGGCAGCCAGAGCTGGGGACCTCGCCCTTGCCGCTGACGAACTTGACAATGGAGCACTGTTGAAAGGAAAGAGTTAGCCAAAAATCTACGTTTCTTATGGGTCGAGGGGTGGGGGGCAGCTCGAGTAGCCGAAGTGACTGACCTGATACAGCAGACCATCGGGAGCGTTGGCGACAATGCTGAAGACGCCGTTCTTGCCTACCCACGACTCGGGAGCTGGGATAGCGGGCTCGCAGATCTCGCCGAGTCCGCTCTGGAAGACGATCGGGAACAGCTGTGTCCAGTTACCCGAGGCCTTCTCGTCGAGGGTGGCGCGGAAGAGCCACTTGGCCTGAGGGTGCAGCATCTTGGCGCCGACGGGCTCGCCGCCGACGTGGAACTCGGCAGTGGGCTTGGAGAAGTCTGGAGCGAAGCCGCCACAGGGGCCGGTGCCTTCCTTGTCGTCATCGAAGCCGATGGTCGGCGGGGTCTGGAGGGTGAAGTGGGCATTGGCGACTGTGGAAAACAGCAGCAGAGCGGCGGCAGAGAGCGAGGCGAGCGGTGCCATGGTGACGATATGTACGAGTGAGAGGGGAGAATGATGCTCAGAACCAGGGGGGATTGGTCTCCAGGATGGAATTGGTGTATGAAGCTTGCAAATGCACAGATGAGAAAATGACCACGGAGTGAAGGCTGCAGTGAGAATGACAATGTCTGCGAAATGGACGAGCTATCAAGGTCAGTCCAGGCTGGAGCCGGGATGAGCGCATGAGAAAGCTTTATGGATGGCCGGGTGAAGTGGGTAAGTCGGGTCTAGCTGAGATGTGGTGGAGCTTTCCATAGCCAAGCTTCGAGCTCAACATGGGCCAGTGCCACATCCCAAGCTCCCCTAGGTCGGCCAGGGATCCTAGATGCTACGTAGGCTGTTCTCGTGTCCAGAGAGTAGCATTGAAAGCCCTGCATGTTGGGGACTGAGACTAATTCGTGCTCCGGGCTTCACGAGGATGAAAGGCTGAGCTAAGGGAGATCAACGCCTCCAGGATCACACAGGCCATGGCAGCCAGGTGCTTATGACACTTGCAGGTTTCCGACCGCCAAGAGAGAGAAACACGAGAGAAACACGAGGAAAGGGGTTCTTCTTGCAGAGTACTCCGTACTACTACCTTGCCCTGGGTTAGGTAGTCTACCGGAAGACCGGCAAAGCTAAGCTCACCCAACCCAAGCTGGCCCAGTACGGGTTGATCCAAGTGATTTCCAAGATTTGGGATGACAAGGCAAGGGACGGCGCATAACAAGCGAGCAGCTAGGGTCGAACCGAAACAGGCTCTTTACACATGGCAAAACGGCCTCGTCGTCGCTGTCACTTGTTCTTGGCACGCGCTTGTTCTGGTGATCATGACGATGCAGTCTTCAAGCCCCAACAACGCGGGGAGCACCCGATCCAGCCACAGGTTTCGAACCGGCATGGACCAAGTACCCAGACTACCTAATCCAGGGGTGTCCGGGAATTCCATGTGTCGCCCTAGCACTCCGCCGCGCAGGATATGCGCAAGTTAATCGAATTCATTGAGCATGTTTCTCGTCAGCTGCTGCAGGATTGATGGTGTTACAAGCACAGCCCATGAGTCGGTAGTTTGGCTGGCTCGTCGTCCCAGCTTTGACCCCTCGACCCTCGACCCCTCCATCTCAGCAAACCGATGCGCCGATACGCCGATGCGCCCCCTGTCAGATCTACTTCTTTAGTGCGGAATGTGCGCAAGTTTCCCACCCCATAGCGCCCGTTTCAGGGCTAGCGTCTGCCTCCCTGGGCAGTCCAGGGTCCATCTGTGAGAAAGATTGAGCAAGTTATGGCTGGCTCGCTTATCCTAGTGCCCGAGCCTGCGGCACCCGGCTGGCCACTCAGAGGCCGCGCCTGTAGGTGTTGCCAAGATGGCAAAGAAGGCCGGCCATCACGGCGATATATGAACGAGTCAATTAATGGCAAAATTCAATCCGATTAGTGCGGGGGGTTAGTGAGAGACAGAGAGCACCGAGATCAAGTGTGTGGAGGACTTGACCGGATCAAACTAGTTGCGTGGCTCTTCCATCAGTTGATCTCTCTACCTCCATGCAGGTCTCTATCCTGTCAACCCTCAACTACCTACGATACTTACGCTTCACCAGCTGCTGCTCCGTGGGGAACGTTGAACCACAAAGTCGCACCCACACACACCCGTCCTACTCGCCTCTTGGCGAACAACTACTGCTTCAAATAAGTATCTGATTATCCGTCAATCTGGCTCGGCCGCCGTGCTTCCTCTAGTTAGCCCCCGCTCTCTCCGTTGTCTTCACATCACAGGCCACCAACGGATATCCTTTCTTCTCCTCCTGGTAAACTCGATCGCACCGTCCCCCACCACGGAAGCCAGCGCATGAGACGGTTGAACCGTTGTTCTGCTCAGCTGGCTAGCGGCGCACCTCCTGCGACAGGATACCGCTGAGCGCCTTCGGCTTCACCAAACCAGTTCGCAAGATGGGCGCTATCACGAGGCGGCATGACCATAGCAGCAGCAGTGGAGGCGGTGGGATGAGCGGAATGGGAGGAATGGGCGGCATGGGAGGCATGGCGGGCACCAACATGTTCCAGTCGACCAATATTGCTCTCGCCGAAACCTACTGGTACATCATCGTAGGTGTTCTCGCCTTGATGGTAGCCATCCGCCTGGTCAATTACTACGACTTCCGGCAACGGTATGTTCATCAATCCGCCTCAACGCCCCGACTCTGCAATGCATACGTGCTCACTCTCTTGTCTTGTTTCTAGGTTGCGAAATCGAGCTTCTACGTCGACCAATTCGCCGACCAAGCCCGCCAACGGCTTCCTACAGGCATGGGCTACCCTCACCGCAGTCGGTCGCGAGATGAGCTATCCTCAGCTCTACGTCCCGGCTAGGTTCTTTTCGTGGGCGACTCCTCCACCGCTCGGTCGCATCCTTGTCCTCTTGATCTACTGGGCCGTCATCATCGGCATGATGACCACCAATGCCATCATCAAGGATGGCCTCTTCTGGGAACGCATCGGCTTTCGCAACGCCTGGGTCACCGTCACCCAACTACCTCTTCTCTACCTTCTTGCCTCCAAGTCGTCTGTCCTGTCCTTCATATCTGGGATCTCGTACGAGAGGCTCAATTGGATGCATCGATGGGTCGCGCGCACCATGTTTGTCACAGCCTCCGTTCATGGCTGGCACTTTTGGAACGAATACGCCATTGCCGGCCTTACCCAAGATCTTTTGGAGATAATGCCCATGGTCTACTACGGCATCGCCGCCTGGACCTTGTTGCTGTGGTCGTGCATCAGCACGTTCGCCCCTCTCAGGCAATGGTGCTACGAGCTCTTTGTCATCCAGCACATCCTCACTGCCGTCATATTCTTGTGGGTTATCTACGTCCACATCCCTAGTTATGCCAGGTACAACCTTTGGTTCGCCATTGCTGCCCTGTGCTTTGATCGCTTCTGTCGTACCTTCATGCTCGTCTGGCAGAACATCAAGTTCCGGCCCAACAAGGCAAGATGCAAAGGTGGTCAGCGCATCGGTCACCAAGCCCAAGTTTCCACCATCGGCGACTCCACCACCGCCATTACTATCAAGGATGTGCACTTTCGCTGGCGGCCTGGCCAGCATCTTTATCTCTGGATGCCCAGAGTCGGCCCGGTCGAGGCTCACCCTTACACCATCGCATGTGCCCATCAACTGCCAGATACCTGTATTTGCAATAGCATCCAGCTCATTGTCCGGAAACACGATGGCTTCTCTAAGAGGCTGCACAAGTTCGCATCGGAGACACAGGGGTCTGAGAAGAAGAGGACGTGCACCGTCTTTGTCCACGGCCCCTATGGTAATCCCCCGAGATGGGACGTCTACGAGACATTGATCCTCATATCGGCGTCGACGGGAACTTCTTTTACCCTGCCCATTCTCGAGAGTGTCCTGCAGGCGAAGAGGGCCATCTGCACCAAGCGTATCGACTTTCTCCTCGCTGCCAAGAAGGGTGACGAGATTGACTATTACATCGAGCGTCTCCACGAGGCCATAGGCAAGGCCAGGGACCTAGGCATCGAGCTTCGCGTCCATGTCGCTGTCACAGGCACGCCTTCTACCCGCACCCGCAACAGGTCACCGGATTCATTCTCGGAGAAAGAAGGACTCCGCTCACAGACTATCGGAGCGACGAGCAGCACCTGTGCAATGATGGAGAGCGGCAAGTGTTGCGCATCGAGCTCGGTGGATATTGAGACGTCTGTAGACGAACGCAGCCCCAAGCCGCGCGGCGGCAGCAGCGCCAGCGTGGACTCCCACGTGCACCACTCATCGACGAGACCCGACATCAGGTCCTTCATCCGAAGCGCAGTCGAGGAGACTGGCGGCGAGACCTCGGTGGTTGTCTGTGGCGGCAAGTCTCTGGTTGCCGGCGCGAGAAACTGCGTGGCTCAATTATCAGACGAAAGAGCAGTACACAAGGGGACCGGGGCCCAGGGAATTCATCTGCATGTTGAAGAGTACTGCTTCTAGCATCGTGTTGGAGAGCCGCATGATTTGTTGCATGAAGCCCACTTCACGCAACCTGATTTCAAAAGCATGGCGTGGCGTTTAATTAGGGAATGAGTAACGAGAATATCTTGGACATAGCATATACACATATGCCTGGGTCCACCTGTCACTTTGATGGCAGTTGGGGGAGGACTAGAGTCTTGATGTTTCGAAAAATAAGAATATCTTTGCATCCTAAACACAGGCCTCAGGCCTGACGTGTCCTTTGGCTAGAGTCTGGCGAAATCTCCCTGGCAGTGACTACAATATCGCAGCCGCTCGCCGCGTCCACAGTTCCATCCTTCCATATGGTAGCCAGCAAACCGTGATCTTCTTCGTCCTTGGCCGCTTCAAACATTGCCTGCACCAAACCCTTCTTCTTCTCGTGCCTCAGAAGGGTATCGAACTGAAACTTGAGTGGTTTGGCGATCAAGAGTGAAGAATAATCATCCCAGTGTACGTCGATCTCCTTCCCATCTGGTTCCAGTTATGGTTAACAATGCCACACAGAGGCAGCAGCAACGCAAAATCATATCCACCCCCAAAGTGCTTGCAGCTAAAGTGAGCCGCATGTGGTGTTTACTTCTCCTCCCCTATTGCGTTCACTACAGGCGAGTAAGCTCCTGCTGTCCATGTCGATGAAAGGCTGGGAGTAAATTATACCTTCTGCCATGAGCATCATCCCAAAGTCATCCACCTCTGCGAGCCACATTTCTGTCCTGGCGTCCAGCTCGCCACTCGGGTCGATGTGAAAGAACTCGGCCATTTTGTAACTACCGCTCTGCCATTGCCGTATCCACAGACGATACCGTGCATGCCATTGATCTTCCTTGGTTTCTTGCCAAAGATAACCGGCCGCAGGTGCGGGAAGCGGCCCGAGCTCGAAACAGGTGAGAATCGGGTAGCCGTGCAGAAGTGACCAGGCCCATTCTACATGATGTAGTGCTAGTATGGTGCGCCTTTTCGCGGAGACGAAGGCCCATTGCCGCCAGTCCGGTATGGTGTGGTTTGCCTCGTGCTCCAGGAACAATCCCGTACCTGCAAGGCTGTGTTTCATATCCCAAGCGTCGATGAGAAGTTGCGCGTCTGCCGGATGCTCCAATGCTGAACTGTGTTTAGTGTCAAAGAGAATGATGATTAGTAACAGGACTAAAGACTGGGTTGCTGCGAGAAGGTCCATAACGTCGTATGATGAATGCTAGCACATGGATAAATCAGAGAAGAACCAATGCCTCAGGGGGGTCGAACCACCCACCTCCCTTAGGAGTCTCCGGATTTCCTGGAGCACGGTGTTCCAGGCGAGTTCGTCACTGCCATCGGTACGTCCCGCCCACATCTTGACCAAAGTGAAACAATTTGCTAACGGCTTCGGAACCCCGTCCAATATCTGGAGCTTGTGGATGATGGGTGGCAGATGAGTGGTATAGTGCATCGTCATCCGGCGCGGCCACGACCTGAGGGTACGGATAACAAAGCGCATCGTGTGCCGCGCGACGATATCGCTGGACGGCCCAATATCCGGAGCAGTTCCCAGCAGGACTTGGCGTCTGCTCTCCGAGATGACTAATTGTGGTGGAAACGAAGGAGGGACCTCGGGGTTTGGTGTTGGCAAGGGTGCCTGGATGCGGCCTTCGCCAGCGGGTACTACTAAGCTGAGGGACGGGGCCGAAGTATTTGCATCCTCGAGAAGAACGGGACCATTACCTTCGCCGGGAGATACGCGGCGGCCATCCTCAGAGCTTTCGGTTGTGGAAACAGCGATTTGGCTCACCGCTACAAAGTGGCATGCCAAAGAACGAGATCTGCACCTCCCACAAGTTGGTCGGTCAAGATCGCAGCGTACCTTGGCCCTCGAGCAGCTCTTGCAAGCCTTTTGCCGTGACAGCACTTGACGGTTCTGAGTGCAGTGCTTTAGGTGCCGCACCAACGATGATTCTGCAGCGCGGCTTAGCAGGCCAACATCAAAAGAGCCAAATGCATGAACTGGGTCTGGTCACTAACTCTGGGTGAATCGCTGTTCGCAGCGATAGCAGACTGGCGGATCGGGGCTCTCTGCATGGACCATATTTGACTCCTCTGTAGCCGCCCTTGGTCGTCTGCAGTTATCCCTTCGGCGGTTCCAAGTTGTATCGGAGTTTTGGGCAGTCCAAAGGGGCTCTTTCGAGGGAGGAACAACAATGTTTGAATTGTGTTGGTTGCTGACTCAAATCCAAGACCTCTGTCGGGGTTGCGAGTTGTCTCCGATTCTCCACTGGCCGGCACCCCACTTCAACCACTTCACTGGATGTAAGAAACGCTCGGTACTCGGGGTTCCGGGTACGCCCACCGGCCTCCGGGGAGCGGCAACGAAGATTTTAAATCGTCTTCTCGTGTTGTTTTTCATGTCAAAGAGACTGCATGACAAATAGAATAGGTATAGAATAGGCAGCAGTTTGGTCCGTCCCACTGTACATATTACGAGATGAGGAAAAAAGAAAGATACTTGATTACATTTGTATGCCACTGTACCTACAGATATAAGCGTCCTGTGGACCTCGGACAAGACGAAACATTAGACTCACCATTCCCCATCTACCTTGTCCATTATTGTTTTTGAATCAAAGATGCCGAGCTACGTCGTCACCGGAGCCTCTCGAGGACTTGGGGTGAACATCAATTCCCCTCGAGCCTGAGCATGGCACTTGCTAACTTGCAAAATACAGTATGGATTCATCCAACTACTTGCCTCGAATCCCGATAACATTGTGATTGGACTGGTCCGAGACATTAAGGCGACACAGGATCACCTCAAAGCAGATGGACTTTCGCATGTGCATGTTCTGAAAGCAGACATCACCGATGGACAATCTCTACGTCGTGCGGCCGGTGAAACGAGGGAAATCCTCGGCGAGAGGGGCCTAGACGTATTGATTAACAATGCTGCCTATGTAAGCGATGTGACTGCGGTAGTATCCCTCAGAGACCTGTGAGTACTGTGAACCCTTCTGTCTACGCTCATGACAGTGCTGAATTACCTCCGCGGACCACAGCGAACAAGACCCGGCTCGGTTGCTCCAAGACACGCAAAAGAGCTTTGACGTCAATGTGTTTGGCGTCTACAAGACCATACATGCATTTCTTCCCCTCGTCCAGCAAGGCGAACTTAAAAAGGTTGTCGGAATCTCAAGCGGCATGGGCGACATCGGTGAGTCGTTACCTCTCAGACTTGGTGCAAGGAAGGACCAGCACCTGACAATACACAGACTTTATCAATGCATACGATGTAGCTCAAGCCGCTCCATACGCTCTTAGCAAGGCTGCAATGAGCACGCTGTTCGCCAAGTTCAACGCTGCCTACCGGCGCCAGGGAATCCTCTTCATGACACTCTGTCCCGGCCTAGTAGATACTGCTGCTACCAATACCAATACCTGTGCGGCCCTCTCCCCTTCCTTCTCGCTACGAAGCCCACTGACTAGTACCGCAGTATCCGACGAGGACCTTGCACGCTTGCAAGACATCCAGAAGAGATTCGAGACGGCCGGTCTGAATACAATACCAATGAAGCCGATCGAGTCAGCACAACGCTGCTTGAAGGCCATCCACTCGTCCTCATTGAGCAGCGGGCATGGTGGCTCTTTTTTAAGCTACAATGGCACTAAAGAGTGGGCGAAGAAGTTGGAGTGACTCTCAAGTTGGTCATGGAGCGGTTCTGCGCGACAAGGACTATGATCATCAAGCCATAGTTGTAGATAGAACCACGATTTGCGTATAATTTTGTGTTTGCTTTCCTATGCCGAGTAACAAGGTCAATGTGTCAAATTGAATGTGACGATTCGACTACAGCCTCTGAATGCTCCCAGGCGATAGGTTGCAGAACAGTATCCCATTCTGACTATACCAACTTCCTTATCAAAAGGGTGTAATCACGTCCTTTACAAGCTTGAATTACAAGACTAGCCCTTGTCAAGAAGTACGCTCCCGTGTATCTACGTCCTTGCTCATATCAAGCCCCTGTTTGTGGAGTACCAATGCTCTCAACACTGTGGGCAGGATGGCCTAAGTGTTCGGAACCCCGAGTTCAGAACCACTGAAAAAGTCTCGGACAGTTTATATCTGGAAGAGATCAATGCTGAACTTTCACGACGGGAGAGGGGAGGCAACATCTCGAGCAAATATATTCAACACCTCAACCCAAGTCAGATCTGTTCGATCCAGTTCTGGAGGTTTCTCATACTGTTGCCTTTGAGAGTACATCATGCCAAAATTAATGATCTATGGCGCGACAGGATACACTGGCCGCATGGCAGCCATGAACGCCAAGAAACTCGGACTCGCCTTTACCATTGGAGGCAGAACGGAGAGCATACTCAAAATCCTGGCATCCTCGCTCAATGTCACCTGCTGCACGCTAAGCCTGGGCGATACGAGCGCCATCGACACGGCCTTGGATGAGATCACAGTCCTGCTCAACTGCGCCGGCCCGTTTATGCGCACCGCAGAGCCGCTGATGCGGGCATGCCTACGTACTGGGACGCACTACCTCGACATCGCCGCGGAGCTAGACAGCTATGAGCTAGCAGAGACACTCGACGACGAGGCCAAACGGGCCAATGTCATGCTGCTGCCGGGATGCGGAGGCAGCGTAGCCATGTTGGGCTGCCTATCCGAGCACGTCCTCTCAGCTCAGACCCGCCCTCCGGCTCGGATCGACATTGCCCTGCACGTCGCCGGGTCTATGTCGCGGGGCTCGGCGCGGAGCGCCTTGGAGAATCTGACAGCATCTACGCTCGTGCGGCAAGAAGGCCGTCTGACGCAACTACCTAACGGCGCCGGTGTTGTCAAGTTTGACTTTGACGACGGCAACGGTGCCGTGGACTGCTTTCCGATCACCCTGCCGGATCTAATCACTATATGGCGATCAACTGGCGTTGGCAACATTAGGACGTACGTTTGCGCCTCGGGAGATGCTTTCCCATCCCAGGACCTTGGGTCTCTGCCAGATGGGCCCACAGAGGAGCAGATGGAGGCGTGGCCCTATCATGCTGCGGTTGTCGTTACCGATGCCCGCGGCAAACATAGCGCAGCTGTGCTTCATACTGTCAACGGATATGCGTTCACTGCGATGGCATCTGCCGAGGCGGCCAGGAGGGTTCTAGAAGGCGAGGCTTCTTCTGGGTTTCAAACCCCTGTCCAAGTTTTCGGAAAAGACTTTGTGAACATTATACCTGGATCGGTGGTTCGAGAAGGATGACAAGGCGATTACGTGTTTGGCGCAGCCTTTGGTCGAATATGGAACAATAACATTATTAAACGAGTTCAATTTGTAACCTATAGAATATGAGAGCAATTACAGCTCAAGAAGCTAGCTAAATCATTAAACATTAGAACACTGATATTAATCGGCCTTTATCCCGATTCTCGAAAACAGTTCCGACGTTCAAATTAGTCGTCTCGGATGGGTGAGGCCCCTGAGTTCGTTCTGAATATTAAACTGTGGCACATTAGCATTGATTGTCTTTGATAGACATTGAATCAAGTCTTCAGACTTTCGCAGAACGTACCTTCTGAGTTTCATCCCACGGGAATCGAGTTGTTGGCGGAGGCGGCTCTTGAAAGACCTCCTTCACCCATTCCTCCGCGAGGGGGGCAGAACGACCATTGTTTTGGACTCTCTGCAGCCCCTTGCTCACTCTGGCCTGCAGGTCTTTCAAACTCGGGCGGTCCTGGGGAAAGTACATCAAGCACTCCTTCACGAGCTTCTTGAGGTCCGCGTCCAGACTAAAGTACTTGGGAAGGTCCATGTCCCATCCCAGCGACCATTTCCGCTTGCCGTCGATCTTGACAGGCCGAAAATCATGTTTGTCCTTGGCCATGAGCAGCGTGATGCAACTCCACATGGTGAGGCCGACCTGCCAGATGTTGGTCTTCTGGCCGTACTGTCCAGCCACGCGCAGCCCCGTGTCATCCACCGGGTTCCAGCCATCTTCGAGAGCCCGCCACTCTGCGGACCACATCTCGGGTGCATTTGTTGCAGCTTTACCACAGACTCGAGCCTGCCAGGGAGTCAAATCTTGGTCGAACCAGTCCATATTGCAGTCGGCCGCCAAGCCGAAGTCGGCAAGCTTGAGGAGAGGGCCGAAGGAATGGTCATCTGCGAGGTCTGCCACAAAGATGTTTCCTGGATCAATGTCGAAGTGCACAACGTTGTTATTGTACAGATAATCCTTTCCTTCGGGCTGTTCCATGACGCCTTCCATCTGCGGGAATTTTTCGTCAATGGGGCTCCCGACGAAATGATAAGTATTCTTCACAGGCTGATGACAAGGAGGAAATTGCAAGGCAACGCAGGCCTGCATCAGGCACGCGAAGATTTGCCACAGCACTGGATCGGGAACTCTGGTTGCTGGTTTCCGCTTCCAGTCACGCGTGGACCTGAACTTATCAAGCCACCTTTCTAGATCGCCATACTTCAGGTACTCGAGTATGAGGGCCTTCTGTTCGTCTTGGGTGAAGTCAAAGTCCAGCATGTTTTTCTTGCTTGGGTCGTCCGTCAAGTTGTGTGCCTCTACCAATTGAATAATATGCTTTGATCGACTCAGGAGCTGGGTGTTCGAAGAGATTTCAAGTCAGCATGTCTGCCATAGAGCCCAAATCATGTGAACCTAGCCACTTGATGGGCAGAGGGGAAATGGAGGGGAGTACCTACACAGTAGAAGTAGTCTTCATTTTCGAGATACTTTTCTCCTCCTTGAACGGAAAGTTTGACGACAAAGTACTTGGGCGGCCGGTTCCCATGGTGCCGAGGAGTATGCCTGAAGAGGGCAGCCAAGCCCATCCCGCCTTTTCCAAGAGGCTTGATATACTCTATGTCATGCTTGAGATATGCTTCACAGGTCTGTGTCAGAAGGGACGAGAGATGCTCTTCATCCGCTGCATGAACAATGGCTTGTTCGTCTCGGTCGATATAAGGATAGGCCGAGACGTCCTCGAATTCCATTTCATCGTCGGTGTCGAGGTCGTCCAGGTCCATCTCTGCATTTGGAAAGTGCCTGATTTCCTCGGGGGTCGGCCTGGGAGGGTCGTAATATCGCTCGCAGAACGCAATGTACTGGTTCCAGTGCTCGTCATCCCAATATGGGTCGTCAGGATCCGGCCGGCTGAGGCCCCGGCGCGACAGCCAGCATTGGTAGCTGATACCAGAACATACTTTCCGGGCTTGATAGACCTCATCCTCATAGTCAGCTGGGTCGAGTCCCAGCTCGCCAGGGGTGGCCGCCATTTTCAAGGTGTTTGGCTGGTGTAGTGCTGAGTGGTGGAAGATAAGACTTGCAAGGTGAATTTTAACAAGGGGCTGGTGTCGTGATTTCGGGAGCATTCACTGTGGAATCAACGTTCATATTTATAAACCTTTCGGAACTACCTGAGGAGGATCTTATATTTCTGTGGATCGATATGATTTATGATATCCTGTGGCTTGCCCTGAACCAAGACTGGGCTTTGTCAACATCCAGCTCATAGAGCGACGGCCATTGCCTTTGGAAATTCTTGTCTAAAAATAGAGCCTTATTGTTGTGATCCCTTTGTCAATTCTAGGACCGGGTTATTTCGCACTGGGTCAATGCACATTGCAAGCAAGACAGAAAGGCAGGGCAAGCGTAGGTCCCGTACGGTAGAAAGCCCAATCTCATGCTTTTCCACAATACCGTATGCCGGTATCAAAGAGAAGGGTGCGATTGTAAGATGAAGGAATGGAATAAAGAGAACCTTGAGAATCTTTGTTCTTGAACAATAGAATGAAACAGTAGCTCCTACGCTGAGAGCGGAGGCTTTGTTGTCTCTAGGAGAGAATGATGCTGAATAGAAATATGATTGTTCTGAAACCGTTTTTGGAGATGGAGATTCTACCCAAGCGGGCTTTTAATGACAAAGACCAAATCTCCTATGCGTCTCTGATGGTACCACGCAACAGAACAAAGCATGGCGAGGGTTGACTTCTATCGAGCCTACAAGGTTGGGATGATTATGAAGGTAGTGCATGCTTATTTTCATTCTCGTTACAAGACTATACTACATGAATGCCCTTTCGCAGAGTCATAAAGGAACTCAAAATCTATACATGGTCTAGTTCCTGGCCCTCTAGAGGTTTGTATCCGTCCGACTTCTTCTGCCGCGCGCAACAACGGCAGCAGCACCATATCGTGAGAGCTCCGAAAGCGACGGCGCCGCCCACGATGATGAGAATGTTCTCGCCAATCCATCCGAACATGGCGCTGTCCCAGTTGGTCCAGGTGCCGCCATGTACTTGGGTCCAGAAGACCCAGGGGTCGTGGCCCGGGCGCGAGTCCATGAGGACGTGGTGCAGGGGTGCCCAGGTACCCTCGAAGCCCTTGACGGTGTGGTCGGACTGCAGCAGCCGGTGGTAGCGCTCAAACATGGCGGTGACGAACCACTGGCCGCTGCTATAGCTGATGATGACGTAGGGGAGAAACCAGTTCCAGTTCCAGGGAATCAGGTTCTCGGTGAGCAGCATGAACCAGGGGTGGCCGGGCTGGCCACCAATGATGTTGTTACTGAGGGCGCCGTGGCCACCGTCTGTGGTGAATGCGGGGATGTAGGTAACTGCTTCGAGACTCGCGGCACACCCCTGTAGCAAGACAACACAGTCAGCAATCCATTTTATAATCACCAAAGCCATCCAAGCCAGCATGAACAGTACATGATCGCTCCATGGTTGCTTGAAGACGACTCACGTTGTCCATGTCCATGTAGATACCACCATAGTGGCGCAGGAGGAAGTACCTCAAGACATCGACGCGCTGGATGGGAAACTTGTAGCCGTCGTAGGTCTTGACGAACCAAGGGAAGTGTTCTTCTAGGAACTTGTGGGAGTTGTCGGTGAACCAAAGCTTAGCGTCGGATTGTGCAAGGTTAGCAGACTGTTTTTGCGCAACCTCCGCCAAGTCTTCTGATCGCGCAAGAGCAGGGTCCTGAGCGCAGCCGTAGATGTAGAATTGCTCACCTTGTGTTCCCAATCCGGGTTGAGATCGATGCAGGTCTGCCGCGCCTCCTGCCAGTGCGCCGGCAGCGTCTCGTTGCCGGGGTCCTTCCAATTGTGAAAGATCTGGTGTAAGATCTTTGGCATGACCTGCGGACGGGGGTCCGGGGTGGTCTGGCTGTGCAGCAGCTCGACGCCCTCCTGGGAGATGCGGATGCCCGAGTGCGGTTTGAAGATGCCGAAGAGGTTGGCAAAGTCATAGAGGCTGGTGACGATGTAGACGAGCAGCGCGAGGCCGGTGATGGCCAAGACGACGGTGATGATGCGCCGCCTAGAGGGCAGGCCCCAGACCACACGCGTTGCCATGATGTTTCTCTTCCTGTGCCTGCGCGGCCTTCTTGCTCGCAGCTTCTATGCGGGGCTGTATCGGCCCCAAAAGGGGCTCGGGATTGCAAAGGTCGAGAGGGGAGGGAGAGATTGAGGTGTGCGAATGTGCGAAAGTGCCGAGGAGGATAGACGAGGATGGAGTGCCGTTGGCTTTGACTCATTCACCTGCAGAGGTGCTGGTGTCGCGAATGGGCCGGCATTGCGTCGTAAAAGTCACCGTCCGTCGAGAACCCGAGTTGATTAATGAATGCATGCGGCGCGGGCTCGGGTTTCGAAATGGGGGAGGAGCGGATCCACGCCTCGCAAATCTCCATCTTGACAATCTCCAAGGGACGCCGCACGTGCTCTCTTAGTGGCCAGCTGTAGGGCAAGCCCGGTGTAGCGGCTGCCTAGCAGTGTCCACAGGTGCGCTGTGCCCTGGTAGTTTTAGAGGGCCAAGACTCTCAGGTTGCTCTAGAGGTTAGGGGTGCTGCGCCTGTTTTCTTTAAGCTTATTATCGGCAGCGTCGACCCATGATTGATCATTTCGTATACGGAGTAATTATCTGTGGCAGCGAGGAAGACTGCAAGCTGGTACTGCCCGATTATTTGGAAGTGGTTGCCTGAGCCTCGGGCTTGGCCAAGTTCTCTACGGTGGCTCTCAGCCTCAACAACCGGAAACTCACATGACAACCAAGCCCTACACTACACGATTGGAGTCCAAAGGTCATCTCTTTGTTTTATTACTCTACATATTACTCTAGACAATGAAGCCATCTTCGCCCAACACAAAGAAAAAAAATAGTCTCGTGATTCCCTGGTCTCAACAAAGGAGTCTATGATATCGAATGCCACGAGCGTGGTTCACCCGACGCGGCGCAAGACGGCGCCTTTCTCGTCCTCTTCAATCCCTCTACCTCGCCCGCCTGGCCGGCTTGCCGGCATTGACGTACCGTATCCGGAATGGCACCGTCTCGGCCACGTCGTACTCGGCCGCCTCGCCTTTGTCCCCAAAGATGTGCAGCGCCCGCACCACAAACTTGTACGTCCCCGGCGGCGCGTACACCCCTTCCTTCTCCTTGCCGCCGCCGACGTCGCCGCCGCCCAGCTTGCCGTCCCACGTCGTGCTGAACGAGCCCCGCGACGCGTACTCGACCGGGTACTCGGGCGGCTGGCCCAGGGACATGACCCCCAGCGCGTCGTGCGCCATGCTCGCGTTGCGGCACAGCAGCACGGGCACCACGTCGACGCGCACCAGCGGGCTGCCCATGGCCAGGTTGACGTTGATCTGCGGCAGCGACGAGTTGGCGTACCCCGTGTCGTTGGCGTGGCCCGGCGGCGGCAGCACGAACGTCGTGTTGCCGGCCGCGCGCGGCGGGCGGTCTGTGGCGCTGCCGCCCGGGCCGCGGGCCCTGCTGTCCGACAGGTACGTGTCGGACGGGTCGAGCACCGTCGCCTTGTGCAGCGAGCCGACGACGCCCATGTACGGCAGCGACAGCGACGAGCCGTCCGACCCGTTGATCGCGATGTAGCCCGAGTACACGGCCAGGCGCTTCGGGTCGACGTCGGCCGGCGGCTTTGGCGACACGGAAATGACGCGTCGCTGGCCCGCGGGGATCGTGACGGACTCGCTCGGCCCGAAGGCTATGGACGCGCCCGAGGTCACCATGTCGTTGGGGAAGGTGTCCGGGAAGATGGTGCTGTCGTTGGCATAAGTGTAGGCCGTCGCGGCGAGCACGTTGCTCAGCTTGTACACGATGGACGTCCTGCCCGTGTTGGAGATGGTGAAGTTCTGCATGGGGATGTGGTTGTCGGTGTCGTTGAACGCCAGGCTGCTGACGCTGAGCAGGCTCGTCGCGTGGGCGGCATCGTGCGCCTGGATCAGGCCCGCGCCCTGCTGAGGAACGGGTGCCAGGAACCGGGACGGCGACAGGCCATTGTGGAAGATGTTGGGGTTCGCCGTGGCCGAAAGCACGCTCTCGATCACCCTGGGGTCCTTTGTCTTGCGCACATTCATGATGAGCGCGTAGATGGCCGCTGTCATGGGGCAGGCCATCGACGTGCCCGAGACGACGGCATAGCCGCCCAGTGGCAGCGGGTAAGTGGAGAGAATCAGGCCTCCGGGCGCCGAGAACTGCGGCTTGATCTCGGCCTCGTTCGTCGGGCCCCACGAGGTGAAGGTGCTGAGATAGCCCGGGGTCATGAAGTTGTCGCTGTTGACAAGTGTCTTTGGCGCCGTCATGGGGTCGGTGGTGCTGATGACGATCTTGGTGCCGGCGGCCAGCTGCTTGATCCACGACTCGCCCTGCTCGCCCGTGACCATGCCGATGGCTGTGATGCCCTTGGTGCCTGCGGCGTCGGCTGCGATGGTGCCGGGAACATTGTTGTAGAACATGACGTATTTAGCGCCATGCGCCGCAGCGTTTGAGGCCTTCTGGACGAATGTGCAAGTGCCTCGTCGGACCAGAACAACGTGGCCAGAAAGGTCCGGTGTGTCTGCCGGGTACGGATCGCAGCCATTGGCAGCGTCTGTGGTGTTGAAGTTGACAGCCCAGAGCGGGAGGCTGACGTTCTTCCAATCCCCTGGAGTGCCGGGGGTGTAGCCAAAGGACACCTCGTCCCCGCCATCGATGGTGTAAGTGCCGTTCGTGTAGAGGATGGGCGCCTTGGTGTTGTCAACCGATGCCACAGACGTGACTCCCTTTCCATTCGATGCTGTGCTCGCGAAGAACATGCCCGTGGCACCCGAGTTTCCGGCAGAGGTAGTGCATGGCACCCCTTGGTCCACAATGCGCGACACCACGACTGCCCACGGGTCCTCGCTCCACCCCGAAGGGCCGCCGATGGAAGCGGTGATGATGTCTGCGCCAGCCTCAAAGGCTTGGTTGTACGCCGCGATGAGCACGTCGTTTGGGACGTCCCCGTTGCAGCCGAAGACACGGTAGCTGCCCAGGGTGACTCCAGGAGCAGCTCCCAAGACGCCAAATTGGTTGTTTCCTTGAGCCGCAATGATACCGGCGACGTGGGTACCGTGCCCATTGCACCCGTCATACGGATCAGGGTCTGGGACCGGCGTGTTCTTGCCATTGAACTGATCGCCGACGAGATCTGTGCCAAAGGATACGAGACAGCCGGGGCCGAAGCAACCTCCGAGGTCAGGGTGCTTGTAGTCCACGCCGGTGTCGATGACAGCGATCTTGATGCCCTCGCCAAAGTACCCCTCGGCCTTGAGCTTGTCTACCTGCGTCATGATGTGCGTGGAGAACGTGTCGTTCTGGTTGTTGGGAGCCTGGCGCTTGGTCATGCCTACCGCAGCTTCCGCTCCGCCTGCCCAGTGCAGCGTGTACTCGGGGATGCTGTACCTTCTCACTGGCCAGATCGCCTTGACCGCCGGCATGGATGCCACCTTGGCCGCTGTCTCGACCGACTTTTCCGCGTCGTGAAACTTAATCGACGCGCCCTTGAACAGCTTGTAGTTCAAGTCCATCTTCTTGTCTGCCTCATGGGCGATGGAGTCGATGAAAGCACCTCCGTCCTGTCTCTTTGTCAGTCTCGATTCTCTAGATTATGACCATTCCTGGACCCAGGGCATCGTACCTGGCCATCTTGGAACTCTACAATGTATCTGCCTGGTATTATCGGTGCTGCCAGAGGTGGCGCGACAGCTCGCACACTGGCCGCACCAGCCAACAAGGAAACAACCCAGGTCTTCCAAGCCATGATTGCTCGGGCGAGTGGAAGGACTGCAAGTAGTGCCTCGATCCTCTTGATGTAGGTTTCAAAAGCAACAGAAAACGAGTGAACGGCAACAGCCAGGCAGTGCGTATGGCCTTCCAAGTCGCCCGAACAGCCACGACCTTTCTCGGAGGAGAGCAGCGAGGGACAACGGGAATGTGCGCCATGTTGATGTTATATGCCGCCGTGCACGCTCGAAGCCGCCTTGTACCGCAGGATGTCACAATGTCATATCGCCGATCGACGCCGTTCGCGGGGGAGGGCCCAGTGCGGAAGGTGATTTTACCCAGAACTCCGCCTGCGGTCTGGCCAAATGAATTGGACAACCCCATTGGGCAATGGTGGAGCTTTCCGCAGATATTGTCAAGGGTTTGCTGGAAGGTTTGATCCTTGGAGTAGCACCCATCGGGCCAACACCCTGTCATCCACGATAACACCAGGGGAGCCTGGTAGGCCGTATCGTTCCGTGAGCGTGAGCTTCTGCTCCTTGTACTTCGTAGTTAGTCTGTGAAGCTGGAGAAGATTCATGCAACACAGGCTTGAGTAACCGTAGCATCGCAGGCACGCGTGCATTACAATGGGGTCTTTGCCAAGCCGCACGCGGCATCTGTCCTCCGTGGAAACAATGAAAGCAAGCTCTGTCACTGTGTCACACGCAGCTGGCCCCTTTTGATGGGCCATTCGGCTCTGCCATCCGCCATCACTGGAGACACCAGAAGGTCCTCTCCATGGATCCCAATGCGTTGGTGTGACCCAAAGATTCCGTGTTTGTCTATCTCCTGTCGCAACAGAGAGTGAGGCTTCCCCAGGCATGATGATGTGGGCATGATGTGGGGGACGGACCCGTGGCGAGAGCCCACGCCAAGACCTGCATCTGCAAGGGACCGCGCCAACGGCGTCCAAACGCATGTCACGAGCGATAAGTCGGAAATGACTTGATGCGACGCTGGCTTCGTTCCTCCCGGCCTACGATTGATCTCGGCCAACGGCCTCATTGAAGCACGTGTCAAGCCAAGAGTATCACCGAATTGGGATCGTCTAGCCCGCAGAATCCTGTACATCCTCCTATGGGAAGATCCATCAGGGTCAAAGATTGGACAGGCCTCTTACTTGAAACCAGCGCGCCATGGTTTACGAAAGTAGTGGAGTGAAGAGGAGCCTTGGCCGTACAACAAGCCTTGATAAGGAATCAAGGGAAAGCGCAGCTGTAACGGCAAATAACGTCCTTGGCAAAAGAGGCCAGGATAATATGGAAAATAGCCAGAATGAGTAACAATACTAGCCTCCCGCGCTTATTCTTTGACATACCGGGGTATTCATACAAGCTAAGGTAGCTATGCTTCCACAAGTACCGATAGTATTATTCTACCCTCCTAAACACCTCACTTACTTCACACCTTTGATATCGCCAAGTTCAGAGATCCTCCTCAAGACAGCAGCTCTCTCGCCACCTCATGACTATTCAAGAACGCGATGCCCTCCTTTCTAAACGTATCCGGTTCCACAAACGGGCCTGACGCGTTGAGCACCATGTTTGCTGGACTTGCCAAGTTGTATTTGGGCCAGCGCGGCAGCTCCAGCGCGCCCAGCTTGGCAGCAGTACCGCTCGACGATGGGTTCGGATCCAAATTGTACACAAAGTTGACGTATGCCATGCCAATTGACCTGGCCAGTTTCAGGTGCTTATCGTACTCCGGGCTCGGCCCGAGGAGACCCGTGATGTTCTGGAAGCTGAAGGCCACATTCGAGAAGTGCTTGACCCCCTCGAGCGGGTTGCTGTTGTAGAGAAGCGTGTCGAACCGGTAGCTGTAGACGTCTTGCCCGGCCTCGGTGTACAGCTCGCACATCTTTCTCCGGCCCGATATCATGACTGCGTCGCCCCCAATGTTGGCCGCGCGCCGCCACATCCTGCCCTTGTCGGGCCAGAAAGTGCAGTTTGTGAGCCAGAACGGCGGCGCGTTGCAGTTGTCGTCGGGGTACAGCTCCAGGAGCCTGCGAATAGTGGGCGGGGAGAGCGCGTACATCCTCCACAACATGGCGTTGTGGATCATGTCGTGGTCCGTGTCAGGCTTGCCCGAGATGGCGAAGCCCTCGTCGGTGTTCGCCCCAGTCAGGAGAGGTACGCGGTTGTATTTGCCTTCGCGAATGAGTTGGCTCGGGTAGCCCGTCAGAAAATCGCCGTCAATCAGAGGGTTCCAGACAGTCTGTGGACTAGCACCGTAGAGCTTGTTCTCGTTCACTCCCCGGAGGCAAGCAAGCTGGTCTTTGGCATCCACACAGCCAACAGTCCGTGTCAGGTTCTCGACAGGAGAGGTGTAGTATGAGAGATCTTGCACCTGTGCTCCCGTGGGGCCACCGCTCTCCATGATAGCTCCACGGAAAAGACCGTCATCGCGACCATTGTAACTGAAGAGGTGATAGGCAATGCTTTGGGCACCAGCACTCTCACCCCAGACCACCACTCTCCTTGGATTACCTCCAAAGCCAGCAATGTTCTCCTGGATCCACCGCAGAGCTAGTCTTTGGTCGAGCAGGCCAGCGTTCGACGAACCCTCTGCTAGGATTTGGGGTGTCTGCAAAAAGCCATACTGATTCATGCGGTAGTTCATGTCGACAGCGATGATGGGCTGGCCCATGTCTTGGCTGACCTTGACGATGCCCGAGAGATTGTACTGGGGATCCGCCGTAGAGCCCGTATAGAGCCCTCCGCCATAGATCCAGACCAGCACGGGCAGATGGTCATGACTTCCCGACGGCCGCACCACGTTGAGTGTCAAGCAGTCCTCTGAGGCATGGGCCTGGAGGACTGCGGACTTGTACTCGCGGCAGTTGTATCCATACTCCGTCGCATTGCGCACACCCGTGAAAGACTCATTGATGCTCTGAGGCCAACGATACCGCAATGGCCCGACGGGAGGCTGCGAGTAGGGAATGCCGAGGAAGACATCCTGGTTCCAACCGTCTAATCTACGGCCTTGGTAAGTACCATTTATCGTCTTCGCGGTCGGTATACTGCACGACTTGCCCAAGATTGGGATGGCGAGCTGCATGAGCACGCCTAGGCAGCTCAAAACGAGTCTCATGTTGCTTACTGAGGGATGTGGCAGATTGTGCGGGCGCCTCTCTCATTGGAGTGACCCAACCGTGCCATCCTCAGCACATATATGTTATTTCGCACCTTGTTATCCGGTGCATGTCTGACTGATTATCCCGTCGACGCCCTTGATTGGAGGAAAATCCAATGGCCGGCTTCGGTGATGGCTAGCACACACTTTGTCAAGCTATTACTTTGCGGGGAATACCGACATTTCGGGCTGTCAACCAGGGTCTCTATGGGGTTTGTGGGGAACCTAGTCGGTCTCGCAACAGAGGAGATTAAGAGAAAGAGATCAACGGAACAATTCAGCTTTCCAGTACGCTCGGTAATTGAATCTTTCTCCTCTATGAATCACCCGGACTTCTCATCTGTCCTTTGAGTATGCTACTGTTTTCATCACAACGAGATACTTGCTAGTTGAGTCCGAGAGTTGATCAACGCCGGCTTCCAATGTATCATGCTCAGAAGTCTGAATAACAGTGATCGGTCAGCTTTCAAACGCTCCGCAGACCAAATTGACGGATTTGATCGTGGGAAGAACTCACAGTGCTAACACGCTGTGTACTCGCCTCGTCCCTGAACCCTGCTAAACAGACCACAACTTTTGGGTCTTCTCGTGAAGCCGCAACTGCGAGATATTCGAGCCCATCCGTGGCAGCGGACGACGCCAAGTAGGCGTTGAACAGCGCAGCAAGCTCCGCCTGCTTTGATTCAGGGATGCTCAAGTGCGACACAGTGTAGATATTGCATTGTGGCGTGCAAGGGGCTCCGGGGAGGATCAAGTGATGGCTATTGTGCCATTTGATCAGTCTCATCCCATGCTGGTGACTTGGTCTCGAAAGCATGATACGCACCAGAGCACCGATGGATTGGACGCATTCATAATCTTCAGGAAGCCTGGCGCGACACTTTGGTACTCCTCTCCTAGCATAGGAGGTTGGTCAGTAATAGTCTTCAATTGATTGGGGGACATTCACCTGGTGCAAAACTGTCCTTCCCTGCCGCGGAGGTCCAATCCGCGATCATAACTGCGATTTGCCGGTCTTCGGCCTGGTACCCATGCATATTCTGTCGAGCAATCGGGAATTTGGATGACTTTTCGGTGATATCATCAAGCACTCCGTAGAACTTATGTGTGTGAGCAATGATTCTCGAGCACTGTCGGAGATTCTCCTCACTTCTTCATCTGAGATATTTGCCTTCCGAAAGCTGACCACCTCGGTCAACCTCCCCGGACCTTCGGCGTTGGGAAAAGTGATAGGTAACGCCATGGATGATTCCTTGTTTCACTTGATATGCCTTTGCAACTTTATACAATGCGGCCTTTTTTTTTTTTTTGGAATGTTCACCAGAACAATTCCTGGATGAATCGGTTCTTATTTCTTGATCCCGAGGAACGGCATCATGACTAAGCCGGCACCATGTTACCGGACGACTCTAGGTGCGAAACTTCCGGCACGTCGGTTTAGTTTCGATTCGATAGATGAGCCTCCATTAATTTCCTGGAGAACTAGCTATCTGAAGGGCATTTCGGAAGTCTTTCCCATATGAGCTTCTTCCTCAGCCATTCAAATTCAGATGGTGTCTTGGCCAACAAAATTCTTTCGTAAGTTTTATCCAGCTATGTGACATTAGACCTCGTGACTGAAGAAAAAACATTTCTTAGCCTCAAAAACCGACAATCTGCGCTATAGCAGTGATGGACTTCGAGTCGGGAGAGACGAAGGTTAGGGTCATTTATTGACTTATTTCTTCACTATTGTGTCCCCTTCAAGTTGTTATGATGTTATCTTGTTAGGAGCAGAAATTGAAACGTATCCTAGCCAGTAAGTGATCAAGGTGTTTCAAACCGGGACAATTATGTATTGGGCCGCCGCCTTTATCTTTGGATCAAGAGTGACACCCGGCTGCACTTGTGCTGGTAATCGCTACGTAATGTGAATGGTGGGAGTCTAACTAGAATCCGATAGAGCCATTGTCTGGAGATATTGCGAAGGTATAGTTAGTCACGATTGCGAAAGGGAGCATTGTAGAACATGGAGTCGGCGTGATCAGGCTATTGAGCACCACCATAGACAACGGTCTCACTTTTCTCAGTGCTCACTACGAATACTATTGGTATGGTTCAATCAAATGAACCGGTTTTGAGATCAAGCAGGTGCAACTGCATTACCGGAACCGCGTGGCGGCGGCGGATCGCCGTTTATATCTCAGTTGGAAAGTAGGCGTACGCGGCCTCAAGTCCGTAGTGTAAAGAACTGCACGAACTTAAAAAGGTTGTAATATCTCATTAAGCAACCATGTAGGCGGCCGGTCGGCCGCGTTCGGCGCCCTTTTCCCCGCAGTGCGCCTTTCAATGTCATCCCCGCATCGGCGGTCCCGCGATCTCCATAAAACCCCGAGTGCAGATCATCAAAGCTTACTGTTCAAAAGTTGGTTTCACCACGGGGTTGTAACTAGAACTGCAGGACAACTTCACTTACCTCTTCTTTCAAGACATCTAGACCGCAAGCCGCACGCATCAACACTCATCTACCAACACATTGCAATGGCATCCAAGGACAATGCCTCGTCCCTCACGCTCTACAGCTGGTCCAAGTCCTCGTGCTCGTGCCGGCTGCGCATCGCGCTGAGCCACAAGAAGCTGCCCTACCGCCTCGTCGACATCGACTACGCCAGCCGCGAGCACCACCGCGCCGACTACGCGCGCATGAACCCGAGCCGCTCCGTGCCCACCCTCGTCGTCACGTCGTCTGGCGGGGGAGAAGCCGACGCCGTGCACATCGGCCAGTCCGTCGCCGCGCTCGAGTTCCTGGAGGAGGCCTTCCCGGACGCGCCGGCGCTGCTGCCCGCGGCGCGAGATCTGGCGGCGAGGGCGCTGGTCCGCACGCTCGTGCAGGCCGTGGTCACGGACATGCAGCCGCCGACCAACACGCGGGTCCTGGACATGGCGCGGGAGATGGGCGTCGCGGACGTGGACGAGTGGTGCCGCAGGGTGCACGTGCGGGGGTTCACGGCCTACGAGGGGCTGATCGCGGGCCGGGCGGGCAAGTTCTCGCTCGGCGACGAGGTGACGCTGGCGGATGTGTGCCTCGTGCCGGCGGCGTGGAATGCGACGGGCAGGTGGGGGATGGAGCTGAGCGAATGGCCCACTGTGATGAGGGTGTTTAACAACCTGATGGAGCTTGAGGCGTTCAAGGGGGAGGACTGGCGGGGAAAGACGGCCTGAGAACAGCACAGCCCGTTACATGTAAGCTGTGCTTTGGTTTGGAGACGTTCAGAGTCGGAGACCTCGGGGTTGGGGGCGTGCGAAGACCGACGTGTCTGCTGAGATGAGATCAATCATGATGATGAGATAAGACGGGATGAGACGAGGTGCTGAGAGGCTCAAACGATCACAAGACCAGTGCGCCGATTCGATGAGGATCCTTCTTGATGAGTCTGGGTCTAAATCAGTGTGCCAATGCCATCACACATGAATAAAGTGCACTTTCATTCTGCCAAGCGAGTTTGATGCTGGGTGTGGTTCAAATCAGCACGCTCGAGACTTTTGCAGTGCCGGGTTTTGGACTGACATCAGACTCTCTTCTGGGACGAACTCTCCAACCCGACACATCCGCCCCCAACATCTATCTCTTGTGATGCTGATGACTGCACAATGACAATGCGCATTCGTCCTCCAGCACTGAAACATAGCAAATCAAGGGCCTCTTCACAACTGCCGTCACCAGCATCGCGTGTCCATCACGGGGACCTTCAGTCCCCCCCTCCATCCAAGACATCGCGTCGCCCCGCGCCGAAACGACAGGCTTTCCGGGCGTCGTTCGTCCCGTCCCGTGTTCGCGGATCTTTGGGGTTGACGTTGACTTTGACACGAGAGGTAGGGCACGTATTCGTGCTTTTTCGCGGTACCGTGACACAAACACACACACACACCACACGCACATATGCAAGCACTCAGGGAAGTAGAGCAGAAGCGAGAAACAGCGGCGGTCCAATCCTCTTCCTCCAAGGCGACAAAGGAGGCCCCACAGAGTTTGCGCAGCACTCTTTCTCCAAGAGTGTGGTGGGTGGTGGGATGTAACCTCAGGTGCCAGGATTCGGCATCATGGGGCCATGGTCAAGCCACGGAGGGAGGGGGGATGCGTGCTGGTGCGTGTGGCTTTGCAGCTTGCTGGTCCTGCAATCCCCGAATCTGACATGGCGAGCCCTTACGACGCTTGCTTGGCGGTGTGTCCCGTAATCGGACCCCTTGACCAGAGTCCTTGCGCACCCGAGGAAGCTTGCAATTTGGGGGCCGAAAGTGTTCGGCGAAAGCGAGAGGCAACCGGGACAGGTTTTCGTTTCCCTCGTTTTCTTACGATACGCACGGGTCGTGGCTTGCTTGGAAGGGGCAAATAGAGAATCCGGGTTTCGCACGGAGGAAACAGGACCCAAGACAGTGGAAAATCAAGGAGGGACTGACCGGCGTCCTGTTTCCAGTGTTGGCTCGCCGAGTCCACTGTGGAGATGTTTTGACAGAATCCTTGACATGGATGGCCAGGACCACATGCCGGATGCAGCAGTGTGGAGAGGGTCGTGCCGCCACTCGACAGGCAACAGCCCGGACCACCTGCCCAAGGGTCTCGACCAAGGTTCATCCATGCGCTGCCGCAGTGTACATCGGAAGTTTGCGGGGGAGGGGGGATGGATGACTCTGACAAGATACTGAGGGGTTTGAAGCAAATCGTAGAGGTCAACGAGGAAAGGAGTGAACAGCTTAACCTGGATGAACTTGACCATCAGACGACTCACGACAGGCAGGAAAGGCACAAGTAAGAGTTGTTGTAGACATGATCTTGATTGTCATGTTCTAGCTAAAAGTATCTATCTATCATGAACCAAGATGAAAAGCATTCCCAAACTCCGTTTCGCTTCGTGTTTTGTCCTGTTGTCCAAAAAGAAAAGCAACTGTAGTACAAAAACAATCCTCATCTATCAAGCGGCCAGACCCTTTCACAGGTACTTGTACCGCCCCTCATCGGGGTACCACACCTCGGACCGCCTCTTGGGCCCGATGCTCGTGTACCGCCGGGGAGGGATGTTGAACCGGCTGCGCAGGCGCTCCTGGTACTCGGCCTCCTCGCGGTCCTCCTGCCGCTGCGCCTGCTTCTCGCGCGACGAAGGCCGCGACGCCGAGCTGCCCCGGATGCCCAGCCCTTCCATGGACGAGTACAGCTCGGCCATGCCGTCCTTGGGGGCAGCGGGCACCTGGCCCTCGCCGGCGTTCTTGAGGATCGACTTGACCTCGGTCTGCACGCCGCCGCCGCCCGTCGTGTTGGAGCGCGACAGCTTGGGCCGCGAGTCGATCTTGGCGTTCTGCTTGGCGCGCATCTGGTCCTCCCAGCGCAGGTGCTTCTTGACCTCGTGCACCGCGGCCGAGGGCTCGCCCGAGAACTTGGGCGAGGAGGTGAAGCCCGAGGAAGGGGAAGAGGCGTACGAGGAGGAGCCGTACGAGGAGCCGTAGAGGGCCTCCTGGTGCGACGTGGGCGCAGACGAGGCCATGGCCGCGGCCTGGGCGCGGCGCTCGTGGCGGATGCGGCGGCGCTCGTGGCGCTCGCGCTCGTCCTCGGCGGATGCGTAGCCCTGCGGCGAACGCTCCAGGCGGGAGGAGGGCGCCAAGTAGGCACTATCGCGGCGGGAGGAGTTGCGGCGGCTCAGGCGAGGAGCAGACGAGTGCTCAAAGACGTCGACAGGAGCGGTGACGCTGGGGTTGCGGCGTGAGGGAACACGCTCTTCGACGATGATGGGGCGACGGCCGCGGGTTTCCTCGCGGGGCGGCGTGTCAATGCCATAGGTCATGGTGGAGGAGCGCTTGATAGGGATGGGGCGCGGCGAAGGGGGCTCGGGCGCGTAGGGCTTGTAGCCCTGGGTGGACGAGGACTCGAGGACGACGGGGCGGCGGTCTCCGCGGCGGCGGCGGCTGCCGCTGCCAGAGTGGTCGTTGACCTCGACCATCCTCGTGCCGCCCACGTAGATGTCCTGGCCACGCTTGTGGTACTTGCTGCTGCGCTCGCCGCCGTCCGGGCGGGGCGAGGGCGAGTTGGAGAGAGGGGTGGGCGGGTACATGTCGCGGTCGTAGACGGCGGGAGAGGCGCGGCCGGGCGAGGACGAGTGACCTGCCTTGATGTAGGGCAGCTGGCGATGGACCTCGCGGATCTTGGGCGCGGCACACATGCGGCCGGGCGTGCAGCAGTCGACGCGCTCAGTGACGTCCCTGTCACCGTCGATGTAGGTGTTGTGGTAGATAGTCTTGCGGCACATTGTGACGATGTTGCAACGTATCACGCGCGGATTGCGATATTTGGTAATGTCAGGTGGGAGAACCGAGTCTTTTGTCTCTGTCTCGAGTTTCTGGTTGTGTGTATCGAGGAGCTCTTCCGAGTCTCGAGGTAATGCGATGTCCGTGTTACCCGTCTGCAGTGTTCTTGTGAATGTGGTTCTTGTGATGTGGTGATCTCTGGTAGCTAGCTCTTTGAAGGGAGTGACTGCCGTTCCAAAGACTCTTTTGCAGCTCGTGTCAGTCGGCTGTGTCAGAGACGAAACAGTCTTTTGAGTGTTGATCCGGGTTCGGTCTTAGATACATAGCATCTGATCGCGACAACACCTCGAAGAGCTGGGACGAGGGAGGGAATGGTGGGCGATATAAGTATTGGAAGAGGGAGAAAGGGAAGTGTGCGTTCTTCAGCAAGTGGAGAAGGATTGGGTATGCTCTTGTGGTAGGAAGAGACTGGTTCCGTGATGTACTGGGTGTGTGGCCAGGAAAACCAAGGCTTGGAGGGGAGGCAAGAGAGAGGCGGTCTTTGTGTCTTTAAATAAAAGTTCGTAGGTGAGAAGAGGTGTAAGAGGATGAGAAGTGTGACACCTTTTCTGGCAGGGTTTAAAAAGGGTGGGTGTGTGGACGACTGCAAGAAGGGGACCCTTGCATCTTGTTCTGTACCCCATGCTGCCAAGTACCTTTCCGTCGAGCACCACTGCCTCGATGTCCTCCGTTACTGTCAAAAACGAGCAAAAACGGGAGCCAGGGTGGTGGTGGGTGGGAGTCGAGGTACCCATGCCTGTACACAACCAACCCTGCCGGCGACTTTCCCACAGCATGGGTAGACGGTTCTGTCCTAGCTGCACTATCTCGCTGCCTGCTGCGGCCTGTGTGGGGACAGGACTCTGTGGCCGATGAATCACACAGACCAGTTGACCAGAGACCCGGCGAGAGGACGAGAGACGCCATGCATGGGTTGGGTGGGTGGGGATGGGTGGGACGACGGCGAGATCACGCTTGCGGGAGAGTCCTTGGTGTGGTGTGCTCCCATGGCCCTCATTCTCAGAGCTCGTCAAGCACTACCTGCCACCCAGGAAACGGAAACGGTACAAGATGGAGGAGTCGACAGGGATTCGGCGCGGGGACATCACTCCCTAGCGATCTGACGGTGCCAAACCTAGACGAGAAATGCCACAGCCCTCTGGGAGGCTGAGCCAAGGCCTGGGGATGGAGCTATTGTTAGGGATCCCCGTAGTGCACAATCCCATCCGCAGCTTGGAGCCCTCCCACGAAGGCGATTAACCCTATGTTTAAGCTTTGCGAAACAACTCGGGGCTCTAACAGGGCCGTGCCAGAGGGAGTAGCCGTCCCTCTCCATGTGGCGTCGAAAGGCCATTCCGAAACTCAATTCCACCATGCCCATGCTTTGTTGCTCACTGCAAGCCCATGCCATAGTGAGTTTCCCCTACTGGCGCCACAGTAAGCAGGATACGGTGCCGCATTCAGTGCGGTGCAGCAGGAAGAGGCAACCAACTGGAGCTACACACACACACACACACACATGCCTCTTTGACTTGACGACGACACGCCAGCAACCCGCCAGAATTCCCCAAAAACGGCCCCCAAAACTATCCTGGCAAAGGTTTGTAGGTAGCTCGGAGTCGGTGCAAAAATAGATTTGACTTTGGCTGAGAGCTGAAGGGGAAACGGTGTCTTTGGCTCCCTCTGGAAGTCCCAAGAACCAGTCGACGCCCTTTTGCGCGCAGAGTTGGCAGAGAGAAGCGTCTTTGCGCAAGGGCGCGAAACGAAACATCCATCATGCGGCCTCTTTCAGAGGGCATCACGATGGTAGGCGGTGAGGAGTGAGCGGGCTGTCTCCTGTAGAAGATGCGGACGGTTTGATGGCCCTGGGAAACGGGCCAACACTGCGCAGACTGAAAGGCGCCAGTCGGCCCATTCCCTTCGACTCTTCTGAGCAATCACTTGCATGCGCGCCGTCAAGCAGGTGGGCTAGAATCTGGCCACTTTGGCTTCCCCATTCGCCCTTCAGCGGACTGAGTCACCGCGGCCAGGAGGATCGAGCAGTTGAGTGGTCCCGTTGTACCTCGTAGTGCAGGACGGATCGCGATTGTGCTGCATGACTGGCGTCGTGCGTTGCAGTAGCGCATGCGCAGCTGGTTTGGAGAACGAAGTCTCTCAATGGCCTGCCCTACAGGTCTCCCCGGCTTGTGCTGGTGTTGATAGGCTGTCCAAGTCTACCCTTGACAGGTACCAGAGAACTGTCCACTCGTCTTGGCTCGCTGGGCCGTGGGTACTCCTGCAACAGTACTCCGTCTGCAGCACTAGCAGCCAGGCAGGTCCCAATTCAATCGAGGAGTTTCCCTTCTGCCTGTTCCCTCGAGTATCACAGCGTTTGAAGCTTGCGTACTGAGCAGGTGCCGACACTCTGGGCCTCCACTCCAGGCCGGCCGCTTTCCTCTTGCCTGCTCCCTCCGCGCCTTTGCGAATTACGGAGTCCGCAAGACATCGGGTGAGAGCGGCGATAGATCGAGTACGGAACGGATGATGAGAAATCAATATTCCTACGCAATGGCCTTGGGAGACTTAACTACGTAGCGTGACTGTGCACTGTAGGACATCGCCGACGGGCTGTGCAGAGGCCATCTCCCAGGACCTGGGGGAGCCAACCACAAGCTCAGCCACACAGCCACACACACCATGACCTACCGTTTTGCAAGAGAGGGTGGAATTCTACGGTGACGCCAGCATGACCGCAGTCAAGAAGTCTACTTGGGCTACCCGCAGCTTCATGCAAGGCACGGGAGGAGCCATCTCCTGCAAGTAAGAATTCCTGGTGTTGCAGCCCGCATATCGAGGCTCTCGACATGCAGTCGGGGTGGCTTGCCATCGTCGTAGTAACGGGCTCTCGGAAGGAAAAAAAAAGAGAATGCACGCTGGGTTCCTCGGCCAGGGCCTCCGACCTGGATAGGCGCTGTGCGATGGAAGCGCCTGTTCGCGGGGCATGCTCTGTCCCAGACTGGGACTGTTGGCGATTGACTGGACACCGGGGTCCGCAATCGGAAACAGGAGACGGAGGGCGCCTTGATGAGACAACACTGGACCTCGAGTTTCGAAGTCTCTTCATCAGCAATGTTGTTGGCCCATTGCGACGACCTAGCTAACTCCTGCGTAAGTACCTTACAAGCAAGCAATTGGGGAGCTCCAAGGCATCCCAATTCCGGAACCCTGATCTGAGTGATAGTTGGAGAAACTCTTTACGGTTCCACCCTTCCACCCACAGTAGTACTTGACCCTCGTGTCTGGCAAGCTGATGGGTCGATCATGGAAACGGGCGCCGTCTTGGCTGTCCAAGACGTCCAAAGACAAGAAAGACGTCAGTAGAATTGCCACCAACGCTGCCTATCCAAGGCCACCCATCAACACCTCCACACACACTCTGTGTCTCTCTCGCTCACCACACCAAATGCTGACAGCCACGGAGTATGCTTTCGTCATGTTCCTTGATCAGCGTTGGTACCCCGAGCAACGGGGGGTGTGCAAGTTTCTGAAAGTGCATTTCCTGCCCATGGCAGAGAGGGTTGGCACCAATGTCAAGGCCAGTTTGGTATCACATCCTCCGCTATCATCATGCCGTGCAACCCATCCCTCTCCCCGAGGATGCTTCCAGGGTCTTCTGTCCTCCCCAGCCCATGCGTGTTCATGTGGCACTCATTCAGGGCACTCGCGTCCTGGGGTCCCGGGCCGGCAATGTGTCTGTCGCCTATCATCGAATGTTGATGGCAAGAAACCGTCATGGCGATCCTGGCCATGCCCACCCTCTCTCTATCTGTCATCCCCCCCCTATGACGACAGTAGGAACGCGTCTCGGGACCCAACGGTGCGAAATACCAAAACCATCAGCAGCCATACACCTACGCAATAGTGAACAAAGCTTGCTAATGGTGTAACTATCCAACTGCCAGCATTGGCGTGGTCATGCGCAGCTTCGGAGATAGCCTCTGGGAAACGGGATTTAAGATTCAGCCCTAGCGAGGCAGATTTTGGTTTCATACGGTTTATGGGGCTTTCCCAGTAGCCCCGACGAGAAAGCTTAGGTCCTCGGTTAGCGCCTCGGACCGCTGAAACTATCCACTGTGGCTTCTCCAGGGCTCGGTCTTAGGGAGCATTTGCTGTTCTGTCCAACGACCTCCATGCATGGATGGATTGCTTCCAAGGTTCAGCTATTGATAGTGCCATGGTGGTAACACGAAGACGCGGCCTTTCGATCACGACAACACGGCATGATCGTGGCCGATGTTTACTGATCAACTTTCAGCCTTTCTGGCTTAGCAAACCTTCAGTTCTGCCTCATCTGAGCCGAGTGCGCCAGAGCCTTGAATTTGTCGTTCAGCGGCGAGAGACAACCACAGACAATCCCCGTGCAGTATGTAGTTACTTGCAGTCTCCGTTCAAGAAACGGTCAAGGCCAGAGATGGCGGATCTCATTTGCTCGTTAAATGAAACATGTTTCCCAAACACACCCGCGATAATTATGGCTGTTTCTCGGTGGAGATGGCTCCTTATTAACCGCCTTCACAGCTTGGCCGTTTGATTACGCCCGGGCTTGAATGGCTGTGGTGACCCGGGAATGCGTTTCAGGACGGGTCACCTGAAATTCAGCTCCTCCATGGCCGCGGCCGGCCGCGAGGCTTGGTCGTCATCCAGATCCTCGGGACCGCCTGAAACTCGGAATTTTCATGGTAGCCGCCGGCCACTGCTACTCTTCGGCCTGACGATATCAAGAATAGCAATGGCAATAGCAATTCAGTATCGCGCGCAGCCCTTTGCAGAAGGCCAACAACATACATTCCACCGTGGCCGAACAAGAGAAGCCATCGCGCGTACGGAGTACCTAGGTTCCAATACCGTCCGTTGCTCGATATGATTTGCTCCTATGGAAGGTTTCGAGGCGTCTATTTTAGTCCAGCCCAGCCCATTCAGGGGGTCGAGGACTGACTTTGGCTTTGACGGGGTCATGGTTTAGGGCCGCATTGGCTTCGACTCGAAAATAGACGCGCGTGGAAGATCTACTTGGGAAGCTTGCAGACCCGGCTCTTTGGTAAGTTCAGACAGCTTGTGTTTTGAGAATTAGAAACGTCTTTTTGACAGTGTTGGAGTGTACGGCGTGATTGTTTGATAGATGTACATGTCTATGGTACAAGGCATAAGTAACCATATTACAACTGAAGATTAGTACATTGACTGTTGATGCTGCTTCCCAGCTCATAGCCATCATGTAGCACGTCTCTCAGACGCCGACCCATCTGATTGGATCGCATCCAGATCCTTCCTTCATGGCCACCATGTGCTGGCCAACCGCCCAACTCGTCTCGTCGCCCAGGCTGCACTCTCTGCTACGCAGGAAGCTTCTTCTACTATGGCACCCTCGTCTTGAGCTGGATTCCGTGCCACTGCTTCATCAGGTCTCCGAGCACCGCGTTGACCATGCGCTGCTGCTTCAGCATGTTGGCCCCCTTGAACTTGTCCGAGCTGATCTCGATGCCGTACATGGAGCCGCACCCGCCCGATATGTCCTGCACCAGCAGCTCCACGGGCGAGAACTCCTTGACCAGGCGGTCCCAGATCTCCGACTCGGCGGCGTCGAGGAAGTCGGGCTTCTCGAGGCCGGCCGAGGTTGACTCGCTCGTTGTGGCGGAGGACGACGATGAGGAGGCAGCGGCTTCGGAGGCCAGAGTTCGCCTGGTAGTGTAGGTACTCGGTGACGTCGCTCTCGAGGCAGAACAGGTCGTGGTTCGTAACGATGCCGCTCTGGATGTGATTGCTCTGCTGCTGCTGGGCTTGGGGAGACGGGCGCCGATCAGGGTCCGATGTGCGGCCGAAGGTTTGGCAGCAGCCTGCAGAGCTGCGACCCGGGCGCGCAGGCAGGTTCGGCAAAGCATTGTGTATGTGGATGAGTAGATGCCGACAGATGGCGATTGCAGAGCCGGAGTCTGGGCCGGTTGAGAAAGGTTGCGCGTGAATTGACTGGATCGCAGTCTTTGCTTCAGATGCAGAGTGATTGCCTGTGATGACGATGATTCCCAATTGCAGGCCATTCTCGGAGGAAGAAAATGGCCTGAGCAATGATGAATTGGTGTCTTTTCATTGGCCACAGCTTGAAGGAATAAGGCCCGTGCGTTGGCGCATCATTCGATGTCTGAACCACTGAATTCCAGGGGCTCATCCACTGAGAGGGCTGCTGCAAACTTGAAGGAGTTGGAACTGGCAGTTAAGGTTATCACAGAGATGTGAGAAGTTGCAATATTTCATCATGGATGTTTCTCCTTCATTCATGACTGCTTATCAAGAGAAACGGCGACATAGAGAACACTAAAGCCATTCAAATCACTCCCTGCCTTTCTTCACCTCCCAATCCGCCAGGAACCTGGCTTTGACCTTCCTCCCCTTCAAGCCCTTGACCAGAACGCCCACCTCCTGCCCGGGCATCAGATCCAACATGTTGTCCGACCACAGAGGCTCGTACTCGTCAAACTTCTCCGAGCCATCGTACACCGGCTCCAGCCAAACGCCCTTGACCGGTTGGTTAGCCGAGACCGTGACCCGGTCTTCCCAGCCGCCATCGGTAAAGAACCCGGTACCACCCGCCGTCGCCGCTGAATGGGACGAAGGCGCCAGCGCCGGCGCAACCTGCACCGAGACGGACGTATCGTCGGGCCAGTACAGATAACGGTACGGCTCCGGCCAGTCCACGGCGCGCGCTAGCTGGTTGCCAGACTTGTCCGACAGCGTGGCCTCGAGGATGACGAGGCTGTCCTCCGTCCACGAAGCCTGCGACGCCAGCGCTCCCAGCTCCGTGTTGCGGCCCGGCGCGAGCGTGACCGGGCGCGAAGCGTCCTCCGCCGACAGCTCGGTCCACCGGCCCGTCTCGAAGTCGTACGCGCGCAGGGCCAGCACGCACTCGACCGCCTCGGGCCCGGTGTTGTGCCCGAACAGCGCGAACCGCGGCACCTTGGACTCGGGCCTGTCCTCGTCGACCCACCGCGTCGCCGGCGCGCGCTCGACGCCCACCGAGACGGGCGCGCAGGCCCGCCGGATCGCGTAGAACGCCGGCTTGGGCCGCAGGAAGAAGTCGACAAACGCCCACGACGTGACCGGGTAGCAGTCGTTGAGCTGCCAGATGATGGCGCCCGCGCAGAGCTCCCGCCCGGGGCCCTGGAAGAGGCGCTTCCAGTCGCGCATCGCGCACGCGTACGCCTCGGTCTGCATCAGCTGCGACGAGTAGACGAAATTCTCGAGGTCGGCCATGTCGAAGCGGAAGTTCTCGGCCAGGTACCGCGCGATGCGCGTGTGCGCGCCGTGGCCCTTGTTGTGGCAGTCGACGAGCCGCGACTGCGGGTGGCGCACCGACGCAGGGGCGTCTGGGGGGAAGAAGTTGTCCACCGTGCGCTGCACGGGGAAGCCGTGCATGCCGAACTCGGACACCAGGCGGCCGCTGAGCTTCTTGTACTCCTGGTACGGCTTCTGCTCGCCGTGCCACACCGACCACTGGTGGATGTCGCCGACGGTGGGGTCGTTGGCCGGCGCGCCGCCCCACGGCGAGTTGGCCCAGTAGAAGACGTTGGGGGCGAGGCACTCGGCGACCTTGGGGAGGACGTCGAGGTAGATCTTGCGCTGGGGGAAGGGCTGGCCGTCGAAAGGACCTGTCACGTCCGAGTGGTCGTACTTGATACTGGTTGGTGTGTCAGCACATATACATGCATTCGCTCGTCACCAGAGGGATCATGCTGAAGTCATTCACGAAGAACTTACCCCTCCAGGTCAAAAAGCATGAAATCCTCGTTGCCTCCGCAGATCAGGGCTAGGGATGCCCGGTTCCTGAACCTGGTGATCTGGGCTTCAGCTTCCTTCCTGACGCTCTCGATGAACGTGTCGTGCACTGGTGTGTTGGTGCAGGCGAACCCCATGTCGTGCCACACGAGAAGTCCGTTCTCGTCGCAAGCATCAAAGAAGTCCTCCGTCTCATAGATGCCACCACCCCAGACACGGATCATGTTCAGATGGCAGTATTTCGCTACTTCAGCCCAATCAAAGTAGCGCTGCCGAGTAATGCGCGGGATCATGTTGTCTGCGGGGATCCAGTCGCCGCCTTGTGCGAAGATGTCCCGGCCGTTCACCCTGAACATGAAGGTCAGGCCGGGCTCCTTGTCGAGCGGCCGCTGGATGACCTCGATGGTCCGCACGCCAAAGCGCGTGGATGACTTGTCGAGGATCGTCGAGTCGGAGCCGGTGATTGCAACTTCAGCTGTGTACAGGTGCGCCTCCCCCTGTCCGTTGCACCACCACAGCTTCGGAGAGTCGATCTTGATGTCGACGGATCCCTGCTCGCGATCCTTGAGGTCGACCGAAGCGGTTGCCACCTTTGCGCCCACTGCATCAACGATGTCAACGGTCGCCGCGGCAGCAGTACTCTTAGGCGAGACCGTAATCGTTGTCGATATGCTGGCTGACTTAAGGTCATCAGCGAGCTTGGGGACAATGTGCACATTGTCGATACGGGTGCCGTAAGACTCGAGGGAGACAGGTAGGTAAGGGCCTGCCGTGACAACGATGGGACCCCAGTCCCATCCCCAGTTGTACTGGTTTGCCTATTTCAATATCTATTCTCGTCGGATCGGAAGGGGTTTGTCTGTACCATACCTGAGCTTTCCTCATGTGGTTCCTTCTAGCGTCCCTCATGATGCATTTCAGATAGCCGTTGGCCTTCTCGAGCTTTGCTCCAATCTTTTCGGCGCTTTCGAACAGAATGGCGAGCTCATTCCGCTCGCCGGGCGGTCTCAGGGCTTCTTTTACTCCGACGCGGTGCGGGATGAACATGTTGTCGCTCCTGAGGACTTCCTTGCCGTTCAGCGTGACAGTCGCAAAGGTATCCAGCCCTTCGAAGACGAGATCTGCGAATTGGCCGTCCGCCGTCTTGGGCGAGTCGAAGGAACAGGCATATTCCCAATCGACCGCCCCGGCCCATTGGATCAGACGCTCGTTCTCGCCAATGTTTGGGTCCGGAATGAGCTTCTGGGCGAGAAGTTCCATCTGGACCACAGAGGGGAACGATGCGACTGGTGTCCATTCTGCCAGGCTCGGTAGGCTTTCAGCTTTGGCGTTGCCATTGCTGTTGGCCATGCGCCATCGCCACGAGGTGAGTTGTGTCGTTGTCTTTGACATGTCGGCCACAGGAAACAGATCAAACCTTGTTAAAGTTGCAGTTACGTCCAGGTAGAAAGTGATAAAAAGGAGAACTATAACTTCCTCTCAGGTGCTCAGACAAAGTACGAATCAGTTAGAACTGCGCTCTATTATTAGCAGCCCAAAGCAATCAGGACCGGCCGCCGGGTAATCAGTGGCCACGTCAACTGACATCGCAGACACCATGAATCCTTCCCCTCCTTCACACCCATGAATGAGAGATCCGGTGGAAGACATGCAGCTCCCCCATGCCCCGCAGCACCAGCCTGCGGGGTCTTCGTGAACCTCCTTGAAGGGGAAATGTCCGAAGCTCCAGTACCTCCGCACCAACGGGGCCGTTGGGGTCGTTCTTACGCCGGACCGTTGAAAGAATGGATCCAACAAGCGGGGCAGTGTCGTCAAGGCCGGACACGTTTCCGGTGCCATTCAGGTGTTTCCGGTAGCTTGGCTCGGACATTGGCCAAGGGCGTATGCGAACCACGTCGCGCCCCGGCCGAATTAACACGCGGCGATATCTTGAACGCCTTGTGGGGGTTGATGCAGGCGTGTGAAACAAAGAATTCTCGATCAAACTCTGTCTAATGGCTCGCTAATGTCCGTATCCCACCCAGGTCTTGCTTGCTCTCGTAGATAGATGTATGCCAATCCGGAAATTGCCAGACCATTTCACCATCCAAACTTCTCGACCGCGACCCTCAGGTTCGCCCCCCGGCCGAGTGCCGCCGCACAAGTGTTCCGCACCGTCCTGTTCATGCCGTCCGGACCCGACACCACAACGCCGACCTCGTCGTCGCGGCCAGCCCCGTCCGCTATCCACCCGTCCACCAGGCCCCTGATATCCGGACGCCCAGCCTCGGCAGTCGGCTCCGGGATCACCAGCCGCAGGCCCGCGTCGGCCAGCTCGTCCAGGCGCTCCTCGGGCAGCCACCGGCGGTGCGCCCGCGAGTGCGTCACCCACAGCAGGTACACCTTCTGCCCCTTCTTCCCCGCGGCAACCCGGGGCGCGTCCTGCAGAAGGAGCGCGGCGGCCAGCGGGAAGACGACGGCGATGCCGGACCCGCCGGCCACGAAGATGACCGTGTCGCTGGCCCGCGCCAGGTCGAGCGCGTGCCGGGACCCGTACGGCCCGTCGAGCCGGACTTCTATCCGCCGGTGCAGCCGTGCGTGGGCGAGCAGGTCTGCCGTGAAGCCTGCCTGTGCGCGGACGAGGAGGTTGAGCCACGCGTGCGAGGGCTGCGCAGCACCAGTCCCGCATCCGGTCCAGGCGGCGATGGGCGGGGCTGCCGAGGCGATGGTGAAGGGGTGTGCCTGGAGTGAATGTGTCCGGCCGAGGGCAGGCACCGTCAAGAAGATGTGGTCGGTCGGTCGCCAGCCGCTGATGATGGTCCGGGACTTGCTCCCGTCCTTCTTCTCAGGATCAATGACGGGGAGGTCCCAGTCTGCCGACAGCATAAGCGTCTCTCCGTCCTCGAGGATGTCGAGATCGGCAGTCATGCGCACGGTCTTGAGCCGGAAGCGCCAGATAACCCTATCGATGACGAAGATGGCCAGGGCGATACCGACGTAAGGTCGAGCAGTGTGGTGATGGAGCCATGCGAACACCAGAGCTATGATCTGGAGAGAGACATGCGAGGCGAGGAACAGCTCGTACCAGCGCTGCCGGAAACTTCCGAGCGATGTCAGGTACAGGAGCTCGTAGGCAAAGAAGGCGCCGAGCCCCACGACGACGATGCGGTGCAGGAGGAACTCGTCCAGCGAGCCCTCCATCAGCCACTCCGGTGCGTATGCGCACCGCCATGTGAACAAGCCGGCGACGTGGACGAGGGCTTCGAAGCACATGAGCTCGCCGACTCGTCGGTGGAAGATGTTCAATGATTCGTATGATCGACCCGTCAACAGCTTGATCGGCTGGTTCTTGGCTGCCAGGATGTAGAGCAGCGGCAGGTTTGCCATGAAGATGAGACTTGCTCGGTCGGCGACGTCAAAGAGGTACTTGCCTCCCATGGGCACTCCGTACATCTGGTAGAATACGTTGACGCCGAACCATCCGAGAACGAACAGAGTCGTTGCATTGGAGGGGAGCGTTCTGCGGATGACTGGGATGGGCTGGGGTTGGCGAGCCAGCCAGCCCGCGCAGGCTCTCTTGGACCTTTCCAAGACACCTGGTGAAATAGCATTCCTGTTTATTGATGCTCTGTGGCCCAAGAGAGGCAATCTCTCGAGATCGACGTAGGCAGACTCGGCGTCCTTGGCCGCATGGGGAGGCGTGGCAAGTCCTTGTAGCGTGCTGCTCGACGAGGATGACGTCGCCTGGGATTCATTCTCGCTGTCTGAATTTGATCCCAACTGGGTGTCTTGACGATTCCGTGCCTCATATACTTTGCTTGAGACCGCTGGCGACTTGGCCTCTCCAGCTGGTGTTATGCACCTGGCCCTCCATCGCCTCTGGTCCCGACGCTGCTCCCTCCAGTGCCGGGCAGTCAAGATCAGCAGCAGACCTAACAGTACCAAGTTGTACGTCGGGGTTAGTGCTCGTCCCAGGCGGATGGAACCGATTAATTTCTGGAGATATTCGAGATCCTCTCGGCTCGGCGGCATCCGGAAGGGTGGAGAAACGCCCTCGGCTACCGTGACAGCCTGTTCCGCCGCCTCCAGCAGCACTGTGACCCGGCGGACGATTGAGGCCATTTCAACTCGCGTAGAGACGGAGTGGATGTAGTCTCATCCGACGCTGTTTGTCTGTGTTGACATGGTTTATGTCAAGAAGCAGAGCACTCGAGCACGGAGATGGGGGGATCGATGACGAGACTAGAGACGAAGGCTCGGGGCGCCTAGTGAAAGCACAAGACGCCTGAGTGGGGGCACAAGGAATCACTAGTGATGGCCAGTTATCTGACCATCTGATAAGACAAACACACGAGCTAGTTGCCGATCTCGGGTCCAATTCCCTGAGAACGTTTCGTCTCGGTGTTACGAATAAGAGTTGAGTGGGCGGTTGTGTGCCGATGTCCCCCATGACCAGCCCGGCAAGCCCAGCCGAGAACCAGTCAACAACGAAAACGGAACCGCTAATATCGAATCCCGGATGGATGTCCACTACCATGGCATGTTCCATGATCGCAAGCAAGCAGCATTGCGCAAGTTGGGCCCCATCACATATGATTTGTGGCCCGGAGAGCCTCCACATACTTGTACATGCGAGCAGCAACCTACGTTGCTTGCCAGCAAACAGACGTGGCCCAAGTGGTGGATGAACTCATCTTTAAAGACGTGCATGTGAACCATAGTCTCCTTTTGATCAAGGTTTTGCCACTCTTTTGCTCTGTATGGAGAACAGAATGATTGTAGAAAGGCGGTGCGGGTCGTAATCATCTCAGTCATTCCCATACTGCATAGCTATTTTACCCCGTATCCAATCCTTCAGACCAGTAGCCCGGATTCGTCCACTGATGCTCATTTACTCCTAATTGTCTTCTTTCCGTTCCTATCCAATCATACAGCCTTTACCATTTACCATCTACGGGAGGTTCTTCAGCTGCACGCTGTTGCGGCTGTTGTGCGAGGCGGCATCGGTGCCGGTCCAGTCGTGCTTGCGGGCATTGTCCTCCATGCGGGCGAGCCTGGCCTTGGTAGCAGCCTGCTGGCGGCGGCGGTAGAAGAAGAACCCGCCGACGATGAGCAGAGCGATGCCGCCGACGACGCCGACGACGATGCCGGCGATAGCGCCGCCAGACAGGCCCTTCTTGCCGCCGCTGGTCGAGGCGCCCGAGTTGGACGAGGAGGACGTGGACGAGGGGTTCGCAGCAGCGGCCGAGCTGGCGGCGGCGGCCCACTTCTTGTCGTCCTCGCCGGGCTCGGTGGCGTTGAAGCAGGGGATGCGGGTCTTGAAGTCGGCGGCGCTGACGTAGGTGATGTCGGCGCAGGCGTAGAAGGTCTGGTTGTGGGGCGCGTCCCAGTCGGCCTTGTAGATGATCTGGAGGGTGGCGTTGGTGCCGGCGGTGATGTGGGACGGGGCGTCGGGGATCATGGCGCAGGTGTGGCCCGGGTTGAGGTCGGAGATGGACGGGTTCTCGACCAGCACGGTGAAGTCCTCGTTGGTGGTCGGGTCTGGGAATTTGCTCCAGGTCAGATGGGGTAATCACAGCAAAAGATCATCAATCCTCAAGGTGGGTGAACATACCGCTCTTGTACGAGATGCTAATTCTCGAGTTGTAGTAGTCATCCTGGCCAACGAGGGAGACAGCGCCGCCAACTAGTGAGTATAGGTTAGTTGGGAATCCAGTGATTATGTTCCGAATCGTCGATCAGGTACCAGGCAGACATACCCAGAGGGAAGTTGGTCCTGTTGCCGGCGGTTGCGCGAGAGCCGCAGGGCGGCACGTTGTCCATGTCGCCGGACCAGACACGGTCTGGGGGCCACATGAAAGCGGCGGGACCCATCTTGTCATCGCTGACGCTCGAGTGCTTCTCGGTGCCGCCGCCGCTGGTCTGATGCTGGGCAGCGACAAACGAGGTGAGGGCGGAGGCGGCCACAAAGGCCTTGAGGACGCTGCGAACCATGGTGGCTGTCGTTCTTGGCGGCAACAGGGGAAGAATGGATACAGATTAATCCAGTAGAAGATAAACAGCAGGATATGCACGGTTACAAAAAGAACATCGTCCAGAGGGGAGGTGTCGATCACCCGTCGAGGCACACGGGCTTAATATATAGACCTGCACGGCAGCCCGCCATCCCGCCATCCCGCCATCCCGCCAGCCCACCGGCCAACCAGCCACCTGCCCTCACGAGGGAGTAAAGCATATTTCCACGCTATTCGATTGTTGAATGGCCGGGCAAGCCTTGGGAGAGTCGTCCCAGCGGTGTCGGCTCCTTGGCGTTCTGCTTTGGGCAGCCCCAGGACTGGTGGTGGGTGGTGGTGGTGGGTTGTCTTGGGTGGTCTTGGGTGGTCTTGGGTGCATCTTCTCCACTTGATTAGATTGTCATACGATCTGATAAGATAATTTTTTCCATCTCAGTGGGCGGCCGGACAGCCTATAAGGCTTGGCATCCCCCCCCTCAACGGCAACACATTCACTCTCCTCTGGAGTCCTCTCCATCCTCTCCATCCTCTCCACCGGGCTAGCACCTCTGCAGCCTCTGGTCTCGCTTTCGCCATGCGCTGGCGCGACTTGGCAGCGCGCGAGAGAAGAGAGCAGTTTCCGAGGGGCCCAACAGGGATCCAGGAAAATCCTGGGAACTCACATGGATTCCGCCCCGGCTTTGCTACTATCGGCAAGCCTTGATCTGGCAGGTGACTGATTGCATCTGGTGGTGGCCACACGGGACGAACCACAGGGTGGGTGGCTGCCTGTCTATTTCTCCTCTTTTTTTTATCGTTCGCTTATGCCTCCTCATATATGCATTGCCACCATAACGAGGCCGGCCAGGATGCCAGACTCGCGGCTCGGTCTTTGGAGCGAACTGCCAGCTTACTATTCCGGATTGAAGAGGTTATATGCCGTCTCTTATACATCCATCCGTATCAAAACCTGTGCTCGAGATAGGCAGGTAAGACAAGAGCCCCCGGAGAAACAGTCTGTCAAGTGAGCGCTCTAGTGCACTGCCAAGAGCTGCTTACACCATGGTGACAGATTCCCAAGCTGAACTCCGGCCGAAGACCGAGGACCTGCCCTAGTGCGGTGACACGGAAATCCTGCCACCTTCCAGCCTCCATCCCGGCCTTGCCAACGTGAAATTCGCGCAAGTGCACCAGCCAAGACGATAGTTGGAGGGTTCACCTGCCCGCATGCGGGTGGCCGATCGAAGTCGTTCGGCAACGTTCCGATGCACATGGCATTGCAGCGCGACCGGTTCCCCGACGCGCCTCCATTGACTCCAAAACGACATGAGAAGTGGACCTGATTCTACTTTTAAATGGGAGCCAACCTGTGATCTGGGAAAGGTATCGCTCTCGTATAGATGCACCTGCCTCTCACTGTTCCCACAGCCCAACAACGCCAAAGCTCTTGACCAGGGCACAGGTCGGCTGTATTCTTGAGCCGAGCCTCGATCTAATAGATTCATAAGATCAGTTCTCAGGAGACCATCTCATGCTCCACTGGAATTGGAGTGTGCATCATCCAGTCTTGCTTGATTTCTTCGAGTCTGTGAGCAGACATAATGGCACTCCGATGGTAGCGATCACTTTATGGCAAGGTCTACAGTGGCTCAAAAGTGTTCCGACTATCACCAAATGTTTGCCCATGCCACCTGTGCCCATAGTCTCGAGTAATTGACCCGCTCAACGAGGAGACCGGACATAATCTTGCATTGTTGCCTCGGCATCTATGGAAAGAGCTTTACAATGAGGTAAGATAAACTCGATAGCGTGATCTGTGGTATGCGGCAGTCAACAGGCTGGATGCTGGCCGTATCTCTCAACTAGGTGCTCTGAGCACCTTACATCCATTCCACACGTGACATGGCAATGTGCGATGCAGCAGCTCCCGCCAAAGCTGACAAAACAAGAGCTGCAATAGGAAGGTTTAGTGTTGGTGGATATCTTGCCTCAAATGTTGACATGTTGAACCACATGTCATCGTCATCCAAGCCGTTCCTCAAGGTTGAAGCTCAAGTGGCATCCATGAAAGCCTGCCAAAAAAGATAGGGTAGTCTTTCTCTTCTTTGTATTGTTCTGTTGGAGAATTGTCCAGGACAGAATACTACCCTTTATTACAGATTCTGTGCCTTGTGTACCAAAGCGTAAGGCCCGAGAGAGAGAATTCGCGAGAATGGCAAGATTAGCTGGGTGATAATCCAATCGATCGTTCACGCTGGATGACAAATGTTCTTTCTTGTTTAAGTTTCTGCGACTTGGGATGCCTTCTTTCATCGGCACTACCTTGAGTGCGCTTGATGATACTCAGGAGTAGTCACGCCCCACAAGGTCACAGCATTTGATCTATTGCTGGTCATCCCCCATCGTCTACCAGCAATAGACAAGTTACACTAGCCATTTGGCGACAGGAAGAAGACTTGAATCAGTCCTTCTGTAATCTAATTTTGCTTTATGGGAGAAAGCTGAGGAAACCACACTGCTTGCTATTGCAGTGACTCCTCAAGGTTGCTACAATTCCTGCACGCAACATACCTCAAACCTGGCTGTTCTGGTCCAGCAGTGCCATTAGAACTCACATTATCACTCCAGGAACCATGGCAAGGTGGTGTTAGATCTGAAAGCAATTATGAATGGAAATATGACTATTGTGGTGACAAATAACGCGTGCCGGCGCCGCCCCTGAATAGGAAAGTGAACGCAACTTGGCGTAAACAAGCCCTGAACGCACAATTGCAATCCATTGAGAGACGAATCTGAGGAACAATTAACTTTCAGTGTTAATTACCCTCAGTTCTGCCGAGCTTAGCGCCGTTTTTCAATTCCCTACGTCTATGAAAGGGCGCCTTTTCCCCTTCTCTTTGCAATTTCTCCTTCTCTCAAACACATCACCACCGACTTCTCAACCAAAGTGCAAAGGCCTCTGCCCTTCTGTCGCTGCACTGGGTAAGTCTTACGTCTGTCCTCAAGCTTATCCTTCCACCTCCCTCCCACATCTGCTAACCATGCTTCCTTCTACAGCAGCACAGATCACCGGCTGAGCTCAGCTCACACACTGGGCACGGGGCTCCCCTCATCCCTTCATCATCCCACCATCTTCAAAACACGAGCCCCGTGCCCAACTCACCTCACTCAGCTCAAGAGCACCACCATCCCTATCCAGGGGCTCACAGCCCGCCACCAAAGACACCAAGGGGGGGTCATCTTACCTCAAGACCCCCCCCCCCCCCCCCCCCCCCCCCCCCCCCCCCCCCCCCCCCCCCCCCCCCCCCCCCCCCCCCCCCCCCAAAAAAAAAAGGTCGTCAAGACAAGACAAAAATGAAAAAAAAAAGGTGACCTTCTAGAAAAGAAGACCGTGCTCTTTCAGTCATTGTCCCATTAAAACATGATCCACTCAACTTCGACTCCCGGCCCGCCGATGCAGCCGGTCCAGTTGAATGGTCCTCGGCCCGGCTTGCTGCTGCCCGCGCCCCGCGACGACCCGCTGGGGCTGCCGGCACCGCCGCTGCCCCGTCCGGCGACCACCACCACCGCCGTCCTCGGCCGCTCGTCCGCCTCGCTCTTGATCTCCCCGGCCCAGAGCCGCTCGAGGACGTCGAGCGCCGAGAGGTTGTTCATGTAGCCCGACCGCGACATGATGCTGCGGCACTTGCTGCGCACGATGCTCTGCTGCAGCTCGTTGACGCACTCGCTGCCGGCCACGAACAGCGGCCAGAGCAGGAACTTCTCGGCCGCCGAGCCCGTCTCGAGGCTGTTGGCGTAGTAGACGATCTGGCTGACGAGGTTGCGGAAGTTGTTGTGCTCCGAGGGCGAGGCCGGGTTGGCGAGGCGCTCCGTGTACAGCAGGGCGGCGTAGCGAAAGGCCTCGGACAGGCTGCCGAGGTCCCGGACCTGCGCCGACGTGGGCTGCGGCGAGGAAGCGGGCAGCGAGGAGAGGAAGCGCTGCGGCTCAAAGTCCCAGGCCTGCAAGGCGGACCGAGCCTCCTTCCACTCGCGCCAGAAAGTGTTGCGCTGGCTGTCAAAACCGGGAGCGACGGACAAAGGGTCTTCGTCCTCCATGGTAGGGAAACCATACGAGTCACCGCCCAGGTGTGTCCTGTAGGCATGTCCCAGAGGTGATGTCAAGGGCGATTGAGACCGCACTTGTGTGCCGTGACTGAGCGTTGCACCCAGAGCATTCTGTACTGGGCGGTGCTGAGAGAGGAGGTTGAGCCTGCCGAGTTTGATGATGGTCTTGAACAAATCGCGGTCGCAGCCAACGAGGTTTTCCGCACCGGGAGGGAGCAGCTGCGCATCCGGCATGACACCGTAGAAGTTGGTGTCGAGCTGGGCCTCTCGATCATTGATGCTTGCCGAGATGGCGTCAAAGTAGGTGAAAAGGGACTCCATCCAGGCCGAGTCCCGGGAGGGAGGGAAGGTGGATGAGCGCCTCATGGCGAGGATCTTCTTCACCCCAGCAAACTGGGTGTGGAACTTGGCAATTCCCGATTCCGCCATGCGGTAATGGCAGAGAATGAGGATGGTGGCCAAGACGGAGTCGTGCTTCGATTTGGTGGTGTCATTGAGCTGTTCATTGAGCAGATGGACAGCAAGATTCCTATGCTGATACTCCTCGGTCAAGGCGTGATCGTCTGTGCGACTGTCGCTCAGAAGCTCTGATAGTTCGGAGGGATTCCTCGTGTGCTGCCCTAAGCTGAGCTTGCGCTTCATTCTTAGGTTGCAGGCAGAAAGAGCGCAGATGGCGTGCTGGAGACTGCGGCTCCCGCTGGCCAATTGCATGATGTTGTTTCGGAAGGGATTGTTCGGCCCGTCAATGAAGACCATAGAAGGACACATGGTGTTCTCATAGTAGTCCAGAAAGAAGGGCATCTTAGCTATGAGGTCATTGTCCATATGGACAGAAGGGGGATCGAGCAATGAAGGCCAAGCCGCAGGGCTGCGCTCCGGGAGGTCGTGAGATGAGGCATCATCGTCTAGGCAGGAGCCCCAAAAATGGCCATTTGACTGCGCACTAGTGCTGTAAGTATCTAGATCAGGAGTGCCTAGAATGAGATTCTCTGTGTCAAAAACAGCAGGTCCGATTAGGCCTTGTTCTGAGTACGTACATACCTGCGTGGTCACCGTCATGCAGCGAATTGCCGCCCAAGTGCGACTCGAAAGGCTCTGCCTGCGAGGGCAGACTGGAGCCGTGCTCCGAGCTGGGGTATAGAAGGCTCGGGCACGAGGTCGGGACGGTGGGTTGGTCGCTCAGGAGAGCAGTCGAGATGGGCGTCTGGATGGCGGGGGAGTTGTGGCCCGTGAAGCTCTCGTATATGACGGTGGGACTGTGCATGAAAGGGATGTCTTCCCTGGAGAATGTGTGGCTCATGGGGGACATGTAATCGACATCACTCAGAGAGTCGATAGATGAGGAGAGGTTGTCGCCGGGGTGTCCGACGTGGAGGCCCATTCGGCCAAGTCTTAGGCTTTCTGCCGGGAGGCTTGTGGAAAAGTGAGACCAGTTTGGCTGAGATAATGAGGCGTGTGCCTCTTCCGGAGCCATGCGGGAGAAGTCGTAGCCAGGGTAGGGCGTGGTTGGGACCGAAGAGCCTAGGTGGTGCTCTGGCACGGTGTAGTCGCCATCGCCGCGGCTGTCACGGCGGAAGCTCTCCTGCTCGTGCCAATGGCTGTTGTTGGCAGAAGAGGAGGCTCTGGCGCGTGCTGAGGCACTCTTGGAAGTCTGGGAGCTGACGGGAGGAGCTTTCGCTATAGGTAATGAGAGGCCGCGAAGTTTGCCACGGCTCGCCACACCGACTCCCCAGGTGAGCTGCGTCTTGTAGCCCGAGCATTCGTTGCCGAGCTCGAGGCACTGGGAGCAGTACGGTCTTCTCCTGTCACACTTGACATTCCTCTTGGAGCAGGTGAAGCAGTCATCAGCAGCTCCGCCGGCCGGAGCGCGTCTCCTGCGCTTCTTGACGGCAGTGGTCTCTGCGGTGGCCGGAGCTTTTGACGGGAGCGGCTTGTTTGTGAGCGGGACAGTCATGTTAACGTTGTAGTCGGCGGGCAGCTATAGGACAGCGGGCGGAGGCAATGCAGGAGGACCGTTCTGGAAAGGAACATATGGGAAGATCAGACGGCCGAGAGATGAGTGCAAGGCAAGGTCTGGCCATCAATGGCGATGCTTGACTGGTGTGGGTAAATGGATATTTAATATGGAAAGACGGGGAGGGAGAAGCAGGCTCAGAGAGCGAGCAGAGAACCTGGGGAAGTGAACGAACGTGCAAGCTACGTGGGGAACAGGTAGGAGGATACCAGGATGGGAGAGTGAGATAGAGGGGTCATGTTTAAGAGAAGTCGCCTGCTTCGACAAGATGATCCTACGACGTACAATCAACTACACACACACACCACAGGCACACACACACACACTCATGCACAAGCACACCTCTTTTTTCTCTCTGGCCCGTGGGAGACCACGGGCCACACCCTTGAAGAGAGAGGCAGAGAGAGAGGGAGATCTGTACCGTAGGGGCAGTACATCGAGGTACAAAGGGACGGGCTCGATGGGGCAGGGGAGGGCAGGGAAGAGTGGGAGCAGAGCAGAAGTGACCGGGGGATGGGCGCGTCTGTGGGTGGGAGGTGGTGGGCCCTGCGCTGCTGCTACGCGGGTCCTGGGAACGGTCAAGATGGCGGCGGCGATGATGTCTCACCGGCCGGGGGGAGAGTGAGAGTGTGAGCGCATCGTGGCAGCTGGGAGCGTGGTGGATCTGGTAGCGGATATAGACGGGGGTTGGGGACGGAGAAGGATGATCATGGACGAGGGAGGGGGGAAAGGGTCTTGGAAACTAGGGCTAACTGGTCCGAACGAAAGGAACAAGATCAACAGTTAGTTAGTTGATGGAGAAAAGACAACGGCCATTCCGGCCGTACCAGCAAATAACACGAACAGTAAAAGAGAGAGAGAGAAAAAATAGCCAACTAAGCTAACCAGGTACTAAGTTGGCTCTTTCACGATGCGATCTAACTAGAGGAGCCTTGACCATCATCATACGGTTTGCACTGACGCCGTAAAAATCACACCATGGCAGGGAGCTTCGCACGAGATCAGGTCGCAGGACTTTTGCTTGCTTGCGAAATCTCAACGCAATCGAAAGACGGAGATGCGAGGAGGACGCCAATGTAGAAGAGTGGATGTGAGTATGTATGTGGTGTGGCACAACAAGACAAGACAAGACGAGAGAGATGGGATGAGACGATGCGAGCCACTGTCGTCGATGGTGGCGGTGGATACGGCACAGCGATACCTACAAGGAGATGATTGCGTGGGAGGCACAGCCGAGAGAGAGAGAGAGAGAGAGAGAGAGAGAGGTAGGTAGACGATCAGAGCCTACCGTTCAGAACGAATCAATGGACGGGAGTACCGAGTAGGTTGGCAAAGGTTGGGTAGGCTGGCAGGCATCTCGGGGATCTGTAGTGAGGATGTGAGAAAGTGAGGAAGTGGGCGGATGGCGGATGGTGTGTGTGTGTACTTCGTAGTGTGTGTGTGTGTGTGTGTGGAATCCATGGATGGCGGCGCATGTGCAAGGGCGGCGACGGGCGGCAGACCGGGGGGGTCCTGCTAAAGACAAAGACACAGAGGCAAGAAAGAGCCAGAGGAGGCTGCTGCTGCCGTCACCAGCACCGTTGCCGCTAGCCAGGTTGACATTAGCCCAGCAGGTAAATGGAAAGAAGCCCTTCCAAGCCGTCTTGGCCTTGTGTCTCTGCCCTTGTCGCCTCCGTCTTTGCATGCATATCAAGTTCGAGGCGTCGACGGAGCGACAAGGGGGGAGGGATCTCACTTGCGAGAGGCCGTGGGGCCGGGCTCATCATTTGTGAGAAACAGCAAGCGTCGAGATGGACAGCGATGGGCGAGGATAGCCCGAGATGGCGAGGGCCGAGGCGAAAGTACAGTGCTCATCTCCAATTCGTAGCAGCCAGTACATGACCTACCGCTGTCTTTTGACTGGATTGCCCTGTCAAAGGCCACAGAGAGTGAAGTGCATGCATGTACTTGTACCTCGACCCTTGTCCGCCCCTCCCTCCACCATCTCCTCCTGCTCCCCCCTGTCCGCCATCCACTTCGAAGCTAAGCATGGGGGGACCGGACGAGATCCCTGCTAGGCTACTTGGTTCCTCAAAACTGGGGGGCAGCAGCACCGGTTCCCACTTGAGGCGTGCGCCAGGGCTATTGCAGGCACAAGAACACACTGCGGTTTTTAGGTTGGTAGCGTTGCTTCGTGGCGATGCGACAGGGGCGGTTGTTCTGTACAAGGCTCTGGTTAGGTAGTCTGCAGGCCAGAATTATTGCTGCTTCGCTGCCGCCGAGGCCTGTTGCGAGCATTGTGCAGTCACACATCGTCTCTCTCTCTCTCTCTCGCTTTCTCTTCCGCCTCTTGTCTTGTCTTGTCTCCCTCCTGCCATGTCCTAGAGCTCTGCCGCTTGACCATGGCATGGGGCACAGCCGCGGGAGGAGTCGCGAGCAGCGTGTTAAAGGGAATTCGGAACCCCAGGACTCTCCACTGGGGCTTCCACTACTACAAACCTAGGTATGTACATGGGACATCGGTGCTCACTCCCCGCTCCTATCTCCAAGTCTTCAGGGGCCAGGTTTCTTGATATCGTTGCATTAGTCGGCAGTAAAAGGGACCCATCCCGATTTACGTCGTTCCTGGCGGTTCGTGAGATGCAAGCCGCATGCTGATGCAAGAGGGCTCAAGCACCAGCACAACCGACTAATACCTTGCTCTCCACACTGAGTCTGAATACGACAAGCCAAGGCGTCAGGGGGCCATCCGACATGAGAGGGAACGGCAATTCGGGTAGTTCTCTGTCTCTTCTCGTCTCGTCTCTACTTGTATAAGCGGGCCATCTTATCAGTACTAAGTAGACTGGCGAGACTGTCAAACCCAACACTCACTGCCGCCCGCTTCAAGTCAGGCGAGCCTGTCCGTGTCTAGAGTTTGCCAAGAATGCCGTTGAGCTAAGGCATCCGGGCGGCCTAGCCCTAGAGGCTCACCCCATCAGCCTCGGCATTGCGAGCTTCTGAACAGCAATGATGTGTGCTGCAAGCCACCCGGAGCCTCCAACTGTTTCTGGATTGTTGCGCTGGCCCTTCAACCCCATCATCGCTAGCTTGTGTTTGACCACTGCGAGAAGGCAATGCAAATGACTTACCCATAAGCTGGACAAATTCGTGAGACACCCGCCTATGAAAAGGGCCCTGGGCCGCCAGTGATAGCACAGGCACCCGACCTCCATGCATGGAGACAGCAGGTACCGTTGCATCAGCGGGCCCCTCCATCATGAAGCAGCAGAATCCTTTGGGAGAGATGCCCTGCTGCACGAGCGCCACCAGAACCAGGCCTCTGTGTTTTGCAGCTCAGCCTGTAGGAAGGTAGGTACCCGCAAGTATCGACTCGAGATACCTACCTGGCTACCTCGGACTCTCCTTTGAGCTGCTGGTTGCTTAATTTCTTCCTACAAGTCGTCTACGGCGCGTGCCCGGGCTCTTACGAGAAGCCAGAAGCTGCGTGACCCTGATTTCCTGAAAGCAGAAGTCATCCTTGAGGCGTGTTGACCGCTTGCATGCCAAAGACTATTCTTAGGAACAGCTCAATCGACAGAAATCCGGGTCCTGGGGAGTGCCCATGGTGGAAGTGGGTGCTGTCGTCTCTCGGTCGTTATTGCCTTTCACAGCATGTACCAACTCGAATATATTATGAGACGCATGTGGGGGTCGCTATCGGTGAGGGAAGTCGCCAACGCGCAACCCTGAGATTGCTTGCAGGTGGCCAGTGAGCTGTCAAACCAATTTATATTCGCTCACCTGCAGCCGGGGATTAATCTACGAGATTGTGTTATCTTGGTCCTTGGGCCAAACAGACATTCGAGAGAGGCTTTCTTCTTACACAAACCCAGGTCACAGAGAGGCGTCCGAGCAGAGCATGACCTGCGCAATGGAGTGAAGTTCATTTTACTCTCTCGTCCCTCACTCGCGCCGCCACCGCTCTTTGCGACCAGAAAATGTCGACGTCAGGGTTGTGCTTTACTTAGCTTCTTTGTCTGTTTCGTCACAGCGGCCAGGCCGAGGAGCGTGTCTGTCCCATGCCGGTGGTCTTGCTTCGGTCTCGTTTCGATGCTGCCTCTTAATCTAATCCCCATATTATCCCACCGGTCTGTCTGACGATGGCCGGCCATAGGTACTGACAGAGATTACAGGCTGGTGATCCCGCGACCTGGACCTTGCTTGTATGGGCATGCAGGTTAGCTTGCTTGCTAGCTCTTAGCGTGGAGATGTTTCTTGTAGATGGGATCATCGTCTGGTAGCGACGAGGCAGCTCGAACCAGGAACTGAGCCAGGAGGATTTCACACACACACACACCACACACACAACCACTCGTCACTGGTCAAAAGATGCCTCGGGTGCTCACGCAAGCTGACACCGGGGGAAATGAAAGTACCTACCCGCCTGCCCGCCCCTCTTCGATCCCATGGTCGCACATGTTCTCTGCAGGCTTCCAATGAGCTTCCACGGCCGCGACCTGCATCCTCTTCACACCTTCAGCGCTCAGGCTCTCGGTCCACCCCGACGCTTCCTATCATTGCGATTGACATCATGCATGGCGCTGTTCAACCCAGATGCAGTGGGGTCTGCCCACCTCCATTGGAATGCGCCGGCATGCGAGACCACCCAAACTGCCAACTGAACGTCAGTCCCCATCCCCAAGACGTGCTCGGGGTGGCGAGTGGCCCGCGCTCTCAGCTGAGGGCTGTCGAAACGGCATGCCGGGCCCTCGCGACGAGCAGCACAGTCACGGACCACGGGCCAGCAGGTGCTCCTATGGCCAAGCCGGCGATATAGGTGCCGGGGATCAATAACCTTAATCTGCGTTGTTATCATTCGGAGACAGACCCTGGCCATCAAAAAAGCAAAGTTCCACTGTGGGACAGCGAAAGCTTGTCGGGCTTGTGATCTGTCCAGGCCGCGACATTGATCACGCCCG